CCAGAGGTGCCCTGCCCCCACCCAGGAACTCAGGCAGTGGAAGTCTTTGTACAGCTTCATGTACCTTCTCCTACTAGGATCACAAGCACATTACAGACCTCAGGGCTCTCCTGAACTCTCTGGGGTCACCAGGTGGTCCCCGTCTATGCCAATTCTTAAACCCCCAAGTTTTAAGTTCTCTTTGAAATTAGAGGCCTCACCCATTGTGGTGAAACGTCACAGAATATAGATTCTACCCATTACAAGCTTTATAATTTCACATTTTTCTTTTTGTGATTTTTGGATGAAAAGACCTGCCAACCAACTTGCCAAAAATGAGATGTCTACCACACGTAAATTAAATTTGAATCTAGTTTATTTGCAGAATTTTACTTAACCAATTCTCATTTCTTCCTGTGTTTCATCACTATATAAAAACTCATCCTTTGTACAAGCAAGTAAAATGCCAACAATGAATAAGAAGGGAATATTGCACGTTTAATGACCAAAATAACTTGTTTTTTAAAGGCCACAGTAGGCATGTGGGTAGGAAAAAAGAGTTGAACACATTTAAGATGTATTTGCTGCCACTTGAGTGATTTAAGCCATTGAAAGAAAAATAAATCCTAAACCTCAGTGCTCGGGAGATATTACATCAGTACATTAAAAAATAAAGTTATAATGAACAACATTCCTTAGTGGTTTCATTACCCCAAAATAGGGTCAGTAGTTTTTTTTCAAGTTATTGTCATCAGAAATCAGGAACCTATCTAGACTGAAGGAAACTTCAACTACCGCTTCTATAGGACACATGATGCCTCTATAATGTGAGGGTCACCACGGACCAGGATCATCACAGACCAGGACAAGGTCAGTGTTAGTGCCTGGCTGGATACCAAGAACTTTACCCAGCACAACCCAGATGCAAATGGAAGATGACAGGAGGGAACTTTTTTTTTTTAAAGCATCATGCTTATTTGCAGCATCACACTCTCCACTTTGCTTAATAAGACAAAGTTAACTAAGCAGAAAATTTTTCAGCTCTAAATAAAATTTTACTAGCTCAGAATAAGGAGTAAAGTTGGTCCAAAATGCAGAGCAGACAGTTTTGAAGGATAAGTGCAAAGTGCCTTATTGTTAGACCTGCAACTGATGATAAACCGAGCTCTGGAGTTTGACTGATTGAATGTGCCAACCAGAGGGCACAGCTGATGAGAGCTGATGCTGCCCACATGTCCAGGGGAGCAAGCCTTGCTGTGTGACCCACACTAGTGTGGCCAACACCCAAAGCAGAGACCAGGCTGAGGGCACATAACCTAAGGAGGCACACTCTCTCGAAGCCAGCAGGCAAGTGCCACCTTACATGTGTGCCCTGGGTGCCTCATTTGTTTTACCCAAGTCCTGACCCTACTGTTTCTGGGCATGGCCCTCTTCTAATAACGTGGGCTAATTTGGGAAGTTTTCCCAAAGGGCAGCCCTGGCAGACATCACGGGGGCAAAGGACTAACTAAAGGCACTAGGCATTTCGTTTGACGAAGGCTGAGGGCTGGGCGGACGGGCAGGGTCAGAGGTGTGATGAGGTATGAAAATTTCCAAAGGTCTGAAGGTCTGTCAGGAGGGGGCAGGAGAACAGCTCCAGCAGAACTATGGCCAGCGTTACCAGGAGGCCAGTTTTAGCCCAGTATAAAGCAGAACTACAACCAAGCTCACCAATGGCCACTTGGGCTTGTCCATGAGGAGCGGAACTAGTGGCCACAGGAAAGGGCAGAGGAAAGGCTGGAGGATCAGGGCTGGGATCCCTGCTGAGTGGGAGATGGGACCAGATGAGCTTTAATGCCTCTACTGACTTCAAAAGTCATGATTCTATAACATCTGCTTCGTACTCCAGAAATTATTCATTTGGGGTTTAAAAATCCAATAGAGGGACTTCCCTGGCGGCACAATGGTTAAGAATCCTCCTGCCAATGCAGGGGACACAGGTTCGAGCCCTGGCCCAGGAAGATCCCACATGCCACAGAGCAACTAAGCCTATGAGCCACAACTACTGAGCCTGTGCTCTAGAGACCGTGTGCCGCAACTACTGAGCCCGTGCTCCGCAACAAGAGAAGCCTCTGCAATGAGAAGGCCACGCACCGCAACGAAGAGTAGCCCCCATTCGCCACAACCAGAGAAAGACCGTGCGTGGCAACGAAGACCCAACGCAGCCAAAAATTAATTAATTAATTAATTAAGTTTAAAAAATCCAATAGGAAACTGTGTCTCACCTTCACTCTAAAGGAAGAAAGGGCATGGACACTCTCACTTGCGCAACGTGGATACACTGACTTGGAGGAAGGGGGTTGGCACTTGGTTAAAGAGAGGGTGGGCTGCTCAGGGGTTTTCAGTTTCTGGACCCAGCTTCCCCCACCTCGAAGAACTGAGAGACTCAGGCAACCTCGAGGAGGCAGACGTGACCGTGCCAACAGGCTGATCGTGAAACCACCAGCGACTTGTGCCAGGAGCTTCAGGAACATGGAGGGTGGGCCCTGGCCCCGTTAGGCTGAGCAGACGCATCAGCAGAACCTCCCTCCCTGGCATCTGTGCCTGCAGCTTTCTGCAGAGTTAGGAAGGGGAGCCAGGAGATCAGGGGGTCGAGTGTGCCTCTCTGGCCCATCCTGTGTGAACTGCAGAAAGAAGAGTGGAGAAGAGAAGAGGTGCTTTTCATCAAGCCCAGGAAGCTGCTCTGCATCCCCATCTGAACCGGAAGCCACTGCTGGCCACGTATGGGGAAAGTCTGCACTAGTGCACCTTCAACGCCGCTCCAGCACATAGGTGCCTTGGTCTTACTGAACCAGGTATCAACATGCAGCGCTGCTAACTGTCTCTGAAACAGGCCCTGCGCTCTCTGGAGGTGACTATTTTGCCAAAAAAAGCTCATTATTCTTGAAAGCCAGTGGGCAGACCGGTCTATTCTTTCCCAGGAGGCTACAGCAGCATTGCCACCTTCTGAACTCTCTTAGTGTTGTTAAAGCAATTTCTCAGCCCAGAGCCTCTCATAGGAACCTATGTGGTGAGTAAACCTTCCACTGTTAAGCGTGAGAGGAAGTACTTTTACCGACCATCTCTGATGATCAAGTTACAGTGTCAAAAAAGACAGATGACATCAGGCATGAAAAAATCTGCATCAACTTTAACAACTGAAATACTTTACAAGACAGTGTGATATCCCTAAAAATCGGATTCTTACCAGCTACAACCAAAGATTGATTTATTTTTTATAATTTTTACAGAGCAAATACATTATAAACCTTCAAAAATTAAGATTAAACATAATTTTCTTTAAATGTATGTACTGTCACTCAAAAATTTCATTCTAGGATACCAATAATTACATCCTCCTCAAAGAAAACAGCACACAGAATATTTCCTGTCATAAAATCTTTGTTGCCAAATCAGCCATGGAACTGTCCACAGCTTCTAAAACGTGTTAACAAGGAAAGCTCTGAGATGCGTCCCTCAGAGATGGACACTTAGTGGCCTACAGAACTTGAAGGCTAACAGGGATGATCTTTACCAGAGCATTTCCGTGGGGCAGAACTGTTCTGTCCAACTAAAAAGATTCAAAATAAAGAACAGCTCCTACACACTTCCAATGTTGGGGGAAGCACCGCAAAATGATATTTGGAAAGAGATTATCATTCAGTTAATCTATACCCCAATCCCCCTGCTAAAAGCTCTCAGTGACTAAGACATTTTTATGTAAATAGCCTCGGGCTATAGATAGCCTGCAAGCAAAAGACATGTTAGGCCAGCTGGACAAACAGATCAATTTTGAGCCAACAGAATTATGAATATGATGACAGAAGTCAAGGTGCGAATTCCGGGGGGTGGGGGGGACATGACAAGAGCAAGCAGATGGCAGCAAAACACGGCAACACTGCAGACAGGCTTTGGTAAAGAACGAACTGTTAACAACAGAAGGCACGTGACGATTAAAAAAAAGCCAAATTTCAGTCAAGTCTCCTGACCTGACCCAGTTTCCACCGACCAGTGTTTCAGCAGGTTTGCTAGCTTCATTTGAGTTTAAATCTGGAGTGATAAAACAAGCAGGAAACAGACAGTCAAGTTCTCTGTCTCTGTCTCTCAACAGTAGGACCTTCAGATATCAAACTTGCTGTCTGGAAAGAGCTGCAAATTTACATGTCTACAGGGGCCAAATAAGACGTGAATGAAGGAGCGGGCTGGGGTATGACCAAAGGGAATGTACGTCTACAGTGAACTGGAGAGAGGAAGCCCTGTCTACACTCTCAGCCATGGAGATCAAACAAAACACATCTGTGCACGACATGCTCCCCACAGACCACCAGCACGCGCCCCCAATGTAGACAAATGGCTCCTTCTCTATGAGGACACACGGCTGGATGGAAATGAACTTGTCACCATCTCTGCTGTCCACTATAATCAGGATCAAGTGGTCACATTTTACACAACGACTCACTTTGATTCAGCATTCTTATCTCCCTTCTGAGAGAAAAATATAATAATCTAAGCTGGTATATTTCCCCACATTTGAGAAATGCAGAAATTTTCAAAGCTTTTTACTTTGAAGGAACACAATTGGGATTCAAAAGTGAGGGTTCAACACGATTCCCAAAGTAGTTATATCTGGCACAGGAGTCTTGACGTTTAAATGAAACAGGAAAAGACAGAAGTGGAGACATACGAAAGCACCCCACCTGGGGTCTCATGAGATGACTGGATATTCGGCAACTGAGAGTGGCTCTCTACCCAAGGAGAGCTTCATAAGTTCTCTTGTTGGATGAACATAAAAATTACAAAGTCCCTGGAACATTTTAAGAGCTAAGGAAACACACACATACACATGTGCACATGCACAACAATTATCTAGTGCCCACCAACTTGCATCTCAGTCAACTAATTCATTGGCCAAACTGCAGTGAAACTGAGCAAAGTTATCTGTGCAACAGCGAAGTTAAATGTAAACATAAACAGCAACAGGTTTATCAAGAGCCTCAGTGTTACTATCGTATGTTGTCCAAATAATGCACTTCTGGATAGAGACAGTTCACAAGAAGAGCCAGGAAGCTTTTCCCGTCTTGGAGGCAATGGCCAGGACGCTTTATAAATTGTGCAGCTTGCAATATCTGATCCTGGTATTCAATGTACTGCTTACTTGATGTCAAGGATTCAAGAGCATTCAGAGCCTAAAAGACATGGAAGACAAGAGGGTTAACCACATGGATGCGTATAACATAATTCCCGCAGGTGTAGCACACCTGCCGACGTCATCTGGTGCAACTGTGAGCCTCCAGGGAAGCCTACAGAACTGGAACTAGATGTCTCAAAGGCAGGCACTGATCAACCACAATCAGAAGGAGGCCAGCAACCCAAGCTTCTCTGGTGTCTGCCGCCTTCCACATCCAGCCTTCCCTCTTCCTGGCCCATGTTGTTTCCCAACCCCTCCCCGCAGAGTGCCACTGCTGCAGCCAGGCTGTCTTCCTGCTTTGTCCTCCTTGCCCCAGTGCCAGCACTGCAGCCCTCCCCGCCAGATCATCTACTGCCTCTCTTCCTGGAGACTCAACCGGAAACCACAGGCATCAGCTTTAATTTGCGGTTGGGTTTGTTCTCAGATTACAAAGTAATGTCGTACTAAACCATGTAACTAGAAATTCAGAAGAAACCAGTGGTTAAGTGCTGCTGAGGGTGAATGATAAGGTTGTTCTATCAGCCAACAAACACAACGGACAGATCAAGTTCCTCTGGCTTTCGCCCAACAGAATTGACATATTCCCATGCTTCTCTTCGGGAATAAAGAAAGAAAAACATTCTTTACTTCCATAATTTTAATTTTTCCTCCCTTCATACTGGGAAAAGAGAAGAGAACAAGACTGTATTTACAGAAAACAAACAAAAAACCAGAACAACGGTTCTTGGGGGGTAGGGAGTTTTGTTTTCCAGCTATATGAGCTGACCCACCCCTAGCATTCTGAGTGTGAACTGTGAAGTGCCACTCTCCCGCCTCTCTCATTTATGGGGACCACTGCACTAGAGGATATAGATTAAAAGATGGAATTTGCTTGGCTTAGTAAATAAGGAGGGAGAAGATTTTTTGAGGATGATAAATAAACAGGCAGCTTAGAAATAAATTACCAAGTGGTTTAAGACAGAAGTTTTGGGGTTGAAAATCAACAATGGAAGGAATTTTGGTACCAAGCTAACTGCTGTATGAACAGAGTTAATCTAAGAACAAGAATCAGTGGGAACAGGCACTCCCACTAACCATAGCGTCCATATGTCTCTCTCTTTCTCTCTCTCTCCTTTCTTTTCTAAAAAGAACAGTCTACTTTGACAGTTTGCCTAAGAATAATCATTTTATACAAAGTTGACTTCTTTCCAGCCTGAAAACGCTGATGACAAGTATGTCATCACTTAAGTCTAAAGGAAGGCCGGCAAAGGCTGGCAAGGACTGGGCGACCTGCTGGCCGTAGCTAATGCAAAGCTATGCTCCAGGTGCTGGTGGGCACAGGAGAGCAGACTTCTCAAATGCAGACTGAAATGCATGGCACTGACTTCACAACCGCCCCCTGGGACACTCATCTGCCCACTTGTGATGGCTCTTAACACGACATTAGGGATGCAAATGGTGGTTGTCTAATCAGCCAGTGACAAGTATCGGGTACTGTAAACACCAAGATGCCTGTGAAGAACCTGCTGATTTTTTCACTTCATCTTTGCTCTTAATACCGAGATATCACACTGTACATGGCTGGCTCAGACATGACAATGCCGCAAAAGACAGGAGCTGAGGGGTCTAAGCATTTACCGTGTACAGAGACAGTACTGCAGAGCAACAACAGCGTGACACTGGACCCGGACAGGCCCAGTGAATCCCAGCCCCAGCCCTCAGGGGCTGTGTGATTTGGGACAAATTACTTAGTCTCCTTCTGTCTCCATTTCCTCATCCACAAAACCAGGATAATAAAAGTTCGTATTGTATAGGGCTGTTATGAGAATTGGAAGAGTTAAAATTTTTTTTTTTTTTTTTTTTTTTTTGGCGGTACGCGGGCCTCTCACTGCTGTGGCCTCTCCCGTTGCGGAGCACAGGCTCAGGACGCGCAGGCTCAGCGGCCATGGCTCACAGGCCCAGCCGCTCCGCGGCATGTGGGATCTTCCCAGACCGGGGCACGAACCCGTGTCCCCTGCATCGGCAGGCGGACTCAACCACTGCGCCACCAGGGAAGCCCCGGAAGAGTTAAAATTTTAACTCGTTAACATCAAGTGAGTTAAAACTTACAACAGTGTCTGGCATGCAGTAAGCACTCAAGAATGCCAGCCATCGTTTTATATTATATACCTTTGTACCTGGCCAGCCTGTTTATGAGTGAAAATAGTTATGGGAATGGGGAACCACTGCCATGTAGCCTTCCATGTTTTTAGAACAAACTATTTTTCACAGCTACCATTTTGTCCATGTCAGCCAACACTGGTCAACCCCCAGACTCACAAAACAGAACCAGCGCCTTGGCTCCAAGTTAAAGTCCAGCTAACATCTATCAGTCTCAACTGTAGTCTCATCTTCTGTGCCTGTCCCCAGCCCCAGCTTGTGATGGGTCAGCACACAGTCATGTCATCATGTGACGAAAGAAACGGAAGAACAGCTTCAGGGCTAACAGCACATTTTGGCTTCTGTAAGAAACTTGCTTGCTTGCTTGCTTGGGGCGGGAAGAACCGGGTTCCTGATTGGCTGATTCAAAATTAAACAGCTCCCTCCCGCCTTGGGGACTTCCCGCCCTGTGAAGGGTATAAAGGCCTCGCCCGACTGTTAGTCGGGGTCTCACTCACTTCTCTCCGAGTGGGACCCTGTCCGGACAGTTTGTGTAAGCTTCTATACTTGTATAAATCCTTTGCTAATCTTTCTGCTTGGTGTTGGTGATTCTCGGGTGTCCTTGGTTGGGACACGGGTCGCATTTACCGGGGAACTCGACTCCAGGCATGTGGCTCCCGGACCGCAACAATCAGAACCAAATTTGATCCTAGATTGGCTTTTGCCCATGGCCTTGCTACTTCTACAAGGGTAGTAACAGGGCTCTGGGCAAGTGCCTACAAAAACTGGTTGAAAATCCGAGGCAGATACACACGTTAACCATTTTCCAGTTAGTAGAGCCCGCCAGACAGTATGCTGTGCTGCTGCCGATCATCATCACCAGGTCATCACATGTAAAGACTACAGGTACCACCTCCCTCCTCCTGTGGAAAACTTCTAGCCCTTAACCACAAAGCTTTTTACTGACCTGCTGAGCTTTCAGGGTCAGGTGTAATTCAGAGCCCGGCTTCAAACGGATCTGATCCTTGGCGGGAACCTGAACTGAAAGAAAGGCAGCCATGCCTCGGGCAGCCACTCGGAACCTTAAGTGTTAGGGAGGGATTAGAAGAAGTAAATGACTATTAAAGTAAGCATTTTAAAATAAATACTATATTTTCTATTAAAAAATAAGATGAACACATCTCCAGACCTACTGTTGTTGTTAGCCTCTTCAGGAAAACTGTAAATATGATCAAGGAGTCTTTATCTGCCCTTCCATTATCACCACCCAAACAATGAAAACATAATTCAGTCTCAGGAATGAAAGTGTTGGCAAAGATACAGAATAACTGGAACTCTCAGCCACGGCTGGTGGGAATGTTAAAAATGGTGCAGGTGCTATGGAGAACAGTTTGGCAGTTCCTCAAGAAGTTAAATATAGAGTAACCATGTGACCCAACAATTCCAAAAGAACCGAAAACAGGTGTTCTAACAAAAACTTGTAAATAACTTTCACAGCAGCACTATTCACAATAGCCAAAGAGTGGATACAACCCAAATGTCTATCAACTGATGAATGGAAAAACAAAATGTGGTGTGTCCATACAATGGAATATTATTCAATCATAAGAAGGAAATAAGTACCAGTGCATGCTAAAATATGGATGAGCCTTGAAACTTTATGGGAAGTGAAAGAAGCCAGACACAAGAGGCCACGTATTACATGATTCCATTTATATGACATGCCCAGAACAGGATATACATAAAGTCAGGAATCCATCAGTGGTTGCCAGAGACTTGGGGAAGAGGGGAATAGGGAGTGATTGCTTAGTAGCTTAGTAGCTATTTCCTTTTGGGATGATGAAAATGTTCTGGAACAAAATAGTGGTGATGGTTGCAACAACATTGTGAATGTACTAAATGCCACTGAACTGTACATTTTATCATTTTTTTTTCTGGCCACACCACGCGGCATGCGGGATCTTAGTTCCCCGACTAGGGAACGAACCCACGCCCCCTGCAGTGCAAGCACGGAGTCTTAACCACTGGACTGCCAGGAAAGTCCCTGAATTGTATATTTTAAAAGGGTTAGCATGATAATTTTATGTGACGTGTATTTTACAATTTAAGTGAATCAAATCACACAGTCCTGCTAAATTCTACCACAAACAAAGGAGTATGATGTTAACTGGTTTGGATTCGGTGGCTCCCAAAGTTGTAGCAGGCTATTCCATAAGAATGCTGACATCAGAATAGTGAGAATTCCTTTCAAACCAGATAAGGCCTTTAAAAGAAAACCATGATGCAAATAGTCTCAGGAGATAAACTGGGGCTAGTAGCAAATTCTTTCACACCTTGGAATTTTTAGCGACAAAAACCTGAATGTATTTCTCATTACTTATCCTTCTAATCAGTTAACTTCTACTCATCTTGACTTAACAATTCTGCTAGACCGAGTCCCTCATGGGACCTGGGTTTCCCTGACAAAGTGCTGGCGGTGAGGCAGCTGACCGGGGTATTTTAACCTAACCTTGCACACCGTCACTGGCTGAAAGACAAAAAGCAATGTGCAGTGTGATCAGGTTACCAAGTCAAAATACAATGAGATACTGCTAAAAAAAAAGTCTTTGAACATAAAAGTTGTTTTAAAACGGAAAAAATAAACACCCTTTTTAAAATGTAGAGATGTAATCAGGCTCTGATTGTTTTCTTCTTAATCTCGGGGAGGACCCTAGCTCAGCTCCTAAATAGAAAATCTACCAAGTATCGCACCCCCTAGGTATGTGCAGGTGTCTGTGGCCCGTTTAGAAAAGCAAGAGCAGGTGCTTCCTCACCTGTTAGACAAGGGCGACTTCCGGCCCAGCCCAATTGCCCTGAGAATCCCTGAACTGAGCCTCTCCTCGGCCAGCAGGCTCTGACGGGCCTGAAGCATGAGCAGAATTCGAATGACAGACTCCGTCAAGACCGAGTCATTCTGCTCAGTCTGAACCAGGGACAGCTGCAGGACTTGGTGCCACCACAAAAACAGCTTTGCTTCTTCCTGCATAGAGCTGGGGGCGGAGAGGGGGGAGGAAAATCAAATTCAGAGTAGATTCTTTCCACTCTCATTTAACTGAAAGTCCACACATGAGTTTTAAGTGTAAGGGACATTTAGTACTTTAAAAGCTTAGGCTGACAGGTAATGCTGTTAATAAAGTATTTGGACAATAAAGGAACAGCTGACATTTATTGCCCCTTCTACATGCCAGACAGCATATATGAGCTCGACGTCCTTTCACTTAATCAAGTGAGCTAAACGTTGTTGCCCCTACTTAACGGACACGGAAGCTAAAGGCGGTGCTTCAAAATACCTGTTTTAAAACAGGAAATAAAAAGCCTGCTCAGAAAATCGGCCCATGCAAGAAAAATCTTTCTAAAATAGGTGTCACTGTACCTCATAGCCTTGTTTGTTTCTTATGTATCACTTGGATCTGTGCACTTAAATGGACATTAACTTAAACCCAAATTCAAGCTATCCCAATCCCATGGGTCAGTCGGCTGTAGACAACCGGAGGGCCAATATACCTTGGATACACCTGTTCCAACCACTGGCTTAAGAGAAGCAGCACTTTCATTTCGTTCCTTAGCGTCTGCTCACTATTTAGACACTGAAGCAAGTAGACATAGAGAGTCAAGTAGCTGCCAAGGGACAGGCACTCCTGCAGAAACTCTTCGATGGTGAGCTCGGGAACTTGAAGGGACACCAGAATGGGGCCCCAACCTAAATTCTGATTGAGGGAGCCTAAGAAAAGAACACCAAGAGGGAGAGAAAGGTAAGAGCAAGAATCAAACTATTTAACTACTCTAATGAACCTTTTCACTTTAAAAGCTTCAGGTCGAGAAAACACCACTCACATTGACCCTGGAGGGCCTGACAATGCCTCATGGCTTGGACTGGAAGCCCTCACTCTAAATGCCTTTGTCCTGGCTGCCAGTGCAGAGGGTATCATGAAGTCAGGTATCACGGCTGCATTTTCATAAATCACCTCTTTCACCACATTATGATCATTAAAATCTCATGTAGACACCACCTCTCCCAGTTATCTAAGAGTTTTAACTTTACCTAATACCATTTTTGAATATGTTATGAATACTTATGCTTTTCCGAGGGGTATTATTATTACTCTATCCTTCATAAGCATTTTTTAATTATCGAAGTTTAGTTTGACTCATATCTTGACAGAAATTCTTGAAAATGTTTCACAAATTGAAAAAACAAATTTGATTTTAGCAACAAACAGTAAATAAATTTGGAGCAAGAGTGTTATCCTAATGGTTCTCAATTCTTTGGGGGGAATGGGAGCAGGGTGACATGGTGACACACATAGCATCTTCCACAGGGGGACATGGGAACACAGATTATTCACGTGTTGTCAAGAAAGGGCATGGGCAGGTTGCAGGCACTTCCTAGCATTCTCACTCCAGTACCCTTCGTTCTCCCCTATTGTGTGCACGATGATGTATATCTGGGTAACAGAGTCGAGAAGTACTGCTCTGAGCAATTCTTTTTAACCAGATCAGGCTGCTTCCAGAATCTGAGAGTTTAGAGGTAGGAAATAAGAAGACAAAGCGGGAGTGGGGGGCGGGAGGGGAGATGGGAAGAGAACTCCGTAATAGTTTAAAACACATGACAAAATGCAATAAGAAGACATATGAATAACTTTAACAAGTGACAAAATAGAGAAAATTAATACAGTGGATCATTATTATAAAGATTCTGGTATATAGCATTTGTTTTTAGGACTATGACTAGGCCTATGACATACACAATTTGCCTACCATAAAAGGATTGGTCTGACACTCCAAAACCCACATAAAATGAATTAGAGGTTCCCTCCCTTGAAACATGATGGTACCAACATGGGCCAAAATTTCTCATGCTTACTGCACATCTTTATGAAGAAAACAAAACTATATTCTGAAACATCAACAACATTTACAGAGATATTAGAACAGTACAATCCCTCAACAGGAAGGGTCTGGAAAGGTATCTCCTTCAGACAAAAGGGTCTGGAAGGGTCTGGAAAGGTATCTCCTTCAGACAAAGCTTTAATCTTCCTTGGAAAAGATGGGTCTACTGAGAGCCTGACATGACGGTCCTCTTACCCTCTTTGAAGTAAGCAGTGATGCAGGCTTCCGTCGTCTCGGCCATGTGGCGGACGGAAGCCAGGCTCTGGCAGGCGGCTGTTAACAGGGGCAGAACCACCAGCCCATGCACTTTCTGCCCAATCCAGGTCTGGATACTGCCTCGGAGGAACTCTGCTGTTGGGATAGTCGCGTTGTTCATCATCATCAGGACTTCCATAAATAGGCTGCTGAGGGCCATGTGGCGGGTCTGGCTGTCCAGATCTGAAGGGGAACATAGCCAACACGTTTGCAAAAGGCTGCTGGTATGACGATGTGAATGTGATAAAGGGAACAATGGTGCTTCAAACTAGCTGCTCTCCAGGGGCCAGAAGGAAAATCCTTCTGTGTTTAGCTTTTAAGGATAGGATGTGGCACATACATACTTTGTAAGAGCAAAGCAGGAACTACTGCGAGATCCTTGGTTACAGCGTGTGACCAAGCAATACTTTAATAAATAGACAAAATACATAGATCTCAGGAGTCATTTGGTAAACTAATTAGAAACAGTACCTCCACCCCTACCAATGCCAAAGTTCTAAATAATTCTAGAATGATTTACACAGAATGAAGTAAATGAATGAATTAAAACTAAATATAAAAGGAAAGGAAAAACCTTTTTACAGACTCCTAACAGCAGCTCTTTTACTTCTTTGTTTTTTAAATAAGAAAAATGGACAGACTGGGTCTTTCCAAAATATTAAAAGGTGAAAAAAAGAATACAACACAAGAAAAAGAGGAAATTCATTTTAAAAGAGAACTGCAAATAAGTGACTGAGGTAGATACCTTCTTCACATCCAAGAACAGAAAGTATTTTTCACTGAGGGTGTGTTGAGGTAACTATTCATCAGGCATAATTTTTGAATTGTACACTTTATTTTTATTTGTTTTTTCTTTTTCGGCTGTGCCGTGCAGCTTGCAGGATCTTAGTTTCCCGACCAGGGATTGAACCAGCGGCCCTCGGCAGTCAAACTGCAGGGCCTTAGCCACTGGACAGCCAGGGAATTCCCTTCATCAGGCATAATTTTTGCCAACTATTTCTAATTCTCCTTGAGTTGGGTTCATTGTTTTAAGGGAATAGAATTACGGCTTTCTCACCTCGAGGCTTTGGTATTTATGTCAACGCGAGTGGGGAGGTCTTATCACACCCATCAAACCAAATTCACCCAATTGCACAGTGTACAATAAACCCTAACTTAATGTTATCATAAGATATACTGATTATCAAGCAAGGAATTTTTTAAGCACTATAGGTGTGTGAATCTACTTTTTTATGTATAAATATTCTTGGTCATAAAGGCCTTATCTCTGAATTCCTGGTGAATAAATATTTTTTCTGATTTTTAAAAAAATTTTATTTTGTTATTGAAGTAGAGTTGATCTACAAGGTTGTGTTAATTACTGCTGTACAGCAAAGTGACTCAGTTATACACATATACATATATATATATACTTTTTTTCATATTCTTTTCCATTATGGTTTGCCAAGGGATATTGAATTTAGTTCCCTGTACTATAGAGTAGGACCTTGTTGTTTATCCATTCTATATATAACAGTTTGCATCTGTGAATAGCAATTTTAATCTATCTTTTAATTATGATTCATGGGAACAAAAAATGATTGCAATAAGCCTCCTAATAGATCGCAGCCTCTCCCCTTCCCATTCATCATCAACACAGCCAACAAATGTTGTTCTTAAAAACCAGAACTGATCCCATCACTCTTCTGATTAAGATCTTTCTAGAACGCCCTTCACTCCTTTGCCTGGCTTATTATTCAATCTTCATGGCCCAGTTACATATGACCAACTCTAAATCAATTTCTCCAGTATTGCCTGTTAATTCTTCTTTCTTTTTTTAAAATAGTTTGCATATCCCAAGCCGAGGGATATGCAAACTAGTAGATGATGTCAAACGTTTAAAAATGGTTGTACCAATTTACTCTGTGATCAGCAGTATATGAGAGTTAACACTGATCCACATCCTCACCAACATCTGGTATTGAAAACTTTTCAATTTTAGCCATTCTGGTGGATGTGACAGAGTATGCCATCAAGTTCTTAATTTGCATTTCCCTAAATATTAACAAGGTTTAGCATGTTTTCATATGTTTATTGGTTATTTGAATATTCTCTCTTGTAGAATGTCAATTTAAGGGTCTTGTTCATTTTTTTTACTGGATTGTCTTTTTCTTCCTTATTTTATCCAGTGTGACAATCTTAGTCATTCATAGTTAATGTAATTACTGATGTGAGTGGGTCTAAATCTACTATCTTACTATATGCTTCCAATTTGTCCCTCCAATTCTACATTCCTTTTTCTCTCTTCAAATATTCTTTTAACATTTTCATAGTGGTTATCTTACAAATTACAACATGCATTCTTGATTTTTCAAAGTCTGATGTTAACTGGTTCCCAGACAATGCTAATTTCCTATTACCTTCCCTACTGTTACCATAACCCAACAACACATTACTATTATATGTTTTATAGAGTCAGATTTCATTTAGATTTTCCTATACATTTACCAGTTTCATTGTTCACCCTTAGTCTCCTCCTATTTATCTTCTCTTTATTATCTCTTTCTTTCTAAGCAGATTTTGGTTATATTTTGTGGTTCTTTTTATAATTTCTTAAGCTCAGTGTTTATCTAATTAATTTTCAGCTTTTAGAAATTTTAATATAAACATTTAAGGCCATGAAATTAAGTTTCACTTTAGCTGAATCCCACAAGTTTTGATGCTCTGTTTGTTTAATTCAGTTCTAAATATTTTAAATTTCTGTTGTTATTGTTCCTTTGGTCATCAGTTATTTTAAAATTTGCTTCTTAATTTCCAATGTATAATTTTTTCCCTCCTGGTTATATTTTGTTACTGATTTTTAAGTTCATTGCACTGTGGTTAGAATATGTGGTCTATCTGATACCAGTCCTCTGGGATTGATTGAGATGTGCTTTAACCCTAGTAATGGGTCAAGTTTCTTAACTGTTCAATGTGAGACTGATACAGTGTGCATTCTGGACTTACAGGGTATATTATTCTCTACATACTCATTACATCCAGCTGTGCTGTTCAGACATCCTATAGTCTTACTGATTTTCTGTCTACCTGATCCATCAGTTACTGTGAGACATGGGTCAAAATCCCTCACTGTGAGCAAATTTGACATTTCTCTTCCTAGTTCTGTCAATTTTCACCTTATGCATTTTCTTCCTGGTGAATTGAACCTTGTATCAATTTCCAACGACTCTCTTCATTTTTAATAAAGCTTTTTTCTTATTTATTTATGTAAGTAATATGTGTTTTTTATGTATATATGTGTTTTTCATGCAACTTCAGGGCAGGAACACACACAAGAGATTGTCTGGCTTGGTAATGCTTTCTGCCTTACAGTCCTATCTGTCTCATACTGATATAGCTGTACCAGCTTTCTATTTTAATATCTAATGTGACTGCCTTGTAGAAAGCTTTCTATATCCTATGCTTTAAATATACTTCTTATAAACAGCTTAGAACTGGATGTTGGGGCTTCCCTTGTGGTGCAGTGGTTGGGAAACCACCTGCCAGTGCAGGGGACACAGGTTCGAGCCCTGGACCGGGAGGATCCCACAGGCCACAGAGCAACTAAGCCCGTGCACCACAACTAAAATAAAATTTTAAAAAATAAATACATAAAAAACTGGATGTTGTTGATTATTAATCCAGTCTGACAATCTTCATCTTTTAACCTGAGCATCAGTCCATTTACATTTACTGATAATATTTAAATTTTATCTTTTTATTTTGGCTATTTTTCTTACCTTCTCCATGTTTCTTGCCTTCTTTGGATTGAACAAAATTTGGCCAATCCTTTTTATTTTAAATTTAATTAATTAATTAATTTATTTTTTGGCTGCAATGGGTCTTCATTGCTGTGTGCAGGCTTTCTCTAGCTGCAGAGAGCGGGGGCTACTCTTCATTGCGGTGCATGGACTTCTCATTGTGGTGGCCTCTCTTGCTGCAGAGCATGGGCTCTAGGCGTGCAGGCTTCAGTAGTTGTGGCGCGTGGGCTCAGCAGTTGTGGCTCGCAGGCTCTAGAGCACAGGCTCACTAGTTGTGGCACATGGGCTTAGCTGCTCTGTGGCACACGGGATCTTTCTGGACCAAGGATCAAACCCGTGTCCCCTGCATTGGCAGATGGATTCTTAACCACTGTGCCACCAGGGAAGTCCTGGCCAATCCTTATCTCCTTCTACTAACTTAGAACTTACATATTTTATTTCTATTCTTTTGGTGAATTGCTTAGAATTTTTACCGTTCATATTCTATGAAGACATAAATTTAATCAACGTCTTGACCCCCCTCAAAGAATATTAAAACCTTAGAATGCTTTTAACTCAACCTCCTTCTTAACTTACATGTATTTGTGGTCATATAATTTAATGTTAGCTTTTGCTTTTTAAACCCCTAAATGATGATTACTGTAGTTTTATATAGGCAGTTTTTGTTTATATTTACCCACATTTCACTACTGTCTCTGCTTACTTTTCCTTCTTGCAATTCAAGCCTTTCACTTGTGACCACTCTACTTCTGCCTAAAGAACATGCTTTATTTAGTACTTCCTTTAGTGATGTCCACTGGGACAAACACACTCAGGTTTCAAGGAAAACATCTTTATTTCATCCTCATATTTGAAAGATGGTTCTTCTTAGTTTACAATCCCAGGTTACAAGTCATCTCCTCACAGCACATTGGAGGTGTTGTTCCACTATCTTACAGCTTCCTCTGTTGCCAATGAGAAGCCGGCTGTCCTTGTAAATGTTGAATGTTGTCCCTTTGTCCCCGGTGCTTCTGCAGTTTCACTACAGTATGTACAGGGGTGAACTTCTTTCTATCTACCCTGCTTGGGATTTGCTGGGTTTAATGAATCTAAGGATTGTTGTCTTCCTTTCTCAGTGCAGGTTCATTTCTAACTCATCCTTACCCTGAGTATGCCATCCTGTGTGGTAATGCACAGGAGGTACTTTCAGGCTACCATCTTAGGCAGGCCCTGGGCTTTATCATCTCCCCTAATCTAAGGAGTGTCAGCAAAAGCCTTCAAGGTAAAAGCCAGCCTCAGTACTCCATCTACTTTTATGGGTTCCTCCTTTTACTTAGTTTCTGACTTCTGAGATTTTCTGCCACCTTGTCAATGTTTAATTTTTGGTTTCTTAAAAACATTTTATCCAGCATACTTAGTTGTTTTCGGCAGGAGAGGCAATCAGGATGTCCAGTCCACCAAACTGCTAGGAGCACAAGTCCTCATATGAAGTTTCTTTACAAGCCTACAGGTGATTCTGAAGTGCCCTCCCAGTTAGGAGCCAAAACATCCAGGAATGCTGCTCGATGGATGGTCTCTAGTTATCTCCTAATCATTATATCTAGTCATCTAACTTAGCCCTCAGTCCAGTTAACCTCACACCAGAAACTGACAGTGTCTACGCCTCCTCAAGTTCTTACCATTCATGCCACCCCACCCCAGCCAGTGCTGAGATGACAAGTGTCCCTATGGTCCAGTCATCTCTCTGACCACTGCTTCTCTGTAAACAGGAAAGACAGTGTCCCGACCATCTTCCTGATCTCAAGATGCCTTATACACAGCAGGAAATCATTTACTGAGTGAATACATGACTCCACCATAGTCACTTACCAGGTGGTTTAAAAACAATGATATCAATCTCAAGATGCCTTATACACGGCAGGAATTCATTTACTGAGTGAATACATGACTCCACCATAGTCACTTACCAGGTGGTTTAAAAACAATGATATCATCCAAGAGCTTACACATTTCCTGTTCAAGGACTGCTAACGTGATTTTTCCATTTTGTTCCAGGGAGCTGAGGAATTGTACCATCTGATGAGTGAAGGCTCGGCATTTTTGAACTGCATCCTGACAATAAACAAAGGATCATTCAAATGAATCCATGCATGCAGTGTTAACTGGATATTCCCTGGGAGCACAGCACTGCACTGGGAGAGGACAGAGCAGTGAGTCAGATGAGGACAGACCCTGTGTTGGGGAAATAAAAATCTTTGGTAATACTTAGACCAGAACCCATGTTCTCCCAAATCCCAGTAGTAGTTTTTACTACATCAATAACAACATTAACTACACACTAAGTACTTGCCAGGAACTTTTCCAAAAACTTTTATATTCATTTTCTGATCTAATCCTCACAACACTTTGAAGGCAAGGTATTATTATTTCCAATTCAGGTGAGAAAACCAAGGTCAGAATGGCAGTGAGTTGGGGATTTGCGTTTGTCAGACCTCAAACTCATGCTCATAACTTGCTGCCATTCTGCTGCCAATGACATTCAAATCAGTAAACCCACAGCTCACTGTCGGCCCTCAATCCTTTTCACCTCTTGTTAGCATGTGACACTGCTAGTAGGTAAAGGCTTACCAGAAGAAATAAATGAAACTGAAAGACCCAAGAGGCCAAAATGATATACATCCTCCAACTTTTTCTATTGAGCTGTTGCAGGATTCGAGACAGTCCTCAGTAGCACTTACACTACTACCAGCCCTGAAGAACACTCTGCCTTCTAAAGGACCCACTTAACTTACAAGGTGTTTCTGGCTGCCAGTAGGAATGGAAAGACCTGCAGACACTTTTAGGAGCTTCACAATTAACTCAGCAGAAGATTCCTTTGCCAGGATGATGGATGGCTGGTAATGGCTGCTGAAATAACCTAGCACACTCTGATATGACACAATATCCACAAGATGCCACGAGAGTGAGCTTGTCTGTCCAAGGAGAGTAAGTAGAGGAGAATCCTAAAAATGAAACACACATTCCTTTAGTTCCAGAGCTCCCATTTTTTCCAGAAATATACATCTCTCAAGTTAGGAGTATTTGTGAAAGTAATAACCAAAGTTTTGGCATAACACATTAAGATTTATAAGTATTCAGAACCCAATTTTCAAAGGAACTCTATGATCTGGTGGTAGAACAAGCAATTAAGAAGATGTAAATTGAAATTGATCTTTATATTTGGTGTGGTTCCCTTAGACTATGAACTATATAAGAAAATCAGACACTGGGCTTCCCTGGTGGCACAGTGGTTGAGAGTCCGCCTGCCAATGCAGGGGACACGGGTTCGTGCCCCGGTCCGGGAAGATCCCACATGCCGTGGAGCGGCTGGGCCCATAAGCCATGGCCGCTGAGCCTGCACGTCCGGAGCCTGTGCTCCGCAACGGGAGAGGCCACAACAGTGAGAGGCCCGCGTACCACAAAAAAAAAGAAAATCAGACACCTAGTTGAAGGCACATCCCGTATGCCATGCATATATTCACACTGAAAGAGGCACAAGGGAAACAACTTAAAAACCACAACTTCATACAGAGTGAGGATCTAGAGAGCCCTGCCAAGTCTTTATCACAGGCTCTCCAAACTTACTGTTTGATCCACCAGTTGATCTTCCTTTGCCAATAAAATCATCATGAAAAGGAGGCAGACAATCATGCTCCGGGTCTCTGGGTGGGGACTGGGATTCCAGGCATCAGAGAGCACACTGACCCAGTTGACTTCACAAAGGACAGACCCCAAAAACAAGAAGCAGCTCTTGGGACTTCCTCGTTCCACCTAAAAGGAAACAATGTTTTTAGTTATATATCCTAAAAATGTATAGAAATCAATGTTTTCTAAATTATATATCTTTTAAATTATACTTTTTTCCCAGATTATAAAAATCATTCATAACCCTTCTGCCCTCAGAGATTTAGATTATAATATTTTTCCTTCCATGTTCAGTGTATGGCACACCTTTCAGCTTGTTTGGAGTTCATTATTTATTCCACTAATTCTTTTATTTTATTCTATTTTATTTTATTTTATTTTTATTTTTGGCTGCGTTGGGTCTTTGTGGCTCCGTGCGGGCTTTCTCTAGTTGCGGTGAGTGGGGGCTACTCTTCGTCGCCGTGCATGGGCTTTTCACTGCAATGTCTTCTCTTGTTGCAGAGCACGGGCTCTATGCACACAGGCTTCAGTAGTTATGGCACGCAGGCTCAGTAGCTGTGGCTCGCGGGCTCTAGAACACTGGCTCAGTAGTTGTGAAGCATGGGCTTAGCTGCTCCGCAGCATGTGGGATCTTCCCAGACCAGGGATCGAACCTGTGTCCTGTGCATTGGCAGGCGATTCTTAACCACTGCACCACCAGGGAAGTCCCTATTCCACTAATTCTTAACAGGAAAGGAATGATCTTCCCTAGCTCCAGCCAGGGTGGCAAATCCCTGCCACAGTAAGTCACTGGTGCTCAAGGGAGCCTACCACAGTCCTCAGATGTGCTGGGCAAGACAAAGGTGATATATCTACTAGTCACTGGTTCCCAAAGCCGAGCGTGCATCAGAACCACCTGGAGGACTTGCGTGGGATGGGGGTTGGGGGGTACCCACAGAATTTTTAATGCCCTGCATCTGGAGTAGGAGCAGGAATTTGTCTTCCTAACAAGTTCCCAGGTGGTACTGATGTTGCTGGCCCTAAGACCATACTTTGAGACCTACTATATTAGCACATATAATTTTTATATGGCCTTTTTTGTATAATGTTATGTTATAAATGTATTCCCATATCATTAGTCTTTATAATTTTTGATGACTACATAATGTTTAATTATCCCATTTAAAATATAGCGGGGATGGGGGGGGCAAATGTATTTTAAAGTATATAATCAATATCAAAGTTATCTCTTATAAGCCTATTTCAAGTCTGTTCAAAATAAAACATGGCTAGCTATAAATTTTTCCTTTAAAAGGAAGATTAAAAAGCTCAACTCCATTTATAAAATTGCAATCAGTGGAATTTGATGATTCATGTCTTCCAATTAGTACCATCATTATATCATGCGATTTGCTCATTTTCCCTTTTAGAAAATGATTCTTCATCCTCCTTTATAATTTGTTCTCTATCTTCACCCTCAACCCCCTCACAAACATACTTTACTATGCCAGCAAGACTCATGCAACAGAAAGGTTCCCAGCTTCTGGGCCGGGCAAAGTCATCTATCATTAGACTAAAACTCCTAGAGATACAAAGTCTATAGCATCCCTTTATAGACCATACTATTTAATCTGTCATATAGCTAAAGCTGCGCTCTTACTTAAACACTCTCTTACAGCTCTTTAAACAAAGGTTCAATTCCATATTCATAATGATGATGAATACCTACTTTGTGCCTGTCTCATAGTCTAAACCTAGCTATAAAATCATTCTTAACTTTGTATTTCACTAAGATGACTGTCCTCAGCTTTCCTTAGAGCTCAGCTACAGAGGAGTGGCTGACAAGAGCAGCAGTGGGTGGGGTCTCCACTTACAGCACTAAAAGACTGCAGTACATTTTACTAATTGTCATAAATAACTATGGATCTGTAGTAATTAAAGCACTTAGGGACTTCCCTGGTGGCTCAGTGGTTGGGAATCCGCCTGCCAATGCAGGGGACACGGGTTTGAGCCCTGGACCGGGAAGATCCCACATGCCGCAGAGCAACTAAGCCCGTGCACCACAACTACTGAGCCTGCGCTCTAGAGCCCACGTGCCACAACTACTGAAGCCCACGTGCCTAGAGCCCGTGCTCTGCAACAAGAGAAGCCACTGCAATGAGAAGCCCATGCACCACAATTAAGAGTAGCCCCCACTCGCATCAACTGGAGAAAGCCCACACAGCAACAAAGACCCAACACAGCCAAAAATAAATAAATAATAATTTTTTTAAAAAAAAAGCACTTAAAGTGTCTCAATAATAAATGTGAATTAGGTTATGAGTAAACACAAATGAACTGGTGACTATGAACAAATAAACTGAAATGATCATAAAAAGCTAAGACAAGATTAAAGGGTTTTTTAAAACAAAAACTTAAGAACAACAGAAATGCCTGACTGGTATGCAAGTGACACTACTGTACCCGTTTTCTGACTATTGCTCCTACTGCAAAAACTCCCGCACACTTAGTGGGACTTTTTCCAGGCCATTTCAGGTCTTTTATATGATTATGATGCATTACTGGTTGTTACAATGTACTTCTGTCTCCTACAACCTAATATCCCCTTACATAACTGCTTAAAGAAACTAATGGTTTGAGTACCAATTTACATTCTACTTCAATAGAACATTTAACAAGAAGCAGTTTTAATGATACTATCGTAGAAAAACATGCATTCACAGAAACGCCAAGATTGAGTGTGACAAAGTGATTAAACTATGTATTCACATGACAATATCACTGAAGACTAGGGGATGACTGTCACATTACAGACAAAAATCTTTCTCTGGGTTTTCTGTAAATGCTGTCCAGTCATCTACTAACACAGTGAAATGATGTCCATAGGATGCTGCTTTACACACGCACTGTCTGGGCGATACAGAATTCGGGCAGGGTCCACATTGTCACCCACTGCAACTGGGCCTAAAACCCACAGTGAACAGGTTGCTCCCAAGAAGCCAGGCTGTGACATAGAGAGTGAAGGGTTTACCTTGAAGAAGGCCTCCATGAGCATCTGGTCAGGATGCAGGTCCCTCCACGGGAGTTTCCGGTAGGCACTGTGAAAAGCATACAGAATGAACTCTGGCATTTTGGGTGCTGTACATGCTTCACAATAATGTATCAGGTGTAACCGAAGGGCTCCGTCATCACCAGGCAAGAGCTTATCTAAAATTGAAAAAGAAAATATAGCTGAAGACCTTTTGGGTTGGGTTATCTTTAAAACAAGTAAAAAATTAACACAAATTTGAACTAAAAGTCTAAAAACCTAACGTTCTCAATAATTACCCAGTTTCAAAGATTTTCACATACCAGGGAAAAAAGTGATGGCAGGGCAATAATAAAGAATGGTAATTTACTTACCAGGGCAACTGGAAGGAGCAGCTGGTGTGAGGGAGATAGCAGGCGTGAACAGTTTTTCTCTAAAACTCCTAAATATATGACTTTTTAACTCAAATACACTTCCACAACCACAACCAACTCTAGGCATCCCTTCAGTCTGTTGCCTTCAGCATAAATTCAGTCTCATGCATTTGACACCTCATTCATTTGGCACCTTGGAGAAACCGCATGTTCCTCAAAAGGAAATGTTCCAGGGACTTCCCTGGTGGTGCAGTGGTTAAGAATCCGCCAGCCGGGCTTCCCTGATGGCACAGTGGTTGAGAGTCTGCCTGCCGATGCAGGGGACATGGGTTTGTGTCCCGGTGCAGGAAGATCCCACATGCCGCGGAGCGGCTAGGCCCGTGAGCCATGGCCGCTGGGCCTGCACATCCAGAGCCTGTGCTCCATGACGGAAGAGGCCACAGCAGTGAGAGGCCAGCGTACCACAAAAAAAGAAAAAAAAAAAAAGAATCCGCCTGCCAATGCAGGAGACACAGGTTCGATCCCTGGTCCGGGAAGATCCCACATGCCACGGAGCAACTAAGCCAGTGCGCCACAGTGCGCTCTAGAGCCCACGAGCCACAACTACTGAAGCCCACATGCCTAGAGCCCGTGCTCCGCAACGAGAGAAGCCACTGCAGTGAGAAGCCCACGTGCCGCAACGAAGAGTAGCCCCCACTCGCCACAAGTACAGAAAGCGCACGCACAACAACAAAGACCCAGCACAGCCTAAATAAATAAATTTATTTAAAAAAAAAAAAAGGAAATGTTCCAAATGACTAAATCTTAACCCTTGGTGCAGTAAAACTAGACTGTTAACTGTCATTCAAGTAAGTCACTCTAAAACAAATTTCACACTCTTCTGTGACCTGAATCACTCAGTATTATCCTCACGAGTATCAATTACTTTAGTGCCCTCAGGAGCATTTAGTCTGAAACAAGTTTTTTCAGACTTTCTGGCTCTAAGCAAAGGAATGGAATTTGGTCAAAGAAGACAGAGCCACATACAACGAGAGCAGAAACCTGATGGGAGTTTCTCAACACTGACTTTTGAAAAATGACTAATGAGCATCAACACACAATAAGTGGACTTATCACTGCTAACATTCCTGTGCCCTCAATCCCCAGTCCTCATGAAACAGTAACGTATGTTTTTAACAACCTTTTAAGACAGGGGTGAAGAGTAGCATTTGTTTAAATATGGATAAAAAAGATAGTTTTGTTTAAATTAGGATGGATACGTAGGAGAAGATGTCTAGGAAGTAATCTCTTAGGACCAGACCGAGCGTCTCTAGTCCCAGCCCAGACACAAATAAGTTCTGTGACCTCAGATGAATTCATTTTGCTTTCCAGGTCCTCATTTTTTCTCATCAATAAAAACAGAGAGCTGAACCAGACGATCTCACTAAAAGGCTATAATTTAATACTTCATCTCGCTGTGCACAGTTCTTCTGTTTCCTCTCTCTGAATTGAGCTGCCAATTCTTAATGTTATCTGTGTACTCTCCTATTCCTAGACCACTTTTTTATTTGATATACACGGGCCTGTGAGAGTGCCTGCCCCTTTATACTAAGAAACTAAATAATAGCCTTTGTGACAATAATTTTATGCTGAAATATTTGTCTCACTATAAATATGTGTGGATGGTAATACGCAGCTAGAAGTCTACCTTTCCAAAAAAAGAAAAAAAAAATGAGTGCTATTAGGATTTCATGTGTTACTCACTGAACCAATACTTTTATCAAGTAGACAACTCAGAGTATGGCACTGTCCTAAGTCTTGGGTTGGGGAGAGATAAAAAGAAGAATGTTTCTGTGCCTAGAGTTTGTATCTTATAACGGGGGCGGAGGGGGGAGGGGGAACAGAGAGGAGATCAGATATGTAAAAAGTCAATCAAAATTACTAAATGGGGGGCTTCCCTGGTGGCGCAGTGGTTGAGAGTCCGCCTGCCGATGCAGGGGGCACGGGTTCGTGCCTCGGTCCAGGAGGATCCCACATGCCGCGGAGCGGCTGGGCCCGTGAGCCATGGCCACTGGGCCTGCGCGTCCAGAGCCTGTGCTCCACGACGGGAGAGGCCACAGCAGTGAGAGGCCCGCGTACCGCAAAAAACAACAACAACGAAAAATACTAGATGGGGACTTCCCTGGTGGTCCAGTTGTAAAGAATCCACCTTCCAATCAGGGGACGTGGGTTCGATCCCTGGTCAGGGAACTAAGATCCCACATGCCGCAGTGCAACTGCAGAGCAACTAAGCCCGTGTGCTCTAGAGCCCGTGCGCCACAACTAGAGAGCCCATGTGCACCGCAGCTACTGAGCCCGTGTGCTCTGGAGGCTGTGCGCCTCAACTAGTGAGAAGCCCACGCACTGTAACAAAAGATCCCGCATGGTGCAACTAAGACCCAACGCAGCCAAATAAATAAATAAGTATTTTTAAAAAAAACAACGCTGGATGAGGTACATCCAGACAACGGTATATTATTCAGCACTAAAAAGAAATGAGCTATCAAGTCATGAAAGACATGGAGGAACCTAAATGCATATGCTAAGTGAAAGAAGCCCATCTGGAAAGCTGCATAATGAATAATTATAACTATATGACATTCTAGAAAAGCTAAGACTGTGCAGAAAGTAAAAGAAATCAGTGGCTGCCAAAGGCTGGGGTGGGGGAGGGATGAATAGACAGAGCACAGAGGATATTTAGGGCAGTGAAACTACTCTGTATGATACTGTACTACTCTGTATGATACTCTGTAGACACACATCATTATACATTTATCCAAACCCAGAGAATGTACAAGCCCCAGCATGAATCCTAACTATATATAACTATAGACTTTGGGTAATAATGTGTCAGTGCAGGTTCATCGGCTATAACAAATGTACCACGCTGGTGGGGGATGGTGATAGTGGGTGGGGAGGGGGTTATGCATGCAGAGCAGGGAGGAAAGGGTATACGGAAACTCTCTGTGCTTTCTGCTCAGTTTTGCTGTGAACCTAAAACTACACTAAAAAAAAGCCTATTTTTGTATATATATAAAATATTGGATGATATATTGTTTTACATTATAACATATATATTATTGCTATATATATTTATACATATTATTATAATATATAGTCTATTATCTGATATGCTATCTACTATATATATTGTATATAAAATACTGGATGACATATTGTTAACTCCAGGACTCAGTGCCACATAAACACATGGTAGCCATGGAGGTGCGCCACTCAGATCTCCCTTCAAACAGAACTTGCCACAGATCAGGGCACAGCACCTTTAGCACCTGAGTCGAGGCCATCCTCCTCCCAGGTAGCCCTCAGCCAACAACTAAGCACTGACCTGGCTGCTTCCACCCAAGGTAGGATCCTCAAAAACGAATCTTCGCACTAGAACTCCCTAACCAGCTGGCCAATACTTTCTCAGCGCTGCCCTGCAGGCTGAGACTCTTCCTACTCTCCTTTCACGGGTGTTAGGCCTGCACCAGGGTCTGAAGGCTTTCTTTGCCCACCCTTATTCCTCTCCCTCTTATTTTCACAGGCAGTACCCCAGATAAATCTCAGCATTCTGGCTCCATCATGGCGTCTGCTTCCCAAGGATTCAAACTACAACAATGTGCTATAAAGATTTAGAGGCAGGAGAGAAATGTATGCACATGAACAGATATGCAGGAGAATAAAAAGGCCCTGAGGCTTCATCCAGGTAGTGGAATCAGCATAAGCAAAGACGTGGCAGAGGGAAGATCCAAGGACTTTTAGGGAACAGTGAGTAGAGCAGTATGGCTGAATGGAATGCTTCCATAAAAAAATCATCACATAATGTTGAAGTGGTCTGAGCCAGACGCATTTGAATGCTGAGCTAAAACATTATTACATTTAAAAGTTTCTGAATAAGAATATAATAGCATACAAACAGAATTTTTGGAAAATCAATCTAGTAAATAGGCAGGAACAGAAATGAGATAGGAAGCACAGTTAGGAGGCTATTGCAAGAATCTGGGTTGGGTGGACCTAATATCCTTACAAGCCCCCCAATACAAAACATTTAGATACACTAAGTAAAATACAACAACTCTGAAAATGCACAGCTACATACATTCAGTGGAAGAAAAGAGGTCAGAGAGACTAGGAAAGTAGAGCATTAAACTGATGCGGAAGCCTCAGTTGCCCTGGGGCTGTTTGCTTATGTGGGGTTTCCAACAGCACAAGGAAACAGAAAACAAGATCTTCTAAGGACTACACCCTCACTGAAAGGGCAGATAAGGGGGGAGGGGAACAGATCGTCTCTGCCTTAGCCTCGACTGGGAGTCAGGGAGGCAAGAAAGCTGATTGTGATAATTGAGTATGGGGTTTGATTTCATGTATCTGTGTAGTGTGAGAAACCCAAAGCCAAGGAATTACACAGAGCCAAATGGCAACAAATGCAGATCTTCTCTGGAGGCATACACCCTCATCCTAGTCCTCATGGAATTTCCACAGATAAAGTCTCTCTAAATATGGGCTCACAATAGAAAATTACAAAATACACAAGGAAACAAGCCTCTGAAGGAACATCAAACAGAAGCATGAGCCACCCCCGAACAGAAATTTGAGATGATGGAATTACTGCAAACGGCTCATAAAGGAAAGTAAGTATGTTTAAACATTTTTAAATAATAAAAATTGAAATTTTAAATTAATGAAAGAAGACGCTATCAGAAAGGATCGGATAGGAACTTCCCTGGTGGTGCAGTGGTTAAGAATCCACATGCCAATGCAGGAGACAGGGGTTTGAGCCCTGGTCCGGGAAGATCCCACATGCCGTGGAGCAACTAAGCCCGCGAGCCACAACTACTGAGCCTGTGTGCTACAACTATTGAAGCCCACACGCCTAGAGCCTGTGCTCCACAACAAAGATGAGCCACCGCAATGAGAAGTCCGTGCACCACAATGAAGAGTAGCCCCTGCTTGTGGCAATTAGAGAAAGACTGCACGCAGCAATGAAGACCCAACACAATCAAAAATAAATAAATAAGTAATTTTTTAAAAATAAATAAATATTTTTTAAAAGGATCTGGATAAATTTTATAAACAAACATTACTTCTAGAAACTGAAATGAAAAATTCAATGGATTTCTTTTTAAAGCAGACTAGACATAGCTGAAGAGATGGAGTAAGCTGGAAGAGAGATCTCAAGAATTTGCCCAGGGGAATTCCCTGGCAGTCCAGTGGTTAGGACTCTGCACTTTCACTGCCAAGGGTGTGGGTTCAATCCCTGGTCGGAGAACTAAGATCCCACAATCCACTCGGTGTGGCCAAAAAAAAAAGAATTTGCCCAAAATGAAGCAGAAGAAAACACACCAAAAAAGTGAAAAGTCACAGAAGATAGAATGAGGTTCACCACGGGGGAAAGACAATATTTGAAAAGAGAAAGCCATGACTTATGACACTCAGCACTACCTCCCAAAAAAGATAAGAGGTTACACACTTCACACTAAATAATTGTACGGGTGACCTTTCTTTGGTCAAAGATGACAGCCTACCAAATAAAGTAAAAGTAAATAAAGTAGAAAAGCAGAGGCAAAAGATTAACTGAATTACTTAAGGAAAAGTGAAAACTAACCAGAGACATGATATAACATCTTCCTACCTTTAAAACTCTCGTGCAATGAGTCAATGCAATCAGTGAACAACTGCACGATGCTTGAGGCCACCACAGCATCACTCTCCAGCCAGGGGTAATGTCGTTGGCTGCTTTAAATAAAAGAAACACATACTTAGAGAGGAAACACTATGATTAAATTACTGTACGTCCCAGAGTCTGGGGTTTGCCTAAGTTCTAGAAAGCTCTGTGTTATGTAGCCCTAAGACACATTTAGAGCACTTTAAAGACTGTAAATTCCTGGAGATGAATTGTAGCTTTTAATATCAATCATATAATTTTATTTGCTTTCCTTCCTAACCTTTATTCCAATGTAATTAAGTTTCAGAAGTGTGCTATCTAAATAACTATCAAATTAACACCTTTTACAACACATCCAATTTATGCCCGTAAACCCATCCCTTGTGTATCTTGGTTACATTTCGAATGCCTTAGAAGACAGTTTTCTCTACCTAAAGCATGGGGGGTGAAAAGACTTGTAGAAAAAGATGGTCAAAAATGAACAGAGAGGAAATAACCAAAGGAAAAACTCTTTATATGAAATTTTTACTTTCTGAATCTGGTATAGAAAGTTCAATATAAAAATAAATTCCATTAGTTCTTCCTGGAAATAGACAGGAAGCCTAAATTATGGTAAGCAGTCTCACAGTCACCACAAAATCCTGAAGCTTGTGGATTGTCTAAGGATAGCCCTCTGGGAAAAGCAAAGACCCAGAACTTTTTCTGTTTTCCTCAATGGGCTCTTGAAGCAGCCTGGATGATACAAACAATCTGGACATGGGGGTCAAAGCTCTACCCTGGTCCCAGGTAGCCCTCACCAGCTGTGGGATTTGAGCAAGACATTCAAGTTTTCTGAATCTCAGGATCAGATTAATTCATACTTATGAAAACACTTTAAATACTGTGATATATACTGTGTAATTCTTACAGAGCTCTGGACATTTACCTTTTGTTTGTATGCTTTTAGAGGAAAAAAGACTTGTAAGGCAACTCCTTGCATTTGGACAGCTCAACACCTCTGTTTTAAATGCTTGTGAAATAATGCTTTCATTTAGTTGCAGAGTTCATGTTAAAAGAGCAATTCCCACCCAGTAATTTGAAAGCCAACTTAGTTCCAAAAAAATAACTGATACCAGGTAAAATCAAGTTAGCCTCGTATTTTGCAGTGTTATATTATCAAAACCTAATTCAGGAGAACAACATCCGTTTTTCTGAAATTAAATACCAACCTCATTCAACTTCTTTATTGTGGAAAACTGGAAATGAGTATCCAGTTTTGCTTCAAAATCAATAGCTCTGATCAATCAGACTAACAATTCCACAAACAGAAAATGTCTTAAGTTTACTTTGTAAAGAAGCGTTCTCTAAATTTAAAATCAGATCTGTGAATCATCAGCTGGACCAAAACACCATCAGAACTTTAAGTCTATAAATTTCAAAGAAATTTGAATATCAGAAAAACTATTTACCTTTCATTGTCCTCTAAAACCAGTATCCATGGCTTAAAGAGCTGGACGATTACTGAATGTAGGGATCTTAGCACTAAAACAAAGCAAAATTTTTAGAGACAAGAAACAAGCCCATCAAATGGAGATGGCCAACAGGCACATGAAAAAATGCTCAATTGCTAATCATTGCTAATCATCAGGGAAATGCAAATCAAAACCACAATGAGATATCACCTCACACCTGTCACGATGGCTATCAGCAAAAAGAACACAAATACCAAATGTTGGCGAAGATGTGAAGAAAACGGAACCCTTGTACACTGTTGGTGGGAATGTAAATTGGTGCAGCCACTGTGGAAAACAGTATGGAGGTTTCTCAAAAAACGAAAAATAGAACTACCATATGATCCAGCTATTCCACTCCTGGGTGTGTATCTAAAAAAAACAAAAGCACTGGGCTTCCCTGGTGGCGCAGTGGTTGAGAGTCTGCCTGCCGATGCAGGGGACACGGGTTCGTGCCCAGGTCCGGGAGGATCCCACATGCCGCGGAGCAGCTGGGCCCGTGAGCTATGGCCGCTGAGCCTGCGCGTCCGGAGCCTGTGCTCCGCAACAGGAGAGGCCACAACAGTGAGAGGCCCGCGTACCGCAAAAAAAAAACAAAAACCAAAAGCACTAATTCGAAAAGATACTATGCACCCCAATGTTCATAGCAGCATTATTTAAAATTGCCAGGATATGGAAGCAACCTAGGTGTCCATCAACAGATGAATGGATAAAGAAGATGTGGCATACACACACACACACACACACACACACACAATAAAAAAGAATGAAAATTTTCCATATGCAGCAACATATGGAGGGTTTGGAGGGCATTATGCTAAGTGAAATAAGTCAGACTGAGAAAGACAAATACTATATGATACCACTTATATGTGGAATCTAAAAAATAAACTAGTGAATATAACAAAAAAGAAGCAGACTCACAGATATAGGGAACAAACTAGTGGTTACCGTGGGGAGAGGGAAGGGGGAGGGGCAATATAAGGATAGGGGATTAAGAGGTACAAACTATTAGGTATAAAATAAGCTACAGAGATATATTGTACAACACAGGGAATACAGCCAATATTTTATAATAACTATAAATGGAGTATAACCTTTAAAAATTGTGAATCACTATATTATACACCTGTTACTTATATAATATCGTACAACTATACTCCAATTAAGAAAAAGAAGAAACAAGTCCACCCTTTGTCAAGATCATTGATAACTATATAGAAAATGTTCTTCTTATCATCTGTATATTCATAAACCTTTGGTGATATACAAACAACATATTTAATATAACTAAACATGTTTCAGTTTTCATTTGCTGCAATGAAATTTCTTAAATCGAATAAGTTTTATTATAACACAATGTCATGGACAATTTTATAACATGCATTTTTTTAAAATAAAAACTTAAACACTCTTAATGAGATAAATAATAGGAAGAAAGAGCTGGAGACTGAAACCTATCTCTTTGTACTTCACCTTACAAAGGAGAGGCAGAAACAAGCTGAAGCAAGCACCCACTGGTAAGTGAATATAGGTATGACACATATATGGGTTCACACTTGTACTGTGTATTTCCTATTTCTTCTTCATGACACTCAGATATACAGATTTATCACCAAGTTTTAAATCTCTTAATGTGTTTATTCAAGTCTCTTCTAATGGAAGGTCAGAACACCTAAGCTCCATGTTGCACTAAAGGCATATTACCTGTTTTGCTGCTGGCAGATGGATCTTGGGCCAAGCAGGCCATTTCTGAGTCAAGCAGTCTTTTTACAAGGTAGCCCAAGAGTGTCTTCATATCTGCCATGTAAGGACTCCATTTTGAGAATAAACCAAAACTTTTAAAGTCCAACGTGGATAACCGAAGCTTATAAAAAAAGTTTGAGAGCCACTGTATAGTCTCCATTACCTGGAAAAGAATGACCAGTTTGAAAAATGCTTACTGAATATCTACTTTCAGTAGAATACTACAGTAGACTGTGACGGAGGGCTTTGACTTTGTAATCGAGTTGCAAAGGTATACAGAATATGAAAAGTAAATCAGCAGATTTCAAACTCCTTTTCTAAAGCAAAGGAACCATTTTTTCAACTAAATTCATGTGGACCCACAACATATAAAATTGATGAAGCTGAGAGCTCTGTGGGACACTGCATGAAAACCTGTTCGAAGGAGCCAGTGAAGCAGGAGGGTTAAGGCGGGGAGGCGAGGTACACACAGGGGCTGGGGCTGGGCTGTTCCTGAACAGAGAGGCAAGAATCAGATCTGAGGCATGAGAGAAAGCTGATCCAGGCACAGGAGGCAGGTGGGGGTAGAGGGAATGGGAGATGACTGACAAAGGAAAACACAGGGCTCTTAGAGATAAAAAGATGCTTTGTTAGATATAAATTTTAAATGTGTTCCAGTTGTTTAAAAAACATACAGGGCTTCCCTGGTGGCGCAGTGGTTAAGAATCCTCCCACCAATGCAGGGGACACAGGTTCGAGCCCTGGTCCGGGAAGATCCCACATGCCGCAGAGCAACTAAGCCCGTGCTCCACAACTACTGAAGCCTGTGTGCCACAGAGCCCTCAGGCTGCAACTACTGAACCTGCGTGCCACAACTACTGAAGCCTGCACACCTAGAGCCCGTGCTCCGCAACAAAAGAAGCCACCGCACTGAGAAGCCCACGCACCGCAAGGAAGAGCAGCCCCCGCTTGCCGCAACTAGAGAAAGCCAGAGTGCGCAACATAGACCCAATGCAGCCAAGAAAAAAAATTTTTTTAATAAATTAATTAAAAAAAAAAAATACAAAGAAAATGGAAAAGAAATGCACAAAAACTTCAGAGACCAAGAGCTACACACCTGCTTGTCTGACAAGAGAACATCCGGAGAGCTTTGAAGCACCGAGGTCTCAGCAGAAGCTGCCCCCTGCTGGCAGACTGGGGCGCAGCAGCCCAGGGCTCTTAGGGTGGCTTTCCAACACTCGGGGCTCAGCAGCTGCTCAGCAGAGCCTTACCAGGCAGGGACAAAGGACAGCAAGTCAGCATCCTTCACAAACTAACTTTCAACTTGAATCAAAGAACACATGTACTTTACAAATGAATGAGTATTAAATAAAAATCCAAAACAAATTCATAAAGATCTGTGGTGCAATGTTCATTGCAGCTCTGTTTACAATAGCCAGGACTTGGAAGTAACCTGTCCATCTACAGATGAATGGATAAAGAAGATGTGGCACATATATACAATGGAATATTACTCAGCCATAAAAAGGAACAAAATTGAGTTATCTGTAGTAATGTAGATGGACCTAGAGTCTGCCATACAGAGTGAAGTAAGTCAGAAAGAGAAAAACAAATACCATATGCTAACACATATATATGGAATCTAAAAAAAAACAAAAAATGGTCATGAAGAGCATAGGCACAAGATGGGAATAAAGATGCAGACCTACTAGAAAATGGACTTGAGGACACGGGGAGGGGGAAGGGTAAGCTGGGACAAAGTGAGAGAGTGGTAGTGTATATATGACATACGTACACTACCAAATGTAAAATAGATAGCTAGTGGGAAGCAGTCACATAGCACAGGGAGATCAGCTCGGTGCTTTGTGACCAGCTAGAAGGGTGGGATAGGGAGGGTGGGAGGGAGGGAGATGCAAGAGGGAAGAGATATGGGGATATATGTATATGTATAACTGATTCACTTCGTTATAAAGCAGAAACCAACACACCATTGTAAAGCAATTATACTCCAATAAAAACGTTAAAAAAAAAAAAAAAAGATCTGTGGTGAAGAGACCAAAGTTAAGAGAACCTATTGAAAGATCTGTCCACATGGACACTTGACTTTCCGTACTCTTGGTAACCCTACTGGTAGTGAGCACAGCCGAGCCATCTGAGCTGGAATCTGGGGGTGGGAAGGGGACTCCCACCTACCACCCCCTGACTGGTGAATGGTAAAGGTGCCATTTTCCTGGCTGGACAATGTGAGAGAGACAACAAAGGACCCATGGCGCAGAATGCAACTGCAGAGTCTAGGCTCTGTTCAGAAGGAGTCTCTTACTCGCCCCTAAAAGTCCACCCCTACACCAGGCAAAACCTAAAGCAACACAGAAACAGTATGCAAAAGTAGAGACTACCAACCAGCACTCTGCTACCTGCAAAACTGACTTCCCAGAGGACAGGAATTATAGGCCCTCAGGTCCTTTCCCCCCAGAGGTGGCACAAGGATCAACTAGGACAACAGTGGCTCATAGGGGCTGGTCTGAGGGGAAGCATGATGAGGTCAGCTGCACTAGTGGGTGGGAGGTACCTAGGGGACAGTGAAGGGTCTGTGTCCCAATAGCTACTGCGGTCTGGATCTTAGGGCAAAGGCCTAGAACACAGCTACAGGTGTGGAGTCATGCATGCCTAGAAGATGTCAGTGAAGCCAGGGAAAACTGCAATGGGCTCACCCACGGCAAATCAAACGAGCAAAGGATGATGCCCTGGGAACACCGATATGGTGGCCAGGGAGGGATGGAAACCAGGAGGCTGGAGGTTATGGAATCTGACAGAGGTGGTAGTGTTTTCTTAAGCCTGTAACTGAATTACTTTTCCTGGGAAATAAAAATTTCCTGTTAAATCCAAGTCAATGGCTGCCTATATAAACAATTTATAATCTCTTTAAAAGGTTTCAGGGAAAAAAACCCACAATATATGCTTAACCAGTTTTGAAAATTTAGGGCAAAACTTAGCTATGCAAGTATGCATTAAAACTTATACAAGTAGGGCTTCCCTGATGGCGCAGTGGTTGAGAGTCCGCCTGCCGATGCAGGGGACACGGGTTCGTGCCCCGGTCCGGGAAGATTCCACATGCCGCGAAGCGGCTGGGCCTGTGAGCCATGACCGCTGAGCCTGCGCGTCCGGAGCCTGTGCTCTGCAACGGGAGGGGCCACAGCAGTGAGAGGCCCGCATACCGCAAAAAAAAAAAAATTATACAAGTAGGGGTTCCCTGGCGGCGCAGTGGTTTAGAGTCCGCCTGCCTATGCAGGCGACAACGGGTTCGTGCCCCGGGCTGGGAAGATCCCACATGCTGCAAAGCGGCTAGGCCCGTGAGCCATGGCCACTGAGGCTGCGTGTCCGGAGCCTGTGCTCCGCAACGGGAGAGGTCACAACAGTGAGAGGCCCACGTACCGCAAAAAAAAAAAAAAAATTATACATTTCCCTACCACCATTCTCCACGCACCCTGCAACTTGCCTCTATAGGAAACAATGAACGTTTTGTAGTGCTTTGAAAATGAGACCATACATTTCAGTATTCTTCAGGTAGTCCAATACATAAGATCATTAACTTATTCATTACACTATTTCTATGATGTAACACAAAGATTTGACATAAAGCAAAATTTAGTTTTCCATTACATCTATAAACAGTATGAAGTTTACATGAAAAAAAGTAAATACTATCTCATTTTTCAAATTTCAATAAAATTCCTGCCTAGTGAAATTCCAAAAATAAAAAAGCCTACACTCTTATTTCTCCTCTGATCTCCAACACTCTGATGGAAAACTGCAGGAGGGGGACAGAAACAGTGGGAATTTGGAAAATTTAATGCTGCTCTCTTTCTCTTGGATAATAAAAATACAGCGTTATCATTATACAGGGATAAAATTCATTTGCAAAAAACAAGAGTCAAAAAATTAGGGGAGAAAAAGACTAAATTTATCCACCATTTTGGAATTATAGAGAAACCAACCGGCATATTAAGCATACTGTAAAGGAGCAACTTCCTCCTCTTCCCAAATCTATAGTCACCAGAGCAAGCAGGCCTACCCCAGTTCAGGACAGCTGCAAAGTCAAGGTAAACAGGTGGGTGCACGACTCCAACCCCAATGTCTAAGAGTTGTCTTGCCCAATTAGGGTCCATTCTGACATCTAGGACAATAACTGACCATTTTTACAGACAGCAACCTTTTGGGCATTGTTCATTGAGCACTTTGGGTGAAGATTAGTGATTCTAAACTCCTGCATACTTGCATTATTTTTACATTTTTGGATGACATCCATAGAATAGTAAATGTCCTATTAAACATTCACTGTGATCTAATCAGTCACAATTAAGGCACTTACTTTGCATCAGCAGCCTCAGAATGTCACTGTACTGGTCAGGGAACTGGTAGAGAAGAAGGTAAGTCCAGTGCTTACAAAAAAGATTAAATGGCATCAAAATATCTTCATCTGGTTCAAGGCCCCAGGCAGTAAGTGCCAAATGAATGGACTCCAGAAGCCTGGTACGATCAGACAGAGGAGGTTTAGTGGCGTTTAACCATTGCTTAAGATCGAACTAAAAAGAAAAGGAAATAAGAAGTTTTATTTATACTAGAAAATTAATTGAAATAGAGCAGATTGTGTGCAAATTTAGTCTAAAAGTCAAAGCTTACCTAGCATTTAGCTTTTTATAAAGATTGAAACTAAAATTTATATACTTAAAAGAATCTAGGCAGTTCAGTGACTGGCAGTACCATTATGCCTCCATCTATACTTCAGTCTCTGGGATTGCAGAGGCAGTTTTCTCAGCCCTGCATGCTTTTTTGCAATTTAAAAATCTTGTTGGTAAGTTTTCTCTACCACACAAGGATCAGAATTTTGTAGTCCTTCTTCACTGGTCAGTGCCACGAACAAGTGGCCACTTTATGGAACTACCTCCATCTAATGGCCATGTTTCAAAGAGTGCATCAGTTAGTGAAAATTCAGAGTATTGATATCACCTTCCAGAATCCCAAACTATAAAACATGGTCTCCCCCATTACAAACTGAGATCAGTCTCCAGGTCCTAAAGAATGCCCAAGTTTTATGACTCATAGATGTCAGAGAAGTACAGCTGAAGGCAAAATAGCTAAGGCTCTGAAATTCTCAACTGGTTAAGTAAATTCATTGCCTTGGTCTGAGTTAATATTCTATTAGGAATAAAACAAAGGCAATTTGCTTAGATTGGGCTTATTCTAAATATGAGAGACTCTGACATATTACAACTCAATTATCAAACACAATTAAGGCATACATTCAAAAGAAGGATGTACTGAATTATTACTATGAATATTTCAAAACTGTATGAAGTTTTTAAAGAGAGTTTGGGAGCTGGTCCTTTTTATACTACATGAGTAAGACTGTCCTATATAACAGAATCAGCGCCCCCAGAAGCAGCAGCTCTGGGATGCTATTTGAAGATGATATCAAATGTGAAAATGGCCTGTCAGTCTCCAGTCCACCTGGAGACAGAGCTCCGAGGGCCGTGCATTTCTGTGGAGCTGGGAAACAACAGCAGTATCTACATTTCAATGACAACATCAGGACTGAATGACAGCTCACCTTGGTCAGCAGCATGAAAATCATATCACTGTTGTCCTCACTCAGAAACTGCACCACTTTCTCATACAGCTGTATGAACTCCGCAGGCGTAGCGTTGGGAGTAAAGAAAGGAGACAGGAGAGAGCAGAGCCTTCTGTTCTTCAGAATGGTCTGAAGGACTTTTCTGCATTCTGATTTAGTGCCACTTATAAACACCTTGAAAGAATTAAAAAGGGAAAATGTCACTAAATTCTCCCTTCCCCAACTTTTACTTAAGCACCCAAGTTTTAAGGAATAGTACGTAAGGCAAATAGAATTTTTTGTAAATGAGAATATGAAACAATCAAAAGAAATGTAAAATCAACATTGATAAACCTGTCACTTCCAATGTAAGTGATATTAAAAATTCTGGATAATCCATTCATTTCATTTGGACACACCAAAGAAAACGTTTAAAAGATTAAAATACTGGGATAATCTGAATCTGGAAATTTGCAATGTACCCACCATGACTGCTAAGTATTCAAAGTGATTCTCCATTACGTCAAGAAAAAAAACTTCTAGGTTACACATTTTATTGAGATGTGCTTTTAATACCTTTAAAAAGCTTATTTTCACAACTAATATACACTCAAGATAACCTCACCTTCTTGTAACTTGGTTCTAACGTTTAAAACTACTAGAATATAAGTGAATATTTAAATAACCTCAGAGTTAGGAAAACTTTGAAAAGCTTGACCAGAGGCAGAAATAATAAAGGACAAGACTGAGAGATTTGAATATATAAAAATTTTTACTTCAATAAGGCAAAAAGCATCATAAAATTAAAGAAAAATGACAAAGTAGAAAAATTATACCACATTCCAGATACAAGGTTAGCACTCTGAGGAGCTCTTTCACATCAATCAAAAAACAAGAAACTCTCCCAGCAGAAAATGTGCAAAGGACAATACCAGAAAAATCACACAAAAAAATTATTAAACAGCCAATAATCATTTGAAAAGTCAGGCAACTGAACAAGTACTTAAAGAAATACAACTTAAAATAATCACAAAGTACCACGTCCCCTATTAGATTAGCAAGACTTATAAAGAATGATCATTCCTAATGTTCTAATATGGAGAATAATAAACTCAAACCCTGCTATTATAATGTAAATAGGTACAAACTTCCCAGGAGGAGAGTATAACAATATACATCAAATGCTAATCCTTTTGACATACATAGCAATCATACTTCTAGGAAATTATCCTAGGAAAAATAGCACAATAATTTCACAAAGATACGTAAGAATATTTAGCTCAGGCTTACTGTAGCAAAACAAACAACCTACCTAAATATTCATCCAGAGGGCACTGTCTCAACACATTACAATATATCTATACCATGTAACACTATATATTAAATACCATGATATAGGTCTGTATTTATTATCAAGAATAATGTCTAAAACATGCATTTGAATGAAAAAGCAGGTTATAAAACAGCATGTGCTAGTTATTAACTGTGTATTTTTACATATACACACATAAACTAATAGACATAGATACACAAGACAAACTATAATGAAATGTTAGCTCTGTAACCAACATCTCCAGGAGATGAGGATTGTGAGAAATTTTTCTTCTTTATACTTTTTTTTTTAACATCTTTATTGGAGTGTAATTGCTTTACAGTGTTGTGATAGCTTCTGCTGTATAACAAAGTGAATCAGCTATATACATATGTAAACCCCCATATCCCCTCCCTCTTGCGAATCCCTCTCACCCTCCCTACGCCACCCCTCTAGGTGGTCGAAAAGCACAGAGCTGATATCCCTGTGCTATGCAGCTGCTTCCCACTAGCTATCTATTTTACATTTGGTAGTGTATATATGCCAATGCTACTCTCTCTCACTTTGTCCCAGCTTACCCTTCCCCCTCCCTGTGTCCTAAAGTCCATTCCCTATGCCTGTGTCTTTATTCCTGTCCTGCCCTTAGATTCATCAGAACCATTTTTTTTTTTTAGATTCTATATGTGTTAGCATATGGTATTTGTTTTTCTATTTCTGATTTACTTCACTCTGTATGACAGACTCTAGGTCCATCCACCTCAAAAAGGATATTGCTGACTCAATTTCATTTCTTTTTATGGCTGAGTAATATTCCACTGTATATATGGGCCACAGCTTCTTTATCTATTCATCTGTCAATTGACACTTAGGTTGCTTCCATGTGCTGGCTACTGTAAATAGTGCTGCAATGAACATTGTGGCACATGACTCTTTTTGAAATATGCTTTTCTCAGGTTATATGCCCAGTAGTGAGATTGCTGGGTCATATGGTAGTTCTGTTTGTAGTTTTTTAAGGAACCTCCATACTGTTCTCCATAGTGGCTGTACCAATTCACATTCCCACCAGCAGTGCATGAGTGTTCCCTTTTCTCCACACCCTCTCCAGCATTTACTGTTTGTAGATTTTTTGATGATGGCCATTCTAACTGGTGTGAGGTGATACCTCATTGGAGTTTTGATTTGTATTTCTCTACTGATTAGTGATGTTGAGCATCATTTCATGTGCTTGTTGGCAATCTGTATATCTTCTTTGGAGAAATGTCTATTTAGGTGTTCTGCCCATTTTTGGATTGGGTTGTTTGTTTTTTTGATATTGAGCTGCATGTATAATTTGGAGATTAATCCTTTGTCAGTTGCTTAGTTTGCAAATATTTTCTCCCATTCTGAGGGTTGTCTTTTCATTTTTATGGTTTCCTTTGCTGCGTAAAAGCTTTTAAGTTTCATTAGGTCCCATTTGTTTATTTTTATTTCCATTTCTCTAGGAGGGGGGTCAAAAAGGATATTGCTGTGACTTATGTATGTTTTACTCTAAGACTTCTATAGTATCTGGCCTTACATTTAGGTCTTTAATCCATTTTGAGTTTATTTTTGTGTATGGTGTTAGGAAGTGTTCCAATTTCATTCTTTTACATGTAGCTGTCTTGTTTTCCCAACACCACTTATTGAAGAGGCTGTCTTTTCTCCATTGTATATTCTTGCCTCCTTTATCAAAGATAAGGTGACCATATGTGTGTGGGTTTATCTCTGGGCTTTCTATCCTGTTCCACTGATCTATATTTCTGTTTCCGTGCCAGTCCCATACTGTCTTGATTAGTGTAGCTTTGTACGATAGTCTGAAGTCAGGGAGCCTGATTCCTCCAGCTCCGTTTTTCTTTCTCAAGCTTGTTTTGGCTGTTCGGGGTCTTTTGTGTTTCCATACAAGTTGTGAAATTTTTTGTTCTAGTTCAGTGAAAAATGCCATTGGTAGTTTGATAGGGATTGCACTGAATCTGCAGATTGCTTTGGGTAGTACAGTCATTTTCACAATGTTGATTCTTCTAATTCAAGAACATAGTATATCTCTCCATCTGTTTGTATCATCTTTAATTTCTTTCATCAGTGTCCTATAGTTCTCTGCATAAAGGTCTTTTGTCTCCTTAGCTAGGTTTATTCCTAGGTATTTTATTCTTTTTGTTGCAATGGTAAATGGGAGTGTTTCCATAATTTCTCTTTCAGATTTTTCATCATCAGTGTATAGGAATCAAAGGGATTTCTGTGCATTAATTTTGTATCCTGCTACTCTACCAAATTCATTGATTAGCTCTAGTAGTTTTCTGGTAGCATCTTTAGGATTCTCTATGTATTGTATCATGTCATCTGCAAACAGTGACACCTTTACTTCTTTTCTGACTTGGATTCCTTTTATTTCTTTTCCTTCTCTGATTGCTGTGGCTAACACTTCCCAAACTATGTTGAATAATAATGGTGAGAGGGGGCAACCTTGTCTCGTTCTTGATCTTAGAGGAAATGGTTTCAGTTTTTCACCATTAAGAACGATGTTGGGGCTTCCCTGGTGGCGCAGTGGTTGAGAGGCCGCCTGCCGATGCAGGAGACGCGGGTTCGTGCCCCGGTCCGGGAGGATCCCACATGCCGCGGAGTGGCTGGGCCCGTGAGTCATGGCCGCTGAGCCTGCGCGTCTGCAGCCTGTGCTCTGCAGTGGGAGAGGCCGCAGCAGTGAGAGGCCCACATACCACAAAAAAAAAAAAAGCACAATGTTGGCTGTGGGTTTGTCCTATATGGTCTTTATTATGTTGAGCTAGGTTCCCTCTGTGCCTACTTTCTGAAGAGTTTTTACCATAAATGGGTGTTGAATTTTGTCAAAAGCTTTTTCTGCATCTATTGAGATTATTATATGGTTTTTATCCTTCAATTTGTTAATATGGTGTATCACATTGATTGATTTGCATATATTGAAGAATCCTTGCATTACTGGGATAAACCCCACTTAATCATGGTGCATGATCCTTTTAATGTGCTGTTGGATTCTGTTTGCTAGTATTTTGTTGAGGATTTCTACACCTATGTTCAGAGATACTGGCCTGCAGTTTTCTTTTTTTGTGACATCTTTGTCTGGTTTGGGTATCACGGTGATGGCCTCATTGAATGAGTTTGGGAGTGTTCCTCCTTCTGCTATATTATGGAAGAGTTTGAGAAGGATAGGTGTTAGATCTTCTCTAAATGTTTGATGGAATTCGCCTGTGAAGCCATCTGGTCCTGGGCTTTTGTTAGTTGGAAGATTTTTAATCACAGTTTCAATTTCAGTGCTTGTGATTGGTCTGTTTATATTTTCTATTTCTTCCTGGTTCAGTCTCAGAAAGTTGTGCTTTTCTAAGAATTTGTCCATTTCTTCCAGGTTGTCCATTTTATTGGCGGGCAGTTGCTTGTAGTAATCTCTCATGATCCTTTGTATTTCTGCAGTGTCAGTTGTTACTTCTCCTTTTTCATTTCTACTTCTGTTGATTTGAGTCCTCTCCCTTTTTTTCTTGATGAGTCTGGCTAATGTTTATCAATTTTGTTTATCTTCTGAAAGAACCAGCTTTTAGTGTTATTGATATTTGCTAATGTTTCCTTCATTTGTTTTTCATTTATTTCTGATCTGATCTTTATGATTTCTTTCCTTCTGCTAACTTTGGGTTTTTTCGTTCTTCTTTCTCTGATTGCTTTAGGTGTAAGGTTAGGTTGTTTGAGATTTTTCTTGTGTCTTGAGGTAGGACTGTATTGCTATAGACTTCCCTCTTAGAACTGCTTTTGCTGCATCCCATTGGTTTTAGGTCGTCGTGTTTTCATTGTCATTTGTTTCTAGTTAATTTTTGGTTTCCTCTTTGATTTCTTCAGTGATTGCTTGGTTATTTAGTAGCATGTTGTTTAGCCTCCCTGTGTTTGTATTTTTTACAGTTTTTTTCCTGTAATTGATATCTAGTTTCAGAGCGTTGTAGTCAGAAAAGATACCTGATACGATTTCAATTTTATTAAATTTACCAAGGCTTCATTTGTGACCCAAGATATGGTCTACCCTGGAGAACGTTCCATGAGCACTTGAGAATAAAGTGTATTCTATTGTTTTTGGATGGAATGTCCTATAAATATCAATTAAGTCCATCTTCTTTAATGTGTCATTTCAAGCTTGTGTTTCCTTATTTATTTTCATTTTGATCTGTCCATTGCTGAAAGTAGGGTGTTAAAATCCCCTACTATGGTTGTTTTACTGTCGATTTCCCCTTTTATGCCTGTTAGCATTTGCCTTATGTATTGAGGTGCTCCTATGTTGGGTGCATAAATATTTACAATTGTTATATCTTCTTCTTGGATTGATCCCTTGATCATTATGTAGTGTCCTTCTTTGTCTCTTGTAATAGTCTTTATTTTAAAGTCTATTTGGTCTGATATGAGAATTGCTACTCAGCTTTCTTTTGATTTCCATTTACATGGAATATCTTTTTCCATCCCCTCACTTTCAGTCTGTATGTGTCCCTAGGTCTGAAGTGGGTCTCTTGTAGACAGCATATACACAGGTCTTGCTTTTGTATCCATTCATACAGTCTATGTCTTTTGGTTGGAGCATTTAATCCACTTACATTTAAGGTAATTAGCGATATGTATGTTCCTATTACCATTTTCTTAATTGTTTTGGGTTTGTTTTTGTAGGTCTATTCTTTCTCTTGTGTTTCTTGCCTAGAGAAGTTCCTTTACCATTTGTTGTAAAGCTGGTTTGGTGGTGCTGAATTCTCTTAGCTTTTTCTTGTCTGTAAAGGTTTTAATTTCTCAATCAAATCTGAATGAGATCCTTGCTAGGTAGAGTAATCTTGGTTGTAGGTTTTTCTCTTTCGTCACTTTAAATATGCCCTGCCACTCCCTTCTGGCTTGCAGAGTTTCTGCTGAAAGATCTGCTGTTAACCTTATGGGGATTCCCTTGTGTGTTATTTGTTACTCTTCCCTTGCTGCTTTTAATATTTTTTCTTTGCTTTTAATTTTTGATAGTTTGATTAATGTGTCTCGGCATGTTTCTCTTTGGGTTTATCCTGTATGTTACTCTCTGTGCTTCCTGGACTTAATTGACTATCTCCTTTCCCATGTTAGGGAAATTTTCAACTATAACCTCTTCAAGTATTTTCTCAGACCCTTTCTTTTTCTCTTCTTCTTCTGGGACCCCTATTATTCGAATGTTGGTGCATTTGACGTTGTCCCAGAGGTCTCTGAGACTGTCCTCAACTCTTTTCATTCTTTTTTCTTTATTCTGTTCCCTAGCAGTTATTTCCACCATTTTATCTTCCAGCTCACGTATCTGGTCTTCTGCCTCAGTTATTCTGTTATTGATTCCTTCTAGAGTAGTTTTAACTTCAGTAATTGTGTTGTTCATCATTGACTGTTTGCTCTTTAGTTCTTCTAGGTCCTTATTAAATGTTTCTTGTATTTTCTCCATTCTGTTTCCAAGATTTTGGATCACCTTTACTACCATTACTCTGAATTCTTTTTCAGGTAGGTTACCTATTTCATCTTCATTTATTTGGTCTTGTAGGTTTTTACCCTGCTCCTTCGTCTGTAACATATTTATTTGTTGTTCCTTTTTTTTTTTTTTTTTTTTTTTTTTTTTTTTTGATGGGTGATGCTGTATTCCTGTCTTACTGGTTGTTTGGACTGAGACGTCCAGTACTGGAGTTTACAGGCAGTTGGACAGAGCTGGGTCTTGGTGCTGAGATGACGACCTCCACAAGGCCTCACCCCGACTGATATTCCCTGAGGTCTGAGGTTCTCTGTTAGTCCAGTGGTTTGGACTCGGAGTTCCCACCACAGGAGCTCGGGCCTGACCTCCAGCCTGGGAACCAAGATCCCACAAGCTTTGTGGAGCAGTAAAAAAGAAAAAAGAAAAAAAGGAGCAGTACAATATCAAAGATTAAAAAAAACAGAATTAGAAAAACAAAAATTATATTAGTAAAAATACAACTATAACTGAAACAACTGCAACAAGGTAAAATAAAACCACAACAGAAGAAAGAAGAAGAAAAAAAAAAGGGTGGGGGCGGGGGGGAGGGGGAAACAAGCCAAAGGTGAGAACAATAACAAAGTATAAAGAATAAAAGAAAAATAGAAAAATGAAAGATTTATTAGGAAAAATAAGAATATAAAAGAACCAACAACAATGAATCAACAAAGTAAAACAGAACCCCAATCTAAGAGGAAAAAAGGAAAAAAAAAAAGCCTTGTCTATGGGGGCAGAGTTTAGGCGGTGGAATTTAGGCAGGGGTGGGGTTTACGGTGGGGTGAGACCTAGGCAGGTGGGACGTGACGTTTGAGCGTGGGGCGGGGCCTAGGCTCTGGACCCATGCAGCCAGAAAAGGCCTTGGGGGTGGGGCCGAGGCAGGGAGACGTTCAAGCGTGGGGCGGGGCCTCTGCTCAGGACCTGCGCAGAAGGGGAGAGGCAGCACGTGAAAAGGAGGGCCTGTGGAGTGTGGAGTTCCGGAGTTTGTAGGTAGGGCCCTGGGTGAGGGTGTGTGGGTGGGGTTTAGGCCCAGAGAGTTGAAGGGCTTCTCCGAGTGTAGAGGTCGGGTACAGGGTGGGGGTGTAGGGGTGGGGCTTGGGCTCTGCACAGCAGGAGGGAGGCTCCGAGGGCAGAGGATTAGGCCCGGGAGCCCAACAGGCTTCCCGCTGCCTAAGTGGACAGGGAAAGCACTGGCCCCGTTCCCTTACGTTCCTTCATGCCCCTCCCCCACCATCTCCCCCAGGGTCTCCCCCGTCGCCGCTGGACCCCTAACTGTGGGTGGGTCCCGCTGGGTGTAGGAACTCCTCCCCTCCCCCAGTCACCCCTCAGGGATGCCGGTCCCAGAGGTCTGGCCTTTACTTTTGCTCCCCCTTCCCTCCCTCCCACTCCCTCAGGACCTGCGTGGCTGGAGGAGGCCTAGGTGGGCAGAAGATCAGGCCCGTGATCTCAGCAGGTTCCTGGGGGCCTAAGTGGGCAGGGGAAACCTGGCCACGCTCCCTTTGGATCCTCTGCCCTCCCAGTGTTCCCCAGTTTCGCCCTTTGGGCTTGGGATCCCTTCCCCTCCCCCAGCCGCCCCTCGGGCGCCACTCCCGTCCCGCCTCCATTTCTCCTCCCCCTGCACTCCCCCCACACCCCACGTCCTACCCGGTCACTGGGGGTTCCTCCCGTCCCCTTAGGTGTCCATGGTCCCCCTCTTGTGCCTGGTAGGTGCCCTAGTTGTGAGGAGACGCAAATTCCGCATCCTCCTAGAACACCATCTTGACTCCGCCCCCTCTTTATACTTTTTATGCTGTCTGTATTGCTTACAATAAGTACTCAACACTTTTATAATCAGGCAAAAATCTATTCTAAAACATCTATTTTAATATCTGCTCAGTATCCCCTCCCTAAAAGTATCCAGTAAATAGGTACTTATTTAATTGAATTTGGGTGAGAGTACATGATTAATCAGTATTTATGTTTTCCATCAAGTGGCATTTCTTGCTTTTATGACATATTTCATAATCTGCATGGATACAGTGCCCTTGCCCTTGTTAAATATCCATATATTTAACAGTAAGTCAAATAAGTAAATAAATGGTGACTAGCAACTGGGAGGCAGCAATGGACAGGTGGAGCAAGCACGGAATGTTGAGTCAGAAGACCCGGGGTCACTCTCAGCTTCAGCACTCACCAGCTGTATTCCTTAGGCAAGTCACTTAATCTTTTAGAGACCAGTTTTCTCATCTTTAAGATGGGAATGCTATCAATCACACAGAGTCACTGTGAGGGTGAAATAAAATAATGAATCAAAAAGAATTTTATAAACAATAAAGAGCTTTGGTAATACCAGTTACCAGAAACAGCATAAGATAGAATCTGATGTCTCCCCAGAGACTTACATATATTAATAATTTAATATCTCTTGTATGAAAAGCAGAATTCCATACCAACAATTCTAACGACATCTTGAGAAGTCAACAATTCAAAGGGGCTTCTGACTTAGGTAAGACTCTGAACCTATAATATAAGTTTGGAGTCAACCGTGCCTATAGCTAATGAGGACACTGTAGGGACTCATCATATGTAAATAAGGCTAAAAACACAGGATAACCTTACCTGTCCCAAGATCTCAATGCATGAAGTAAAGAACTGCCTTGTGGGAGGATGACGCTGGGTCTCATCGCTGACATAATCCACAACAGTAAAGAAGAGGCTGATGCCAACCTTCTGAACCCCAGGGGTGGGGTGTGACTGGTAGGCATTCACTAAGGCCCTGTGGGAAAATGTAGGTAAGGCTATTGGTCTACAGTAAGAGAATACAGAGCCACAGTGTTTCCCTGATACTCTACATTTCTCAGGCAATATTCTTAAGAGTCCTCAGAGCCCCATATGAATGTCACTTTAGAAATATTTCACGGGATAGCTTCTAACTTGACCCAACAACTTTCCAATACACAGAAGTGATTTTATGTCCTCCTGGGGGGAAGAAATTCAGCCTTTATTAACATTAAATATTTTCATAATTGTATGTAATTCATAATTTATTACTCAATTTCATGTATTATAATATAAATACATATTTTTAAACACAAGAACCTTGATTTCCCTAAATTTTAAAATCCAAAATACTGACTTAGGTTGAAGAAAAAGATTTTTGTATAGAATAAGATCCTAGAATAAAAGATATCTCTTCTAATTCTCACTCTGTTTTAAGTCTCTTTCCTAGTAAAAGAAACATCAACCTCTTGTTCACCTTATCTCCTCCTCCTTCCCAGACCCCCACCCCCAATCCAACCCACAAAAGGTCTCAATTCCCCTGTCCACACCACCATCCTAATCTACTGGGGGATTAGCTGCTGGTACTAGAACGTGCAGTCACCTCTGCAGTAAAAGGCAGAGTCAACCTCCCCTTTCCCAGGTAATGTCCTGGTGGCTTTGGGAAGAAAAAGGAGAGCTCTAATGGTCAAATGCAGGTTGGCAACTACACCTGAGAGCCCTAGCTCCCCTGAGCAATTCCACTTCCTACTTTGCTCAATAATCTGAATGGACAATGATGACTTCCTGGGTAAATGTGACTTTAATATACAACTTAAGCACTAAGGGCTTCCCTGGTGGCGCAGTTGGTTGAGAGTCCGCCTGCCGATGCAGGGCACACGGGTTCGTGCCCCGGTCCGGGAAGATCCCACATGCCGCGGGCCGGCTGGACCCGTGAGCCATGGCCGCTGAGAAAAAAAAAAAAAAAAAAAAAAAAACTTAAGCACTAAATCTCTCCATGATTGAATTCTAATGCAATGTATCACCTCCTGATTCATGGGTCAGCAAAATTATTCTACAAAGGGCCAGATAATAAATATCTTATGCTTTATGGGCTATAAATTGTCACTACACTCAATTCTGCCATTGTAGCATAAAAGCCATACACATTAAGTAAATAAATGGGCACGGCTATGTCACAGTAAAACTTTACTTATAAAAATAGATGGCAGGTCAGATTTGGCCCAAAGGCTGCTGATCCCTGTACTAATTAGTGGGTGACTGGTGGGTATAGCAGCATGCATGATTACTGTCAGTAATAACAAATAGTATTTTAAATTATAATGCCCTCAAAACTTACGTAATCAAGTTTTCGGCATGCACAGCGGCTTCCACAATATTAAGTGATGGTGGTTTAGCAGCTTCTGCTTGCAACTGCTTCACTTCTTTTTGCAAAACATGAAGCTGTTGGCTTATTGCTTCATTCTTATGCAAACCTTCAAACTAACAAAAATTAAAGTGGTCAACAGACTTATTTACCCCTACAGCTTTCCAGAGCAGATATTTTATTAAAAATATCCTGGGTATTCGATAAAGAGAATATTATTACAACTAATATTGTAACTCAAAACTCTCAGCTGAACCTGAGAAGGATGGGGAAAAAACCATCAAAAACCTATACGAGAATCTCAGGCTTTTCATGAAGAATCAAACTTGAATTAGGTCATTGCTGGTTCAGATCCTTTTGTAGGCTATGTTCTACGTCACTCATGCTTCAGTGCTCCAATTCTGATTAAAAATAAACTCAGTGTCTTCCACCACTGGGGCTTCTCTTGAAGCACATCAAGCCCCCCTCTGTTGGCCATCTCTCTCCATAACCATAACCCCTCTCTGTTCTCCCAATCCAGAAGCACATATAATTTGACTCAAGACACTGTGGCTGCACGTTTCATCTGCACCAAACATAAAAAGAGGATGACACAGATCTGTTAATAAAACAACTGCCATTTTGAAAGGAAGAAAAGATAAATACTTATAAAAGAAACACCAAAAATAAGATAAAATACAAGAAGTGCCCACACCAGTTGCATGCCTAGGAAAGCACAACTGACTATTTCAGTGGTTCCTAAAAGCTGGTCTTTGATAAAATTTGTATTGGTTCTCAGTAAAGATGTGAAACATAAGAAGAATTTATTGAGCTTTAAAAAAAAAAAAAAAACTATATTTCAATTTTTTTAAAACTATACTTTATTTAAGATTATGTCTTTCCTATTTGAGGGGGTTGTTAATATTCCTTTCTCTAATTAATTGATGGTGACCTATACGATAACTGCTTTGTATGTACATTTTTAATGTCCTTTTTTGCCTGTGGACAGATACAGAGAACATCCTAGGCCCAGGTTGCAACACAAATGTAGCAGTTGTGGGGGACAGGACAGAGGGACAGCCAAGAGGAGCTCAACCAAGTAGGGGGTCAGGGCTGAAGAGGGCAGTGTAATCAGACTGGGGAGCAGAGGGGCCTGTCTTAGAGATACCTTTAATGCAGGTTAGGGAATTTGGACTTATCTTGCAGGCATGGCAGGAAATGCTGAAGAGACCAGAACATTTAGAAAGCAGGAATTTTAAATCCTACATTCTCTTCACATAGTCTTCCCCAATCACTTGGGTGAGCAGTGGAGTCCACATTTTCCTTTATATGCACCTGCCCAAACCCAGGCCTCAGCCACCACTGCAGTGATTACAGGTATCCTTTGTTTATAAATAATGTAATTACTTAATTCACAAACTTGCTCAAATGAATCCCTTATATCCCTGCCAGAGTTATTTTCATAAATGCCAGATCAAAAGCTCATGAAGGGTAATGGTCCTGCTTGTTTTGCTTTACACAGCAGCCCAGTGCAGCACAACTCTGATAGATGGCATGTTGAGCCCCTACTTTTATGATCATGGTAATAAGTTTCTTCCACAAAACTCACCAATGTTGTGTTAAAAATCTTTATAAAACTTCTTGTTTTACAGAAAAAAATAGGCTGTTACTTTGTATCAAAAGGCATAAAAGATGCTTAGCACTTTTTAGCAATAAAGTATTGTTTAATTTTTAAAAAACGGCATAAAAGTGAATATCCAAGAGCATATAATGTTAACGACAATTACTTCAATTTTTACTACTGGAGAAACAAAAGATTAAAAAAAGTAAATTACTTCCATTAAACCACATAATAATCAATATAAATATTTTATTTCAAATCTTTCAAATAACAGGCCAATGTTTAATAGCCCAAAATGTGATCAGGAGTATGTGCAGTCAGCTTTTTTGCCCAATATGTCACCAAGTACAGTTAAACTGGGTCCTTGAGAGTCACAGCCCTTGGTTGACCTGGAGAGAAAGCATCAAAGAGAGGAAAAGAAAGAATCTGAGAGGAGGAAGGAAGACAGTAAGAATGAAGGGAAGTGGAAAGACAATGGATAATAAAAAAGAGAGGCTCACTTGACTGGGAAACGCAGAGAGACAAGACTAAAATCACTTTGTAACTTGAACTTTAGAACTGCCACCCCATGTTGTAAAACTACTGATGCTGAAGAATAAAAGAAAATCAACTAGCTTAGGAAAGTTTAAACTTTCTCACAAAAAACCCCAAAATTATCATAATTTCCTAGTCTACTTATTTTTGTTCATTGTTCCTACCACTGTTAAAAGTTTTCTTTTCTTACTAGAGGGGAGGTAAGAGAGACTGAATGACTACCGGCTCATAATTACAAGAAGCTGTAGACAATAGAACAAAGCAGCATGCTGGAAGCCCGTCCCCTTGAGTCACTACAAGTAGACAAAGAAATGCAAAAGTTGCACAAAGCATGTGCTTCAGTAAGTTGTTAAAATAATGTGAGGCCCTCAGGGGGTCTTTTCCAACTTTCATTTCTAGGAATGAACAATTTTTCACATGATAATAAATCAGTCCTGGGTCCAGCAAACATGCCCCACAATACCAAAGAACAACAAAAGGAACCCTATTATAAATCACCCCATATCCTCAGGGAATATCACCAAATTATTAGAGGCTTCTGCTAGGAGAGGCGACCACAGAAGAGGCACGTCTCACTTCCCAGAAAATATCTTTGGCTTTTGTATACCCCAAACAAGCTATACATAGTTCAAACATTTGCAGATGGCTGGAAATTTCCAGGGCTTTCCCTCACAGAAAAATTCTACTAAGCAATAAGATATTTTCATGATATAATTTGAAATCTTTACAAAAGAGCCATTAAAATTTATATTTAAAATACGCTTAACATGTTTTAATTTTAGAACTTAAAATTCACACTTGAAATATAAAATTATTTTCCATGAAGTTGATTTTAAAAATTCATCCAATCCAGGAATTCTCTAATCACTGAAAAAGAAGCACTCCTATCACACTAACTCAGAAAGAAAGGGGTACACATGTTAATTCAAATGAGATTTGACCATCATGATCAGCTAGTTTTCAAAAATAGGAGCTGAAAGAGCCAAAGCAAATGGCCTGGCCATTTCCCAATATTGAATGGAAAAGCACAACTCTTGAATTTAAATAGATGCGGGCTTGAATTCCAACTGAGCCACTTACTAGCTGTGTGAGTTTGACAAGTCTCTGAGTCTCTCCGAACCTGCTCTCTCTTCCTCATTCTGTGAAGCTAAGTGAAAAACGTAAGCAAAGCTCCTAGCAGATTACCTGGAATGTGAGAGTGCCCAAGCAAGGGATAAGAAATACTCTGAACAGGGCTGAGAAATAAGGTAGTGCACTGAAGTATGACCAGCCTTACCGCTTTCCAAGATCGAATGCCCAGGAGACACTTGTATTAGAGTAAAAAGGTAAGTGGAGCAGTGTGTGGTATTTAAGTCAGGATTTTGTATGGAAAGCATTAAACTGGCCAATTAAGCATTAAATTGGCTAAAGGTAAGCAGGATCAAAAATGACTGCCAATTTCTAGTAGGAATAAGTTGCAACTTCCATGTCTTCCCCAGCCAGATAATATCTTCAGGGAGATTATTATTAAGAGTATGTATCCATCGTTCATTCCTTCAGACACATCCATTCTGTGACACTGACTGTGTGAAGCACTGACAACATAAACATGAAAAAGACAAGATCCTGGCCCTCAAAATCTGTTAAAGGCTACAGAAGTAATCATAACACAAAACAAGCTGTAATGCAGTCTAACAAGTGGTGTGCTTGTGGCTCTCAATGACTGATTCAGGGGTGTTAAAGGGTACCTATCATGTGCCAAGAGCCATTCTAGGTGCTACTGGTAATACAGATGAATAAGGACAGGAGCTCTATTCCCAAAGAGGTTACAGTCTGGTAGGAAAAATAGCAGGTAACTACAACAGCATTTATGCTCAAGCTGCGATAAGAGGAGGGAATATCTCAGTTTGACTAGAGGAGTCAAGAAAGACCTCAAGAAAAGATGCTGCCTGAACCAAGGAATGAAGGGAAGAGCAGAAGCTCAGAAATGAGTCGGGGAGAACAAACAGCATATGCTAAGAACAAAGGCATGTCATGTTTGCAGAACAGAAAAGGTCTAAATTGCTAGAAAATAGAAGGTTTGGGGAGCGGGAGAGAGGGTAAATGATGTTGCTAGAGAAAGATTAAGAACAGATTATGCAGGGTCCAAAAAGACATACTCCTTTTAGACACTAGAGAACCAACGTGGGTTTTTAGCCCGGAAATGTGATCAGATTTGTGTTTAAAAAGATGAATGGTGGAAAATGAACTAGATAGAAAGACTATGGACAGGAAGGCTGCTGTATTAGTTCAGGGGAGAAGTGATGTGGGCTGACCATAGGGCAATGGCAATACAAACAGAGAAAGGCATACATTTAAAGCCATTTCAAAGGCAGAACGAGTATGACTTGGAAAGCGACTAGATAGGAAGTATGGGGGGGGCGGTGGGGGGGAATATGGATACTGATGCCTCGGTCTCCATCTTGGGAGCCCAGGTAAGTGGAATTACAGAAAAAACAGGTTTGACAGGTAAAGATGAGATTAGGACCTACAGAGTTTGAGGTATCTATGGGACATTCATAGAATGTTAAGTAAGCAAGAAGCCTAGACCTGGAACTCAAGAGAGAATTCTGGACTAGACAAACAGAACAGGAGTCATCAACATATGGACTGACCCTTCGGGGATCATGGACTGTTGAGGATCGACTGAATCTATGAACTCTCCAGGAAAAAAAAATTTCTATACACTTTCAGGGTCTTCCCTGGCCCACTAAAGACCTTTCACAAACCCCAGATTAAGAACTCCAGCACAGACAAAAGGCAAAAGCAGCTGGTATCACAGTGAAGAAGGGAATCAGGAGTAGAACCAAGCACAACCAGCAATCCAAGCGTTGAGGAACCCTGGAGGAAACTGAGAAGTGGCTGGAGATCTGAGGAATCTAGAAGAGGCCTCATGATGTTCAGCATCACCAGATGATAGAATGATGTCAAACAGGGTCAACACTACTAATCACAACCATGAGGTGGTCACTGGACACCTGTATATAGAGGGGCTACAGTTTTACATTGTAAGAATAACACAATCTACCTTCTTCAGGAATACTGTCTCCCAGTGACAGTTTCTTGATGAGCCATAAACACTCAGAACTCACCTTCCCTACCCCTGACAAACACCTCTCTTCCTACAAACTAAAGTCATCCATTTGTGTAATGGACAGCATTAGACTCAGGTACAATCTTTAACAAAAAATCAGAGCAGGGGCTTCCCTGGGGGTGCAGTGGTCGAGAGTCCGCCTGCCGATGCAGGGGACACGGGTTCGTGCCCCAGTCCAGGAAGACCCCACATGCCACGGAGCGGCTAGGCCCGTGAGCCATGGCCGCTGAGCCTGCATGTCCGGAGACTGTGCTCCGCAACGGGAGAGGCCACAACAGTGAGAGGCCTGTGTACCGCAAATAAATAAATAAATAAATAAATATAAATAAATCAGAGCAAACCTAACTGACTTGCTTAGATAAGCCCAAGCTTCATGGCAGCTAGAGTTTTAACTTTCCTCCACTTTGCTCTTGGCCATTAGTGAGTAGCAAAAAAAATTTTATCTTCAGTTCCTAGAAGTATCAACCAGTAAATACTGCCCAGGACAGCTGGAATTCGCAATTACTGTATAATTTTCCGAAGAAATCATACTGAAGTCTCAGACTACGAAAGTTGCTTGCTGTCTTTACATTTTTAATTCCCCTGACACATCTGCATCGTTAGGCAAAATAATGGCTGGAGTAGTACTGTTGATACTGATACTTCTAGGAGCCATCAGTGGGAGTTCCCAAGCTTCTGGATTTTCCAAATGACGGGACTTCCTAAACTGAAAGTCAGGGCACTGGGCAACACGTAAGGCCAGCAGAAAATTAAAATGTGCTTTAAGAAAACTTGGATATTTCTAATGAGGTTATGGCCACAAAACACAGCTATTTTTCAAATTCTTTAAGCTTCTATAAAATCTTTTTGCTGTGTGTTCTTTCTTGTTTTTTTACTTCTTTCTTCAAGCAATCTTAACATCTACCAATTTTTCTTTTGAAAAGTATTTTTTGTGTTGCCTGTAAAAGCAAAATCTAAGGCATATTCATTTTAATCCCTATCATAGATCATCTTCTTTCTGATCTCCCTCCTCAAAATAATAATCAAAATTATTTTGAAGGTATTTTAGAAAAGGTGTACCTTTTTATTTCAGAATTAACGAACTAAAGGTTATAAAAGAAATTTGAATTCAAGGGTTCAGATAAATCAAGACTATGATCCCTTTTTCTGAAAAGGAAAAAAGACAGGTCACTGGTAGGCTTAGAGTTAAAGCTCCCAGGTCTGCCTAGTGGTATTTTCCACCGCAAGACCCTGCAATTTAATAGGAGGTCAAGCAATCAGACCTGTTCTTTGGCTGGGACAACAAATATTTACAACTCTTCAAACAGTAAGCTATTAGCCAGAATTGGAAAGACATTTCTTTGTACTTATCTCAGTAGTCACTTAAAAAATGCATTTTAGGAGAATTCCCTTCTCTATATAGAATTAACAGCCTGACAAATATATGTAATTTTAAAATATGGAAAAATACCATATTTGTAAAAACACAGATTGGTAATAAAATGTCCCTTTTTTATTATAACTAGATACATTTTCAGCCTTTTCCCCACCAACTCAAACTCCACCCTCAGCTGGCAAACTTTTCTTCCTCTTTTATTATTTTAGCAAGTGATCCTTCTTAAATACCTCTACCTTAGTCTTGCTAAAGCATTAGCAACTGGGGGAATAAAAACACACCAAAAGAAAATTAACTTCATAAGGTACCTGGCCAAAGATATTATCTCAGTATTTAGGAATCTCACATTCCAGGCCAAATTTCTTAATAGACGCATACAACTATGTTGAAAAACCTTAGAAATGAAATTTGAAGGTAATAAAAAATATGAGTATAAAAAATTATTTCAAAGAAGACATTTTAAGAAAACAGTCTCCTAGAAGAGACTGATGAAAAACACATTAGAAGTGTTAAAATATGGACTGGCACAAAAAGAAGGGAAATTTTTGAAAGATAACCAAGAGTCAGTAAAATAAATACCCCAATTTGTAAAAGCTAACAAAGAGAGAAGCTATTTTTGTGCAAGTGTAGTCAAGGAGCAGGTAGCGCCTGTCTCCAACCATTTCTTTCCCAGCTCACGGAATACTGAATTCACTTGCAGAAGGAGTACCATGCAGTGACTAAGGAGCATGCACTCTCCAGCTGGAATGCCTGGGCCTTCTTGGTTTTGCCACTCACTGGCAGCGTCACCTTGGATATGTAACTTAACCTCTCTATGCCTCTATCTCTTCATCTGGAAAATACAGACAATAAAGATACCCACCTTATAGTATTGTGGTGAGGATAAGACAAGTTCTGTAAAGTGTTTAGACTCTACCTGGCATAAAGTGAGTGCTATGACATACTGTCTAAGGCTAACCTTCCATTGTGAAGTCCTTATGATGTCATAGACCCAACTCTGGCCTGTTGGCAAGCTCCACCCAACTGATCTGCTTTTCACACGTGCCTCCCACCTTTGTCTTCAGTGGCTCCCCACTACCCACAGCATTCAGCCAGAGCCCCCACATGATGATCTTTTCCAATGTGAGTTCTAACCTTTCCAACATGAATCACCCCCCCCCCAAAAAAAACAACTGAAACAGATCGATTGAGCCACTGACCCCTAGGTGAAGTCACGGTGACCCCATTCCCACATTCCTTCTAACTGAATCCAAAGTATCATCACCAAAATCTTTTAACACTAGTTTGAGCCCCCTCTCTCCAAGAATCATCTCAATTATTCCCCTTTTCTTTTCATTTCTATCTGACTATCTGTCTTATAAGACTCATCAGCACTTACGGAAATAAGTGATTAGCTTTGTATGTATCTTCACTCTCCCCAGAACTATTAAATGTTTTGGGACATGGATGATGTACTAAATACTTCTTTCAGTTTTTCTCAATGATATGCCAATATTAGGGACTCAAATGAAACTCTCTGAATTATGAAGAGACTTAATCTTACCTGAACTGTTACAACTCCAGCTCCTTGGCACTTCTTGCCACTACTGCCTCTACACTCCAAATGCAGTGTGGTCTGTTCTTCTCGATTAACATACTGCTTGGGCATTGTGTCCAACAGCTCACTGTCCAGCACAACCTGCTGAGATTCCCGAAGAGCTGCAGTTCTGAAAAACATCATTGGTAGGTTAGGAAAAAAAAAAGTCTTAGGAAAGATTTTATGATAAGTGATAAAGGCTTCCAGTCACCCCCAGCCTGCATTAGAGAACGATAAGGCACAAGAATTCCACAGTAACAAAAAACCAAAGGTGTGTGTGCCAAGACTCGCCCAAACCCTCTCCCTGGCAGTCAGAGTTAAAAAAGGAAGGAAAAGTAAGACAACTTTTTAGCCAGAAACAAAGCTCCATTTAGAATCTGTGTTATATCAACAATGTTTTTTTAAATGAACACTTAAATGCAGAAGAGCAAATGAGAATTCCATTCTGATTTAATCATCCTAAAGTGGTACCTTATTTGTAAGTACCAGTGACTTCTTAGATATTAGCAACTCAAACGGAGATGTGGAAGACATGAAAAGCTAGTTGTTTACATGGGTGTCAACACTGTTTTAACTGTATTGATTATTACGGTGATGTGCAGGCAGCCTGTGTGTTGCATGTGCAAACAACACACATACAATACACAACTAAACCAAAGACAACCAAGGGATAAAGGGCCAATAAGAGACTGATTCCCATGGGCTTTGCAAAGATAAACTCTTTCACTTTATAAATAAAACAGACTCTACACACACTCCTCCTCACAGGATCACAAGGTACAATCAAAACCTTATACAGTTGATCATTCTGTATCCACTGTGAACTCAAAATACTAAAATGACTTTCCCACGCTTCGATCAAGTATCTGTGTCAATTTTTAAAAGAATATGGAGAGTTAGAGAGCAAAGCAGTGACAAAAGAGAGTAAATCTCATTTCATTCCCTTTTAACACCATCTTTCCAGTATCAGAAGATTTCCTCAGGGAAAGCGTAAGAAAAAAATTTAGCTGGCACTGCTGACACTCGGAAATGCCACAAGAAACTGTACAATTTATATAGTCCATGAAAGCACCACATAGTTTCCACATGAAATTAAAAGACTTGTCACAATTTGGTTAACTAAGGTAACCATCTGAGCCAGTCTGGTCAAATTACCCTGGTGGTGAGAAGGCTAATGAAGAAGGTCTTCTAGATGCTACGCATCAGGCTGTCAAAGCAGCAAGCACAGAATCCTGGAGGGCTTGTGGTCTTACCTGGCCTGCTGCCGCAGCAGATTCAGGTCTGTGCGTACCAGCTGGATGGCGTCCTTCTGACTCAGGATCGAGGCTGAGGAAATAACTGGCACAGGAGGCCTCATTGGCTGCAGAACAAGGGGAGGTTGGGGGTCCTCGTGCTTCCGCAGGTTACTTAAAACCCTTTCTTTAGCTGAAAAAAAAAATTAAGTCATATTTACTGAATAACGGCTACTACTAGGTCATAATGCTCTACAAAACTAAACTGTTACCTTCATAAAGAATGTTAGAGATCTGAAGAATAGTTGTTTAAATCATCAGAGGCCTAAATGAATAAAATTATCTTTTGTTCCTTCCAAGTTTTGAGAGATCACCCACCAGCCTAATAATACTCTACCCAGGAGCTGGGAGCTCAGGAGCATGTGATATGATTAAATAGAATTCCTATCCTCAAAAAGTCTTGATGATAGTTAAAGACCTACTGCTCACAATCTTAAAAGTATCACCCTAGATAGCTTTGCACAACATGCTAAGGTGTTTGGACTTGACACTAGTGTAAAAGGGATCTAGTGAATAACTCTAAGCAAGCTTTAGAAAGATGGTAGCTATCATCTGGACAGTGGACTGGGGAAATGGGGCAGGTAGCCCAGTTAAGAATTTAATGCAATCATCCAAATAAACTTCACAGGAATAGGAGAAAGAGGAATGGGCATTATGGAATGAAGCTGAGTGAAAAGTCCTACATTAGGCCAAGGTTTGAACAGGAGGGTGGAGAGTAGTAGAGTTAAAATGAATGAAGACATGGGCATGAACTCCTACAGAACTTATATTTATGTAGTCATACAGTCATTCATTCATTCATTTGTTCATTCACTCAAAAACTGATTTACGAATACAAATAAGAAATCATGTACCATATAATAAAAATAAAGGTAAAAAATGGTAAATCTGTACCATGCAACTTTGCACTAGATTTCACATGATCTCATACTGGTCAATCCAACTTAAATGTTTATATTCCTACACTTAGTACACAGCTGAATACACAGTAGGTGTCCAATAAATTCCTATCTTCCCTTCCTTTATTTTCACTACATTATCCACATAGCACACAACTCATAGGGACTGAAGAACATGAAGAAAAATGCTGCCATGTAAGATAACAGAGGTCAGGAGAGGTCAAGGGAATTTCAAGTCAGTAAGTTAACAAAGTACTTAAGGGACTACTCTGAATTTCCGATTTCATTCCAGATATAGCATTCAATTTTCTATTTTTGTTAAGAAAAATTAAAGAAAACTTAATAGCCATGACTTACTTGGCATAAGAAAACTTGTATTGTTTGTAAGCCAAACAGATGGAATTTAACATTCCAAACAGGTCAAGTCCAGGACCGTCCCTTATAGCTGGGGTTTTTCCACTAGAACTACCACTCTATGCACAGAATGTAACAAAGCTGGATATTCACCATGGGGTAAGACTCCTGACTATGTTCAAGTCTCTTTCAAGCAACATTAGGTCATGACTCTAAAGGAAAATGGGGGTGGGGAAGGTGGGGAGGGTCTTTTTCTAACCCAATATAACTTATTACAAAAGAAAAATCAAGGGTGGTACTTTAAATACAAAAGACAGAAAAAAACTTAATTCAGAGCATATTTAACTATAATCACAACTCTGGACCACAACTGACAAAAAGTTACGAAGCCAACAAATTTAAGAAAAAGAAGTGGGTGTCGTAAGTATACAATAACCTATGAAGAGCTGCTGAAATTTTTCCTACAATCACAATCACAAGTTCCATCGTTTGATACAATCATCATCTAACCTGCTCTTATCTGAGAAAAACCTGAAACTAATTATTTAAAAATCTAGGCTTTAATTTTATTTAGAACTGCAACCTGTACTGATCGCCAGAAACAAGACAAGTGAAGAGCAGGGTCTCTGAAGCCTGCTCTTCAAAGCCCCAGCTTTGTGACTTCAGAAAGTTACCTAACCACCATACACTTCAGGTTCCTTATCTGCTCAATGCAAACCCCAAATAATTAAATTCTACCTTCTGCTTTACATGTTGTAAGTCAATTAAAATATCTTTTTAAAGCATCATGCAGAAAATGAACCACAAACTACCTAATCACTTTCCCAATACCAATTTACAAGAAATACAGGGGACAGGAAAACATTAAACTATACCACAAAGGTATAATTAGCAACATCCAGACTGCGGGGAAACTCCATGGCAAGAGTCATGCCTCAGTGTGGGCCAATGAGATGTAACTGGAAAGTCTAGGAGCAGCTTCTTGAAAGAGTCCTTAAAAGAGGGAGACTTCCCTACCCGCTGAATGGAATGCAAATGTGACAGCTTAAGCTTAAGCAGCCATGTTGAACCATAAGTGGATGTCAGATGTGAACACAGTGAGACAGCAAGATAGGAGGTGCATGGGTCCTTGAAGGCTTTCAGGCCATAAAGCTACTGCTCTGAACTGCCTGCCTCCAGACTTCTTTTACATGGAAAAAAAATCCCTCTCTTATTTAAGTCCTCACTGTTTTGGGAATTTCTCTCATTCAGAGCATAACCTAACCCCAAATGATTAACAAGTTAACAATGAACTCCTAAAAAAGCAATTCTCGCTGAGGGGTACACTTTGTGAACGTTAACCCTCAATGGCTCCGATTCCCTTACTCACCCATTCATTGACTCATTCATTCCCTCACTCATTCATTCAAAGGGTCTGATGCTCATTCACACAACTCACCCAACAAAGGATCAGTGAAGTCCGGCGGCACTGACAAACTGCAGGGTGTAGAATGGGACTCAAGCTTGGCCTGCATCCACAGACTAATGGTTTCCTGAAACTCATAATGTATGCGCTCCATGTTCAAATACTCCATCCACAGGTCCTAAAATGGAAACACAGGACTTTAACTTTCAGAGATGAACCACATATTCACATATAAAACTGTATATTTAACTTTAAAGTGAACCCATAAGTTTCAAAATGAGGTGGTCCACTCCAAGTTCTCCAAGCATTAGGATAAATCACATTTAAAATGGGCACTCTAGGGAATTCCCTGGCGGTACAGTGGTTATGACTTGGCACTTGAACTGCCTAGGGCCCGGGTTCAATCCCTGGTCAAGGAACTAAGATCCTGCAAGCCGTGTGGTGCGGCCAAATAAATAAATTTAAAAATAAAATGTCTAACAACCTTAGGAATCTCAAAACTTTTTGACTGTGTACCATGACTGGAAAAAATTATTGCAACAGCCTCACTAAATGTATATTTATAAATTACATACATATACTACTGAACTAATATAAGACATAGGTAAAAAAAAAAACAAATTTTAGAGAGATAAAAAATAAATATATTGAAAATAATTGGATCTGGATTATATCAAGCCCTCGGTCCCAATACCAACTTACAGGAAATACAGGGGACAGAAAAACATATTAAACTACACCACAAAGATATAACCATCAAAATCTAAGCTGTGGGGAAGCTCTATGGACAAACTACCCAGTTTCTTCAACAAATAAGTTGCAATTTTAAAAAAAAGGATAAGAGGAGGAGCTATAGATTTAAACAGATTAATAAGAACTATCAACCAATTACAAAAGACAGACTCTGATTCAAACAAACTGTAAAAGTAAATAAAAACAAAACTTTTATGATATTTGTAAGAGCACTGGAAATTTGAACACTGTCTAGATATTTGATATTAAAAAATTACTGTTAATATATTTCAGATATAAATGCTCTTGGGTTATGTTATTATTTTTTTTAATAAATTTATTTGCTTATTTGTTTTTGGCTGTGTTGGGTCTTCATTGCTGCGCTCGGGCTTTCTCTAGCTGCGGTAAGTGGGGGCTACTCTTTGTTGCGGTACATGGGCTTCTCATTGTCGTGGCTTCTCTTGTTGCAGAGCACGGGCTCTAGGCGCTCAGGCTTCAGTAGTTGTGGCACATGGGCTCGGTAGTTGTGGCTTGTGGGCTGTAGAGCTCAGGCTCAGTAGTTGTGGCACATGGGCTTAGGTGCTCCGTGGCATGTGGGATTTTCCCCGGCCAGGGCTTGAACCTGTGTCCCTTGCATTGGCAGGCAGATTCTTAACCACTGAGCCACCAGGAAAGCCCTGTTATTTTGTTTTAATCTTCGTCTTTTAAAATATGTATCAAATGCCCTCTAGGATTAGCTCCAACATGGTGGTGGGATTGGATTGGCTACAGGTGAAACTAGACACATGATACATACAGGCAGAGGGAGAAGGGCATGTCTATTATACTATTCTATTTTTCTGTATGATTGAATTTTTCATTATAAAAGGTAAAATAAATAATAGATATGATTGACCAAAAAAAATAGAAACAGAAATTCCAGTATTTTCCTCCCACTCTCCAGTGAGCTGTCTTGCATATTTTGCATATTTGTCTTGCATAAAATATATATCTGGTGGGCTTCCCTGGTGGCGCAGTGGTTGAGAGTCCGCCTGCCGATGCAAGGGACACGGGTTCGTGCCCCAGTCCGGGAAGATCCCACATGCCGTGGAGTTGCTAGGCCCGTGAGCCATGGCTGCTGAGCCTGCACGTCCGGAGCCTGTGCTCTGCAATGGGAGAGGCCACAACAGTGAGAGGCCCGCGTAACACACACACAAAAAAATATATTTATATATATCTGGCATATATTTCACTCTGGTGATGACTACATATGAGAATGGTGGACTGCCATTAGTAAAAAAGAAAGTCAACTACCAATGAACACCAAAAACTACAAACAGTAATAGCTGATGAGCAGATAAGGACTGTGCCTTTGTGGACAATGGTTTCCTTTTTTTTTTTTTTTCTGATTTTGAGTGTTCTAAAGGGTACCTATAAATGTAAACATGTTTCAGGCTTCTCAATTAGCACACTCTCATGAAGTCCTAAATCGTTTTTTCCAAACCAATTATGGCACAAGGCATTCCAGACTCAGAGAAGGAACACCAAAGTCATCCTGATCACAAGCCTGGATCTTGGATGTATCAAACTGTTTGAGGTGCTGTACCAGAGGCTCCTACTGTGTATACATTTCTCCTTTAATTGGGGTCTGGATGTCACTTTCTCCACCTCTGTGCTAAAGTACTATTGACAGAGGCTAACAATTAGAAAAGAATACTGAGAATTAACAATGGGTGAGCAGAGATGTTTCAGAAACCACTAAAAGACAGAACTCTGAACCTGAATTACTGATTCAAAATACTAGCTATAAAATTAAATGGCCAGCAGAAACTAACACAACATTTTAAAACAACTATACTCCAATAAAAAAAATTTTTTAATAAATAAAAAATTTTTAAAAAATCAAATGGCAAGCAAAGACTTAAAAAAAAAAAAAAAAAGCAATTAACCATGTAAATGCTGGGGAACCAAGATAAATATTAAAGAACCAAGAAAGCTATGATTAATTTTTTAAAACACTGACCAAGTACCTACTACATGCAAATTCTCAGATAAGGTTTTGGGTTGTGGAGTATAAAGAAGAGATGAGTATGGACCTGCACTCAAAAGATTTCAGGACACCATGATCATCTGTGTATTTTTCCCATTTCTCTGTCCCTATATTCTCAGCCTTATTTCTCTGTGCCTTTCAGTGTTACTTCTCAGAGTTCCATCTTCAGTCCTCTCCTTAATCTAAATACTCTATTACCATTACACCCACATTTCCTACACTACCCCATTCCTGAACTCTACACCTGTATATCCGCTCCCCACCAACTCTTTAATAAGAGCTCTCCTTGAAGCCCCTCAGGCACTTCCTCTTCCAGTACTGCAAACAGCAGCTGCCCAAACTACAAATGTGGAAGTCCTTGTACTATCTAATCTGCCCTACAACTGTATCAATCCTAATCTAAAAATCCTACTGATTCTACTAATTCTTCTTCAATATATATATTTTTGATAAGAACAGGCTAATTTTATTTGTTTTAATTTTTTTTAACATCTTTATTGGAGTATAATTGCTTTATAATGCTGTGTTAGTTTCTGCTTTATAACAAAGTGAAATAGGTATACACATACACACGTTCCCATATCTCTTCCCTCTTGCTTCTCCCTCCATCCCACCCTCTCTATCTCACCCCTCTAGGTGGTCACAAACCACCGAGCTGATCTCCCTGTGCTATGCGGCTGCTTCCCACTAGCTATCTATTTTACTTTGGGTAGTGTATATATGTCCATGCCACTCTCTCACTTTGTCACAGCTTACCCTTCCCCCTCTTCATATCCTCAAGTCCATTCTCTAGTAGGTCTGTGTCTTTATTCCTGTCTTACCCCTAGGTTCTTCATGACCTTTTTTTTTTTTTCTTAGATTCCATATATATGTGTTAGCAAACAGTATTTGTTTTTCTCTTTCTGACTTATTTCACTCTGTATGACAGACTCTAGGTCCATCCACCTCACTACAAATATCTCAATTTCATTTCTTTTTATGGCTAAGTAATATTCCATTGTATAGACGTGCCACATCTTCTTTATCCATTCATCTGTCGATGGACACTTAGGTTGCTTCCATGTCCTGGCTATTGTAAATAGAGCTGCAATGAACATTGTGGTACATTACTCCTTTTGAATTATGGTTTTCTCAGTGTATATGCCCAGTAGTGGGATTGCTGGGTCATATGGTAGTTCTATTTGTAGTTTTTTAAGGAACCTCCATACTGTTCTCCATAGTGGCTGTTACCAATTTACATTCCTACCAACAGTGCAAGAGGGTTCCCTTTTCTCCACACCCTCTCCAGCATTTACTGTTTGTAGATTTTTTGATGATGGCCATTCTGACCGGGGTGAGATGATATCTCATTGCAGTTTTGATTTGCAGTTCTCTGATGATTAATGATTTTGAGCACTCTTTCATGCGTTTGTTGGCAATCTGTATATCTTCTTTGGAGAAATGTCTATTTAGGTCTTCTGCCCATTTTTGGATTGGGTTGTTTTTTTGTTATTGAGCTACATGAGCTGCTTGTAAATCTTGGAGATTAATCCTTTGTCAGTTGCTTCATTTGCAAATATTTTCTCCCATTTTGGGGGTTGCCTTTTGGTCTCGTTTATGGCTTCCTTTGCTGTGCAAAAGCTTTTAAGTTTCATTAGGTCCCATTTGTTTACTTTTGTTTTTATTTCCATTTCTCTAGGAGGGGGGTCAAAAAGGATCCTGCTGTGATTTATGTCATAGAGTGTTCTGCCTATGTTTTCCTCTAAGAGTTTGATAGCGTCTGGCCTTACATTTAGGTCTTTAATCCATTTTGAGTTTATTTTTGTGTATGGTGTTAGGGAGTGTTCTAATTTCATACTTTTACATGTACCTGTCCAATTTTCCCAGCACCACTTATTGAAGAGGCTGCCTTTTCTCCACTGTATATTCTTGCCTCCTTTATCAAAGGTAAGGTGACCATATGTACGTGGGTTTATCTCTGGGCTTTCTATCCTGTTCCATTGATCTATACTTCTGTTTTCATGCCAGTACCATACGCAAATCAATCAACGTGATACAGCATACTAACAAATTGAAGGAGAAAAACCATATGATCATCTCAGTAGATGCAGAGAAAGCTTTCAACAAAATTCAACACCCATTTATGATAAAAACCCTGCAGAAAGTAGGCATAGAGGGAACTTTCCTCAACATAAATAAAGGCCATATGCCATATATGACAAACCCACAGCCAACATCGCCCTCAATGGTGAAAAACTGAAAGCATTTCCACTAAGATCAGGAGCAAGACAAGGTTGCCCACTCTCATCACTATTATTCAACATAGCTTTGGAAGTTTTAGCCACAACAATCAGAGAAGAAAAAGAAATAAAAGGAATCCAAATCAGAAAAGAAGAAGTAATGCTGTCACTGTTTGCAGATGACATGATACTCTACATAAAGAATCCTAAAGATGCTACCAGAAAACTACTAGAGCTAATCAATGAATTTAGTTAAGTAGCAGGATACAAAATTAATGCACAGAAATCTCTGGCATTCCTATATACTAATAATGAAAAATCTGAAAGTGAAATCAAGAAAACACTCCCATTTAGCATTGCAACAAAAAGAATAAAATATCTAGGAATAAACCTACCTAAGGAGACAAAAGACCTGTATGCAAGAACTTATAAGACACTGATGAAAGAAATTAAAGGTGATACAAACAGATGGAGAGATATACCATGTTCTTGGATTGAAAGAATCAACATTGTGAAAATGACTCTACTACCCAAAGCAATCTACAGATTCAATGCAATCCCTATCAAACCACCTCTGGCATTTTTCACAGAACTAGAACAAAAAATTTCACAATTTGTATGGAAACACGAAAGACCCCGAATAGCCAAAGCAATCTTGAGAACGAAAAATGGAGCTGGAGGAATCAGGCTCCCTGATTTCAGACTATTCTACAAAGCTACAGTAATCAAGACGGTATGGTACTGGCACAAAAACAGAAATATAGATCAATGGAACAGGATAGAAAGTTCAATATATTTTAAATTCATCCATTTATTTAACTACTCCTGCTATTTCAATAGCTCTTCAAACAAAGACTTTGGAAAAAGACGTCCTGCTGGTAACATCCTCTCTGCCACTCTGCATCACCATGTCTTCCTATCAACCTGAGAACTGCCATTTGTCCTTTAGGGCTCAGTTCAAAGGTCACACTCCAGCCTCAGTCTGAATCAGGTGCCATTTGTGCGTGTTTCCACAGCACCCTGTGCATTCCACCCCCACAGTCTTCATCACTGGATGCAATAATTATTTAGTCCCCCATCTGACAGTAAGCACCTTAAAGGCAGAGATTGCATCAAGTTTCTTTTCATCTTTGTTATTAGATGCCTGACAACTTAAAGGCATTCAATAGATACTCACAGCAAGAAGGGAAGGAAAGAAGAAAGAAGAAAAGAGAGGAAGGAAAGACAAAGAACACAGAAGAAAGTGAAAGACACCTACTAGAGATGAAATAGTATATACAGTGTGGAAGCAACTAGGTTTAAAGACCCAAATTGAAGTCTCTCAAGTCTTAGAGGATCCTAAATCCCATCCAATGTTGGGGGTCAATGCCCAGTAGAGTTCAGCCCCTAGAAAAAAGAAACTGGAACAGGAGAGATATGCCTACACACACACACCTACACACACACACACACACACACACACACACACACACACACACACACACACACACACACACACTCACACAAATGATAGCTACAGAAGCTTAAAGAAAACTCAGAAGTTTTGGCCTAAGAAAGACCACAGACATCTTTGCTTGGGTACCAGGGAGAGAACAAATTAGGATATGTGAAGACCAGAATTGAGTATCTCCAAAAGGGCAACCAAAACTGTGATAGCTACAAGTAAGTCATCTCCAAAGGCAAACAAAGGTGAACTCCCTATCTCCATGCTACTAACTTTCTGTACAACATATGAATCTTAACAATCTTAACAAATTCTTACGCAGTTTTATGGGAGTAGAGATGACTGCTTAAAAGTGTTCAGCTGCTGACGATTTAAAACAAGGAAGAATACAGTCAGAGAAAGGCTGTGTTTACGAGGCTGTAGAAGGTCCCAGAATGAGCTTCAAGCCTTCAGGTGAGACCACAGTAGGGTCAGAGATTCAAAAGGAAACACTCCTACAAAAAAATCACTTATACGTTGACAAAACCACAAAAACAATGACCATACCAGTGACCTGATTTCCATATCAACAAGTGGTTTTACCATTAGGTTATAAAAGTGACCAGTTCAAATTACAGTTAGATGTGCTAAGAGAGACATTGCCATGGTTTTACCTGCTGATTCTGCATCACTTTTGCTAGCCTGTGAATATCATAATGCTTTGGCAGAGAAGGGATATACATATCTCCTTTTTGAAAATTCTCATCTTCTAGCCATAATATATATACATTGAAGAGCCTAAAAGAAAAAAAAACATAATTACATAAAATACAAAAAGATGTACAGGCAAATGAAGTTTCTTACACCTCTAGGAGCACTGGCACTAAAAGATAAAAGTTCGGAAGCACATAACACAGAAAATATTTCCAACCACTACACTCCCAAGAAGGGCCAGCAAGGGAGAAAGGTCACAAATCATTTAAGTATGATGCAATAATTGCTAAAACAAAAGGTGTGAAGAAAGGGCTCTGTGAACTCTATTACTAAAGAGGGTTAAATACAGTACACAGAAAAAAATAACTGGAGAAGGTGACTTTAACACAAACCAAGGATCTGAATTTCAAGCTTTTCTTTCCTGGACAATCAGTCACAGTGAGCCTTGGTGCTTGGAAAAGTTTAGATAACATTCAAATAAACACCTTTTCTGTCTTTCAGAGAAAACATTAAAAGCCATTTTAAACTTATGCATTGGAAGAACCTGCCAGCTTTAGACTCAATGACAATCCCCTGCCTCAAGGAATCACAAATAGAACCCATAGCATGTATGCACCCTGTTCCCATGAAGAAGGAACAGAAGAAAGCTAAAAACGGGGAAAAAAAAATTCTCTATTTTCCAGTAAAAATTTTTTTAAAGATTTAATGATGCTTCCTTTGTTTTTATTTTGTTTTGTTTTTACAAGGAAGACAGTCCATTTAGCTCAGATCACTGGTATTTTAAGCAGTTGTTTGCAGCAACAGGTACCAGAGTAGTCTACAGCACACAAATTACAAAGTACCAGGTGGGGACCAGGAGGTGTGGCTGGTCTTTACTCAATAAAGTGGAAAAATACCACCTTTACCCTGGCAGCAGTCTATGTAGGGAGAGACCCTGGGACAGAGCTTTGAGGCTCTTAAACAGGAGGGGCTGGGACGGAGCTCTCTTCCAGCTTGACTCGGTTATATGTCTACTTCACAACATGCCAAAGGAGGCCAAAAGGGAACATCAAAGGCTTTCTCAGCTGATCTAAATGTTCAGAGATAAAGCCTTCCCAATGGTTAAGCCCAGATAAAAATACATTTTCCTTCAAGCAAGAAAGAGACAGGGAGAAATGATTCTGGAGGCTGAGAGAAGCCCTAAGGCTTTGAGGTCAATCAAGCCTGAAGTCTGAGTGCTGGATCGAAACACTGGGTTTCCTCACCGAGACATTTGTATTCACTTTGGATTCAGAGTTTATTATTAAGAGCTGTTTTTATTAAGTCTTTTTTATTTTTATATTTTTGCGGTACGCAGGCCTCTCACTGTGTGGCCTCTCCCGTTGAGGAGCACAGGCTCCAGACGCGCAGGCTCAGCAGCCATGGCTCAAGGGCCCAGCCGCTCCGCGGCATGTGGGATCCTCCTGGACCCGGGCACAAACCCGTGTCCCCTGCATCGGCAGGCGGACTCTCAACCACTGCGCCACCAGGGAAGCCCTATTAAGTCTTATTTATAAGACTAATATCTCATTTACATCAAGCTTACAAATGAAAGGTGAAAGAACAGTGAGAAGGGGACACACACTTACCTCAGAGTTCTTAATCTTTTAGGGGATGCAAATATTAAGCCTATTTTTAGAAGCAGTTTTGGAAGATTATGAATCCACCGCATCCCAGGTGGATCCCACAATCCCCTAGAGGACCTATGAATCTCACTTAAAGAACCTTGCCTGGGTCGTTTATTTCTTTTAGAGAACTATCCTAGCAGGCTTTACTAGTTGTTAACCTGCTTTATCACTTCTTTTGGTTTGTTTCTGTTATTAAATAAAGAAATAGAAGAGGTCACCAGCCCTCGGGTTTAAGAGCTTTCACTCAGACTCCAGGCACTTCACAGAGCTACATCCAAATTGCTGATTCACTCTCGTAAGAAACACAAAAGAGAAACATTATAAGATGCAAACCTATAGTCAAAACTACCTTCCATATGCAATCTAACAGGTTAAGAGAATAACATCTAGCAGCTGTAACACAAATCAAAGAGCCGGCACAAGTACCTGTGCTGCAAACAACAACATAAATGGCTAAATAGCCATGCCTCACCTCACGAGCTCCGTGTGCAGTTCTGGTGAAGTCAGGTAAGCAGGGGTGCCAGCCTGGGTCGCTGGCAGCCCTTCACTGCCCTCTGCTGGAACTCGGAGGGCCTTGCTCGCAGCGTGGTGGAAGTCAGCCACCTCAGTCAGACGCCTCTTCATTTCTTTTAGCAAATTGATATGAGCAGGGCTTTGAAAAAACCTTCTTCCAATACAACCATCTACGGGTAGCCTTAAAAAATGCAAGCACAGATCACAACAGGATCAACATAAGACGCTCTTTCTATGTGACACAAAATTACAGTCTGTTAAGTCAGTTTATTAAATTAATACATGCTATCTCTACCTCAATGGTTATAATGAGGCTCCAACAAGGTGGCACATATAAAAGCAGTTTTTAAAAGAACGAAATGCTATGCAAATTCAAGACACTGTCACCACTTAGAGGTACAGAAGAGATTAAAGATAGTCCCTTTTCTTAAAGAACTTGCAATCTGGTAGAAAACAGAAGTGATGAAGAATCAACATCCGTATGTTTCAAAGGGGTGAGTTAAGGGAGTGCAGGTGAACTAGAAACAGAGCTGGAGCCCGACAGCGATGGTCAGTGACATTGAGCAGCCACAGCCGGCCAGAGTCCCTTCACATCCAGTGGAAACGCTGGCCTCCCCCCAGGCACTGCCTGGCCTTTGTCCACAGCTGCACTACCCATCACCAGTCCCCTCGAACAAGCTCCACCATGGCCACACAAGCAGCCTCAGTTTGGGACAGTCTCTCCCTTTGCAGCTCCAGAAGCTCTCTGCTTAACCTTGCAGGGTCCCAGGGTGTTGTCTTCACCGAACTGGGTATGGGGGGGTGGTAAAGAGAGAGCGGCCACAAGATACCCTGAACTCAGAAAAGGTCTAGTCTGATAGACATGAAACAGGAAAGGAGGGAGGCTCCTAGCCAGAGAATGACCCTAACTCCCATGCCACAGTGTCAGAACACAGAGCTGCAGAGCAATGCAAAGGCGGGAACTGATTCACAGAAACTTACTACTACTCTGGGTACCATACCCATATTGCGGTCCTGGGCGGTGAAGATACAGGAGGAAGAACTTCTGCCAAATGAGTGGCAGAAGAGGATGGTCAGAAGGCGTGACGAGAGCCTGGTGGGCCCAACGATAAATCAGCAGCCTCTGGAGGGACGGGACGATGGGGAGTTTCAGCTGAGCCTGGGCTTTCTACAAAAGAGGCGGGCTTTGAGCAACCAGGTAATGAGCACAATTGCAAACAAACAGTCACTTCCTAAGTGATTCAAATGAAATGCTGAACATGGTGTTTTCGATTCAATAAGAAAAAAGAAAAGTCATATAAACCTTACTTCTCCAACCCGCTAGCTAACACTTTAACCTTAGTAGCAAGACATGTAGGGCAGCTTTTTTTCAGGAATTTCACAGACCCCAGAATTGGACTGGGTCTTAAGCATCACCTAGTCTAATCTCATTTCCATGCCTTTCCATTCCTTTGCATGTAAAACACTATAGGGCAAGAATAATATAAAAGCCAAAGTAAATTTTATCAATCTCTTGAAAACAGAGATTTTTTTTTTTTTTTTTTTGGCCACACCGCATGACAGGTGGGATCTCAGTTCCCCGACCAGGGGTCGGACCTGCGCCCCCTGCATTGGAAGTGCAGAATCTTAACCACTGAACCACCAGGGAAGTCCCCAAAATTTAGATTTTAAATGGGCGTTCAAGAATGATAAATCCCTTGACAGGCTCTGAAATCAAAAAGCAAAGTCTATACTATAGGACCTGAAAATAGAAGGTCTTTAATTCTAAAGCCTCATTCCAGTCTTTCTCACACTTTAGTTAGCCTAAGGATCAGCTAGGGAGTTTTTCAAAATAAATTACTGGTCCCACTCCAGACTCAGAATCCCAGAGGCTGGGGTCCAGGAATCCGATTTTTAACAAGCTCTCTAGGGGCTTCTGATGTTTTAAAACAAAGGCAATCCCCTTTATACATACAATGAACACGGCCTCAAATTATTAGGTTGTGACTCTCAATGTTAAAAGAACCTTGGAAAGGAGGTATACACTTCAACTACACCATGTTAAGCATTAGTTTGGTTATTGTGCTTTCCAAACATTCGCAACAAAAGAAAACACAGAAGTCCAAAAGCTACAGGTGAACCCATCAGCATCGAAGTGTGAACCACCTTCTACCACTCAAATGCAGAACTGCTATTTGCACCTTCAGAGCTTGGTCAGGGGTAAATGCAGAGTTTATAACCAATTCCCCTTCAACAACTCTTCGGAGCTGGGAGTCTTCTTCAAAGATGGATTCCATGTTCAGGACTGTCCATGCAAACCAGACCTACAATAACACCAGGTAAAGAGGGGCATGAGCTACTAACTCAGACAGACAAAATACATCCTCACACTCCACAAATAAACATTACAGTTCCTAAAATTAACACATAGTTTTTATACCTATTTCTACTCTTATCACAGATATAAATTTACATAAAATAGGCCACTGAAAACTGTTAAATTACTTTAGAAAGGCTACTTTAGTAAAAGAAGATGTTTGTTTGCTCAACTTTAGTGGGCAGGTTCCGTATCACGAGGGACAGGAAAGAGGGCCAGATGTGAGCTCTGCCCTTAAGAAGTTTTGCATTCACCAGAGGAGACAAGACTAATATAAGTAACCATAATGTAAATGAGAAGTGTGAGTACTGATCAGGGATTGAGTGCTACGGGAAACCAGAAGAGGTAGGGTGGGACCAGAGAAGGTAATATACCAGAGAAGACTCTAGGCAGAGACTGGAGGGGAAGGCATGCCTGGGAAGAGAATCAGCTAGGCAAAAGATGGAAACTCCAGAGATGTATGCAGATAACAGCATGGAGTGTGTTTCAGCTGGATCACAAGAGGTATGAGGAACAGCAGGAGGTAAGCGTGTGATACGAAGTTGAAGGATGTTACTACTAATTTAAGTGATAAAACAGAGACATAATGGGACACACAAAGTCTTGAGAGGTGGTGATAATGATAAAAATAATGCTGCGAATTAATGATAATGATGATAACTATAACAGCCAACACCTAGTAAACACTGTTCTAAGTGCTTTACATGTAGGTGCAATCATTATTCCCATTTGACTGTTGAGGACAAAGAGGTTAGCCAGCTGCCCAAGGCACAGTGCTAGCAAATGGCAGAACCAAGGCTGAACCCCGGGTGGTCTGGCTCCAGTGTCCACTCTTACTTAAACGCTCTGCCCTGCAGCTGGGCAGGCTCTGCAGTCAGGCAGTTGGAGTCTTATCATTAGCTGTCTGACCCTGAGCCAGCCACCTGACTCCATAAAACCTCAGTTAACACCCCTGTGAGACAGGAATAGCAACAGCACCACCTCAGCAGAGGGCTACTGTGAGGATTAAATGAAAAAGTATCCTTATGCATAGTAGTGTTAACAGACGTTAGTTATTTTAGACTATTAGTAATGTAGGTAAGGATGATAACAATATTAAAGTTCAAAAAGATAACAGGGCTTCCCTGGTGGCGCAGTGGTTGGGAGTCCGCCTGCCGATGCATGGGACACGGATTCGTGCCCCGGTCCGGGAAGATCCCACATGCCGCAGAGCGGCTAGGCCTGTGAGCCATGGCTGCTGAGCCTGCGCGTCCGGGAGGGGCCCCGACAGTGAGAGGCCCGCGTACCGCAAAAAAAAAAAAAGTGGGTTTCCTACCTGAGTGGGTGTGGCCAAGCCCTCCACAAAGGAAGGAGTGATGTTGCCTGCCACGATCCAGCTCACCAAAGAAGAGAGCAGACTCCGGTCACAGTGGTAGCCCAAAGCATTCTACACCAGGGGAGCATGTGGAGCAGAGAGTGGAGGCTTTAAAAAACACAATCGATGAGCTTTTCAAGAATATCAGCAATTACCTTACTACGATGGAAAATTCTGGTAAGACACAGATTTCAATAATTAGTCCACCAGCAGTTACAATCCCAGGCTGCACATTACAGCCAAATGTAATGAGCAGCGCTCCTCCTGGGATGTCCTTCCTTTGGCTTTATGAGGATCTGCACTTAGCAGACTACGGTTACTGGATAAGACACTGTTAAGGCAGAGCTTTAAAAAGGCAGTGGCCACAGAGCAGTACTGAAAAGGGTGCATGTGGGGGAACCTCCTTAGAAGACTACTATCTAGCTGATGACTGAAAGATAAATTCTCTAACAGGTTTACCTTATGTTGCTGGTAGAGCAATTTCTGCACACAGTCTTCCTGCATCAGCTGAAAAGCTGTTTTACACAAATGGTCCATGAGGAAGAGGATGGGTTGTTCTCGGTACCAAAGATGTTGGCTTATAAGAGCCTGAACCCAGAACTCCAATACGGCAACCGGGCCCACTTCATTGAGCTGAGTGCTAACAGACATGTGCGCCTGCGGAGAAAGGGCTCAGGTGACGTGAAAGGTAATAACCAGCCTCCCATTTTTAAAACACTAATAAAATAATACCTACCTCCACTACAAAACCCAGATCTGTTGACCTTCTTGGTCAAAAGCACTGTGCCAAGTGCTTTGAAATGACCAACACATAGACATGTTAGCACAGGGGTGTTTCATTGGGAAAGCGGGCAAGGGTGTACTTAGGGGCTGACAGGGTCCTGACCTGGATCATGCTGTTGAGAAGCTTCACGTTGTCTCCATGGCTGGCTCCTGTCAGGTGCTGTGCCACCTTGTGGGTGACCTGCTGCGTGACACCCTGAGGGACACCGATGTCCAAGTGTAGGAAGAGGAGGAGGTGTGACAGAAACCTGCCGAGCACATAGGACAACGCACTTTACCTTCCAATCGGAAGTCAACAGAATTTCCAGTGGCTAATTACTTATGAGAAACAAAAAATACTGACGTGTCCCATTTTTAAACCAAAGCTCTATTTAGGGATTCTGATAAATCTTCAGGAATTTCAGAAGAATAAAGTTTTCCAGTTTGACGTGAGTTAAATCTACCCATGTAGTGAACAGACCTAAGACACATAAAGCCGTGCAAGTTAAAGAGCATTAGAGGGAAAACACCCAAAGCACTGCTCTATCCCCTCCCAACCCCCACCAACGAGAGTAGAGATGTCTATAGAATCACTCTGCAATCTTTCATGGGGTGTCAACTCCACACAAAGTGGCACATGGAACACTGCGGGGGGGGGGGAGCGGGCGGGCACGGATACCACCACATTTAAGTCACGGACGTGCCCTCGGTTCCCTGGGTGCACCAGGCTCCTTCCTCTCTCAGGGCCTTTGCCTCTGCTGGGTTTTCTGCCTGAAACACTTCCCCACATCTAACCTGGCAAACTCCTACTCATCCTTCCCATCTCATCTGCAATGTCCCTTCCTCAGAGACTTCCTGACCCCTCCTCGCCACCTAAAATACGTCTAACCCATTAACCTCCCTCATAGCACCATTGTTTTCCTTCGTGGCACTTAAAATTGGTAATTGCAGCCTGAGGACGTGACCCCTTCCTATGTGTCTGAGGGCAATGCCCAACCCGCCTGGCTCCCCATCGTACAGACGGTGGCAGCACAGAGGTTACTGCTGAGTGAGGGTGCTTCCCATTTCACAGGAGGTACAACACAGGCCAAACTCAACTCCAGTAGAAAGGGAAGGCTATGACAGGAGAGGTGCAATGAAGCCCTGTAAGAGTTCAGAGGACAGAGCTAGTGCAGGCATTAGGGGGCAAAGGGAGAGATACAGAGAAGGAAACATCTGAAATGGAGCTTAGAAAGATTTACCTTTACTCAAAATTTAACAACTCCGGGGGGGTGGGAGGGGTGGGAACAGCCCATTCAAATTTTAAAATCTCTCAAAATTGCAAAAATCTAAAGACAATTTATTAAAATTGTTCCAGGCAGGCATCAAATTGCCTGTGTATCACTTAAGCCTTACACTCAGCTTGTATGAGAAATGGCATTATCTCATCATACAAATAAAGAAACAGAGGCTCTGAAAAGTGAAGGAACTCACCTGTGTTCACACTAGGAGAGCGATGGAGTGAGGACACAACTCAAGTCTGAAAGCCATGAGCCAACCAGAACACAAGTAGTCCCAGACTTGCTCAGGGCCTAGAGTGCTAATTTTTCCAAAACAGGTCCCTAGGCCCTAACCCATTCCTACTGAAGCAGACTCTCCAGGGGAGGAGCTGGGAACCCATATACTTAATAAGCTCCCTCCCGTGAGGGAAGGAGCTTCTCATCCCCAGGCAAGTCTGCGACACACTGTTTGAAATGACACACAATGGGAAAACTGTAATGTTCCCCCTCATGGCTTTGGACGTACTACCTGTCCCCTGCCATACACGCCTCCTCCACATCAGGCCTCACCTCCCCCTTCTTCGCTCTTCAAAAGGCTCCAGCCAGATGACCTCCTCTCAGCTCCCTGGACAGGTATTTTTCTTCCCACCTCTGTGCCTTCACTCAGCTCCTCCCCAGCCTGGTCCTCTCCAGACCGTCCTCTTACCCTCTATGGATACTGAAAAAGCCCTGTCTTGCCATGTCCTCTCCACTGGCCCAACACCTATCTGCACTCCGAAGCTCAATTAGAAATGCACCTCTTGGGACTTCGCTGGTGGTGCAGTGGCTAAGAATCCATCTGCCAATGCAGGGCTCACGGGTTCAAGCCCTGGGCGGGGAAGATCCCACATGCCGTGGAGCAACTAAGCCCATGTGCCACAACTACTGAGCCTGTGCTCTAGAGCCCATGAGCCACAACTGAACTGAAGCCCACAAGCCACAACCACTGAAGCCCACGTGCCTAGAGCCCGTGCTCCGCAACAAGAGAAGCCACCACAATGAGAAGCCCGCACAGTGCAACAAAGGGTTGCCCCCGCTCGCCACAACTAGAGAAAGCCCACGGGCAGCAACAAAGACCCAACACAGCCAAATAAATAAATTCATTAAAAAAAAAGAAGAAACCCACAAAGTCATATTTGTGGGTCATCTCTTGCTTCTGTTCACTGAGCATCCTCTGTCTCCCTTCTGCTAACGCATCCTCTCATTAAGGGAACTGTCCTTCCTCCATGCTATAGAGTTGTGGGAGAGAGGGTCTCTCAATACAGAATCCCTATACACCTTCCTCTCAGGACTGGTCAATCCCACTGGTCAAGGTAACAGGCTCAGGGAGAGCACATGAGTAAGTCACACCAATCGGAATCATTATAAGGAACAAGGATAAAGAAAAACATTTGCCTTTCCCATGGGAAACTAGCATGATGCCTGGTTCTCTCTGTAGCATGTACTTTCATTCCTCTGGAAAAAGTACAACTGCAAGAGAAGGCTTGAAAGAGAGAGAAGCAGGGCCAAGGGACCTGGGAGGGTAGATAAACAGAAAGGGAAATACTAACCCAGGGCCTCTCAGCTTTGCAGCTACTGCCATGTTGGGACGGCAGATTCCTAGGAGAGGCTCTCCTGTGCACTGTGGGATGTTTAGTACTATCCCTGACCTCTGTGCACAAGATTTAAGTAGTAGCCCCCCTCAATCCCCTTACAACTCCCTCTCCCAACCACCTGCCCTACCTGCCCTACCCCACCAGGTTGTGACAACCAAAATGATCTCTAGACATTACCAAATGTCCCCTGAGGGTCAAAACCCCTCTAGTTGAGGACCACCACTTTAGAATGACCTGTTGTTATCAGGAGCCTTCTTCCCCAATCACATGAGCCAATACATTCCCTTCCTGGTAAAACAAGTGTGCACTGAATTTTCATCATGTGCAATTAAGAATCTTGATTCGTATCCATCCTTAATTCCTTCCCTCCCCCAGCAGCTATTTCTTTTACCCTAATTCCATATACCTTTACCATATACAGTTGACCCTTGAACCCACAGGGTTAGTGGTACTGACCCCCCATGTAGTTGAAAATTCATGTATAACTTTTGACTCCCCCCAAAACTTTACTAATAGCCTACTGTTGACCAGAAGCTTTACCAATAATATAAACTGTCGATTAACACATATTTTGTATGTTATATGTATGATATACTATATTCTTACCATAAAGTGAGCTAGAGGAAAGAAAATATTACGAAAATCATAAGGAAAATACATTTACAGTATTGTACTGTATCTATTGATACTGTAAGTTTACATCATCAGTTTACAAGATGAATCACCTGTCAGTACCTACATCAATACTGTCTTATATGTTATAAAACACTGCAGACGCTATACATGCTAACACTACACATCAAAAACGAAAAGACAACGTGAAAAAGAAATTCATATTTATTTACAGGTAGAACAATTCCTGCATTGATAATGAAGAAGCAGCAATATGATTGCTTTATGGTAGCCTAGTATAATCAATACGATTGTTTCACCATCGTCTAGCCTATATACTAATGAATGAATCGTTATAAAAATTTTGTGGCATAGAGTATGATAGTCATGTTCATAATACAGTATTAGAAACACTGTTACATTTTTTTAAAAACCACTTATCTGTGATGACAGCCTGATATAGTTTCTCGATTACGAGAGATGTATACTGTGCAGTAGTATAATTCTTTGAAAGCAAAGTTATAAAACAGTAAGAAAAACACAGTATTAATTTTATATTAAATATCTCTCACCCTATGCCTATGTAAGGATAGGCTACCCACTTCAATACCAGTGTGGCACAGCATGTGCTACATGATGAATACTTAGGTGATGATGATGATGATGACACAAAAACATGTCATACAGTCCTTGCCATATGGTTGTCAGATTTTCACACAAAGACACACATATACACAACAGGTAAGTTTATCAACTGTACAGCACGATGATCATTTATTATGCATCAAGTGGAAGTGGATCATCATAAAGGTCTTCATCCTCATTAGCGTCACGCTGAGTAGGCTGAGGGGGAAGAGGAGCGGTTGGTCTCGCTGTCTCAGGGTGGCAGAGCTGGAAGAGGTGGAAGGGAAGGAGGAGAGGGAGGCACACCTAGTGTAACTTTATAGAAGTACATCGAAATTTCTGACTTCTTTGCTTTTTCATTTCTCCAAAAATGTTTCTATACAGTATCAATTCTTCCCCCGTTTGCTTTAGTTTCAGTGCTCGTATCATAGAAGGGTCCATGTCATAAAAGAAATCAAAATCAGTGTTGAATAATCAGAACCTTCTGGCAGATTGTCTAATGTTAATGTTTTCTGGCACTGCTGCTTCTACGTCTTATTCCTCATGATCTGGCACCGGTTCAGAAGCACTCACGTCGATCAAGTCATCTTCTGTTAACTCCTCTGGTGTGGTGACTATTAGTTCTTGAATTTCTCTAAGATCCAAATCTTGAAACCCTTCCCCCACTCCCAGCCCCAACTTCTTTGCCATATCTACCAACCCTTTCATGATTTCCTTGATGGCTTTGTCAATAAATCATGAACTCATGCACATCTGGACACAGTTTTCCCCGGCAGGAATTTGTTTTGGGTTTGATGGCTTTCATGGTTTTCTATAACAACAATGGCATCTTCAATGGTATATTCCTTCCAGACTTTCAGGATGTTCCATCAGGGTTCTTTCCATAGTGTTGACAATCCTTTCCATAGAGTACCATGTACAATGAGCCTTAAAGGTCCTTATGACCCCCTGACCTAGAAACTGAATTAGAGACGTTGTCTGTGGGGGCAAAGGGACTGCTACGACACCTGCGGTGTTGAACTCGTGGGGTCTGTGTGGCCAGGGGTACTGTCCGATACCAAAAGAACTTTAAAAGGCAGCCCTGTACTGGCAAGGCACTTCTTGACTTCAAGGACAAACCATTGATGGAAACAATAAAAAAAAAAAAAGGGTTCTCGCTGTCCAGGCCTTGTACAACCAAGAGACTGGCAGCTGGTGTTTATCTTTTCCCTTCAAGGCTGGGGGGTTAACAGCTTTACAGATAAGGGCAGTCCTAATCGTAAACCCGACTACATTTACACGAAACAGTATAGTTAGCCTATCCCCTCCTGCTTTCAATCCTGGTGCTTGCTTCTCTTCCTTGCTAATAAATGTCCCTTGTGGCATTTTTTTTTTCCCAGAATAGGGCACTTTCATCTGCGTTAAAAACCTGTTCCGGGGCTTCCCTGGTGGCGCAGTGGTTGGGGGTTCACTTGCCCATGCAGGGGACGCGGGTTCGTGCCCCGGTCTGGGAAGATCCCGCATGCCACGGAGCGGCTGGGCCCGTGAGCCATGGCTGCTGAGCCTGCGCATCCGGAGCCTGTGCTCTGCGGCGGGGGTGGGCCACAGCAGTGAGATACCCACGTACTGCAAAAAAAAAAAAACCTGTTCCGGCAGATATCCTTTCTCCTCGATTTTTGTAATGGCATCTGGGAACTCGTCTGCTGCCTCCTGGTCGACAGAAGCTGCTTCTCCTGTTATCTTGACATTTTTTAAGCCAAATTTCTTTCTAAAATTATCAAACCATCCCGTACTGGCATTAAATTCTTCAGCTTTAGATCTTTCACCTTCCTTTTGCTTTAAGTTATCATATAATGACTCTGATTTTTCTCTAATCATATTAGGGTCTATAGGTATGCCTTTCTTATAGCCATCCTGCACTCACACAAAAGCTACATTTTCAATATGAGATAAAAAGGTATTTCACAAAAAGTACAACATTTTAGAGCCTGCTGGTGTAGCTGCAGAGACAGCTTCATGAATTTCCTTTTCTTTTTTTTACATTGGTTCCTACTCTGGATTCATTTATCTTGAAATGACAGGAAGTGCAGCTGCAGATTTCAATCTATGGTACATATCATGCAATTCACCTTTTTCTTGTAATGTCATGACTTTTCTCTGCTTCTTGGGAGCACTTCCAGAATCATTAGAGGCACTTCATATGGGTCCCATGGTGTTATTTAAGGCACTAAACACAATGAAAATGACGCGAGAACCGCAAGAGGTCACTTTTTACTGTGATGCACAATTTACTGGAGAGACAAACTGCTCAGTCGGAGAAGATTAGTGTCACAAAGCGTGTTAGGCAGATACTCAACACTTGAGCTCACCTTCATACAGCAACAGGAGGTGGCTACAAAATTATTACAGTGGTACAGTATGCAGTTGTAATTTAATACTGCACCTTTTACGTCTGTTTATATTTCTCTCAACCATGAATGGCATCATGTATGGTCTGTGTGTGTAAGTTTTGATAAATTTTAACTTTTTGTTATAGATTTGTGTATATTTTATGGTAGTAGATGATAGAATAGACTAGTATCTACATTTATTTTATACATTCATGACATACTTTTTTCTTAATTTTTTTCAATATTTATAGGCTACATTAGTTCATCTGTGAGTTTTTTCAAATTGTCACAAATCTCCAAAAAATTTTCCAGTGTATTTATTAAAAAATATCCTCGTATAAGTGGACCTGCACAGTTCAAACCCGTGTGGTTCAAGGGTCAACTGTAATGCAAATGCAATCTATACGCCCTAGTATGGCCTTGCCAATATTTTGCTTCATAACTTTGTGATTACCTCCGATGTCTTATTTTCTCCACAAGATTATCAGTGTCTCATGTGATGAGCACCTCCCTGTGTATCTTCTCTGTTTATAATACTGCCCCATGCACATTGCAATTAAAAGCAACGTGTTTCGCTATTGCTACAACAGCAAAGCCATTTGCTGCTCAAGGTCAGAAGCATTATTCCCAGTTTCATGGAAACCACCACCCTTTTCAATACTAATAAGCTATAAGCAATCTAAAATTAAATGACAAAGGGAAGTATCTTTCATGACAATAAAACTAGAATCATTATTAGAGTCACTGTTCATCACTCTGCATTCTAAGATAGGCAGGAAGTTTTCTGCCTCATAAAAAATACACTATTGAAATATCATTCCCTATATTATACTTGAGAAACCAGAGAACATAGTCATTTTGTACTCGCTGGGCCGCTCTACACTTACTGCTCATTCTTTAGAAGGTAATACTGGCAAGGGTAGAACAAAGGCAGAATCTTATCCAGGACATGGACCACTGTTTTCAAATGCCTCGACTGGACCAGGATTCCCAAGAGTGGGATGCCTTCTGCACAGAACTTCTCAATGCTACGGAAAAAGAAAAAGGCAATGAGCATACGAGGTAGCCAGTTCATAAACTGATGTTCTTCCAATGCACTATCATCCTACACACTACCCAGATTATCTCAGGTCTCCAACCCATTTACGCACACCCAAACTTCACACAGAAATGCTAGAATCAGAACTCTAGAAGTACAAAGGAACTTACAAGTTCATCTATAGTATCATTTTATACGAAAGAAAGGTGAAGTATCATGGCCCAATTCACACAGTTTCCTGGTATAGGGTCAAATTGAGGACCCAGGTTTGCAAATTTCTAGTCCAGAGCCCTGGCCACTTTGCTTCTCAAATGGTGCTTCTTCTAAGAGTCACGGGCCTCTCATTGTCTACGTAGTCCCACAAGGTATTATAGCAAAGATTCAAAAATGAGCTCAATCTGTCTGTATAATCTGGCAGAATTTTTCTGAAATCAATGTGGCCTAGAAATTTACTTATTTTTTTGACTCTTCAGAGAATCTATCCTTAAGAAATAATCTCAAATATGGAAGAAAATATGATATATGATCCATGTAAAAATGTACTTTTCAGAATTATTCATAATTGTAAACTCAGAGGCATAAATGACTTAATGTAAATTCTGGAAAAATCCATTCAATGGGAATATTACGGAATCATCTTAAAAATATGCATATGATGGCCAAGGGCAATATGGAAAAATATTTCTGCTAAAATGGTACTAGGAAAAAACAAAACTTTATACTTCTAACTATAACTACTAGAAAAGAAGAGTTAATACTGTACAGACAGGGAAAAAACAGGGATAATGTCACACTAAAATGCTCATTGTGTTGGAGTGGTAAAAAAGAGTGGTTTTTTCCTCCATTTTCCTAATTCTATAGTTTGGTTACACTGCTTTAATTCTGGGGGAAAAAAATCTTTTCAAAAAATAAAAGTGATAATGCAAAGATTACGCCCTAAGGGAAACATTTACAATATTAGAAGTAAAAAACAAAGGATATATAAAATTATGCATATAGTACAGCTCTAAAAAAGATCCAAGGAAAACATACTGAATAAAAATAAACAGAAAAATAAGCAATGTTTTATTACGATGAGAGAGATTCTGGGTGATTTTTTTTTGACTATTGTTCTCTGTATTATCTATGACTTTATATTCATGTACAACTTATGTCCTTCACACTCTGCCCCCAATCCTAAGCCCATTCATAAGATTGTTTTAAGTTAGTTCTAGAATCATCCCAGATGACCACAGTGGAGTTCAGCCCCAAAAAGAAACACTCTCACCCTCACACCCACTCAGGATTCAGGAATCAGCACTAAACCAGTATTTATTTTAGAGAGGACTCACAGCAATATTAGTGAATAAAGAGCTACAGCTCCAGAATAAATATAATTAGAGAAATCATGAAACGATTAAGTTCAGAGTACTGCACTCAAAGAATCCACATACCAGACACTGTTCTAAGCATGTTAAACGTCTTATAACTCACTTAAGCCTCATAAAGTAAGTCTGATACTATTATTATTCCCATTTCATAGATGGAACCTGAGGTACAGGAAACTGTGAATGACACTAGAGCTACTATAAATGATGTAAAGAGTGCCTTCCAGGGCTTCCCTGGTGGCACAGTGGTTGAGAGTCCACCTGCCGATGCAGGGGACACAGGTTCGTGCCCCGGTCCGGGAAGATCCCACATGCCGCGGAGCGGCGGGGCCATGAGCCATGGCCGCTGAGCCTGCGTGGCTGGAGCCTGTGCTCCGCAACGGGAGAGGCCACAACAGGGAGAGGCCCGCGTACAGCAAAAAAAAAAAAAAGAGTGCCTTCCAAAGGGCCTATATAACATCTCTCCCCTTCCTAGTACATCAATTCTGCCCTCTTTAACTGGCTTTCAAATTTGTCCATAATTACCTGGTGACCTCCATTCACCAACAGGAAACACAGGCTTCAGCCAGGAGAGTTTTGTCAACACTTCCCCTTCCCTCCCCCTCCTCCACCCAGCCAGATAGATACCTGGTGGAATGAAATATGGAGGGGAGGTGGGGGGTGGGGAGGAAGAAATAGGTGAGGGAAGAGGTACAAACTTCCAATTGCAAAATACATGAGTACGGGTATGAAATGTACAGTGTGGAGAATACAGTCAATAACTATGTATTACTTTTGTATGGTGACATATCGTAACCAGCCTTATCGGGTGATCAGCTAGAAATGTACAGAAATGTTGAATCGCTATGTTGTGTGACAGGAACTAACATAGTATTGTAGGTCAGTTATACTTCAAAAACAAATAAACAGGGCTTCCCTGGTGGTGCAGTGGTTAAGAATCCACCTGCCAATGCAGGGGATTCAATCCCTGGTCTGGGAAGATCCCACATGCCGCGGAGCAACTAAGCCCGTGCGCCACAACTACTGAGCCTGTGCTCTAGAGCCCGTGAGCCACAACTACTGAAGCCTGCATGCTTAGAGCTCATGCTCTGCAACAAGAGAAGCCACTGCAATGAGCAGCCCGCTCGCTGCAACTAGAGAAAGCCTGCATGCAGCAATGAAGACCCAACACAGCCAAAAATAAATAAATATGTAAAAGAAACAAACTCATAGAAAAAGAGATCAGATTTGTGGTTACTAGAGGCTGGGGGGAGGTGGGGGGGTGGAGGGAGGGGAAACTGGATAAAGGTGGTCAAAAGGTACAATCTTCCAGTTATCAGATAAATAAGTACTAGGGATATACTGTAATGTACATGATAATATAATTAACACTGGTGTACATTATATATAAAAGTTGTTAAGAGAGTAAATCCCAAATGTTCTCATCACAAGAAAAAAAATATCTTTCCTATTTCTTTTTTTTAATAGATCTTTATTGGAATATAATTGCTTCATAATACTGTGTTAATTTCTGCTGTATAACAAAGTGAATCAGCCATACATATATACCCATATTCTCTCCCTCTTGAGCCTCCTTCCCATCCTCCCTATTCTTCCTATTTCTTTAATTTTGCATCTATATGAGATGATGGATGTTCACTAAACTATACATTTCATGATATATGTAAGTCAAATCATTATGCCATACACCTTAAATTTATACAGTGCTGTATGTCAATTATATCTCAATAAAACTGGAAGGAAAAAAAAAAGAAATACCTACAAAGTACAAGTTCTGGAGATAAACAAGACAATGCCCCTACCATGTCCCTACCATTAAGGAACACACAGTCCCAAAGGAGGAGGAGAAACGATTACACCTTAAGCACCCAGCTCAGAAGGCACAGGTGCTGCAGGGCAGGGGTGGGCGGCCCTTGGGCAGAATCTTCAACACCGTGGGCACTGATCACCTGGGGAAGGTAAGAGTCACTACTCTGCTCCTTAGCCCAGGACATCTCTAATTAATAAGACTCCTGGGCTTCCCTGGTGGCGCAGTGGTTGAGAGTCCGCCTGCCGATGCAGGGGACACGGGTTCGTGCCCCGGTCCGGGAAGATCCCACATGCCGTGGAGCGGCTGGGCCCATGAGCCATGGCTGCTGAGCCTGCACGTCCGGAGCCTGTGCTCCGCAACGGGAGAGGCCACAACAGTGAGAGGCCCGTGTACCGCAGGAAAAGAAAAAAAAAAAGACTCCTCTCCAAAGCTTAGCTCCTCCATGAGGGTATCCTACTCTAGTGATCTCTCCTTACTTTAAATTCTTTCTGCCCATACTCTTGAGAGGTTCTCAATCTAGGCTGTACATTAGAATCACCTGGAGAACTGGCCCCTAGATCAGTTAGATCAGGATTCTCACTCTCTTCCCTGTATTAGTATTTTTAGAATCACTGCAAAATGATTCTAAATTGTGGTCAGGATTAAGAACCAGAGCTCTATTCATATCATCCAGCCCATGATTATATTTTTCAGTACTGCCAATTGTTTTATGTCTCCCGTGTCCACTAAGCTGTCAACAACCTGAGGACAGCTATCTAACAATTCCACACCTCTCCTATTTCACAGCACAGGCTAAACACTAATAGCTCATAGGACAACTGGCATCCCACTGAAAATATACTGAATGTGGAAGAAGATATTGAAATCAGGTTGCTAAAAAGGTGTTACAGTGAATCTAAAACGCAAGAATCAGAAAGTATCGGCCAAAGATGTTTTAGAAAACTGGATAGGCTAAATAAAATTAATACATCGTAGGAAAATGATCCTTAAAGAAAAGGATTTTTAACCAACTGAGAATTCATGCATTCAGTTACTTACTGCACCAGATTCAGTCTTCATCACTAGGGATAAAATACCACAAGACAAATATGGTTCCTGAGTCCTAACCTCATAGAATGTCTCCGATAAAATTAAACAACTACATTATAGTGTGATAAATGCTACAATGGAAGAAACAGACACAGCTATGGGCTCATACAAGAGAGGCACTTGACATGATAAGGCATTTCATCCCCTTGGGTAGGTTTAGGGTTAGCTTCCTTTATACCTGGGAGGGCTGGGTTGGGCTGCCATCACTTTAAACAATTCAGCACAAGTGACCAATTATTTTTATTTGATCACTATTCTGAGGAAGAGACTCTGTCTACTGTTGACATAAAAATTCCATGCTGGATGATAGGTATAACTCTCTTGATAATGCAACAAGGTGATTTTCTGTTACAAATCCATGTTATATGAATTTAGGCAGCACTTCCCCATGATAAGCTATTAATCGAGGCTTATTATTTGGCCCTGATTACCCCTAGATAGATTTGATGGAGGCCTCAGACCTTGGGATGTGAAAGACGAGATTCCAGAATCACTGACTACAAGGTTCAGCAACCCTAGAAGTTCAACACAAACACTGTACCTGTGGCCCACGGCCGTCATAGCTAAGGCCAGATAACAGCCAATGGGCATGCCCGCCTTAACAGCCTTCAAGAGAGGATGAAACGTGGGTGACTCTGTCACTTCAGGCACAGTGCTGGAGAACAGAACAGTTGCACAATTCTGCTGTATTCCATAATCATTTTTGTGCAGTTTTAACCTCAAGATCAAGTTCCAGGCCCATTGGTTAAATGAGGTCTCAGGTGTCTCTCCATATCGAACAATACTGGCCAAATATGAAACCTAAAACAATTATTTATTTTAAACCACATTAGTCACATACACATTAAATCAGTAAGCTCACCCACCCATCTCTTTTTGCGATCAACAATGCCGTCAAAAGAAAGGACATAATGCTTACTGGTACTCAGTGTTTACAGAGCTAAATTAAAGCAGTTTCTCACTCACAACTGACCACTTCTGATTATTTGCTAGTCACTTTGTGAACCTGATCTGGGTCAGCTCAAGCAAGAGTAATAATACGAAAGTTGGTATGCAACAAATCGTGTGCTGGTAAACAAATTTAACAACCAGTTGGAGCATGGAGGCTGATTTATAAGGGTTTGCCCACTTTGGTAGCATAAAAATTCCCACCATGTTCAACTTCAAGCCACCAGCAGGTTAACAACCAGACCTGCAAAGTTCCTAAAAATGTAACAATCAGTTCTCCAAGCCGGTATGAGCCAGCACCAGCACACCGCTGTAGCTCAACTCAAATTCCATAATACGAAAAGGGTTATATGGAGGCTACTTCTTAAAGAAAACTCTTTCTCCAACCATAGAACTCAATTTCAATATCTTAATTTGCCAGAAATGTTCTTAGGAAACCTAAGGGTAAATATTGCAACTTTATCCACCCAGGTCATTTATAATAAAGGTTTACATCCTCAATACATAAAAGAAGGAAATACCTGCTTCATACTTTCAGAAAGAAACCCAGCATACGGCTTCTGTGCAAGGTACTTCTGGTACGCCTCAAGAATCACTAAAGCTACTTCAGCGTGGACTGCGTGATCCAGGTGAAGAGTCCCCTTTCAAAGAGAAAAATCATCACAAACATGTCATCTTGATTTTTTTTGGTTATACCTTTAAACTAAAAGATTAGTCAGGATAGTAAACAAGAACCTTGGATGCAGAAGTTTAATTTTCCAAAGCTCACACCCCTTAACAATGAAATTATAAAATGACAATAGGAAAAAGAGTTGAAATCTTTAAAGAACCACTACAATGCACCAGTTAGGTGTGAGCCCGAGTCGCCCCCAATCCCAGTCATAAAAGGTATCTTTGAATGCATCCCCCAACCCCCACCCTAAAATCTCCATAAATACTTTGGGTTACAAGTTTAAGGGCATTGTTAAGAACCAGAAAGATGTTGAATTATTATTAACTAAACAGAAAGATAATTAATAATTTAAGTCTACATTCCCTTTTCTTGTTCTGTCATCAGTGAAAATATAAAAAATACTCAGCAGCACAGGTAAAATACTCCTTCAGGAGCTTGAAGTTGCCTACCAAATTTCCCACCCAATCTTCCTTTACAGCCTGAAGAAATACATTCCCTAAGCCTCCCAGAGAAGAGCACTTTCCGAACGCTAACAAAAGAACAAGGAGAGGGCTTCCCTGGTGGCGCAGTGGTTAAGAATACGCCTCCCAACGCAGGGGACACGGGTTCGAGCCCTGGTCTAGGACGATCCCACATGCCGCGGAGCAACTAAGCCCATGCGCCACAACTACTGAGCCTGCGCTCTAGAGCCCACGTGCCACAACTACTGAGCCCATGTGCCACAACTACTGAAGCCCGCACGCCTAGAGCCCGTGCTCCGCAACGAGAAGCCACTGCAATGAGAAGCCTGCGCACAGCAACGAAGAGTAGTCCCCGCTCGCCACAACTAGAGAAAGACCGTGCGCAGCAACAAAGACCAAAGGCAGCCCCAAATAAATAAATAAATAAAATAAACTGATGTGTGTGGCTCCTCCAGTCTCTAGGGAACGGTTTTAATACATACCTGTTCACCAAATCCCCAATTTAGTCCTTCTAGAATAACACAGGCCAATTTATTCTTCACCGTTGTCAGGTTATAATTCAATAACCAATCCCGAATCACAGCTATCTCGGAGGCAGAAGGTCGCCAAAGATACAAAGGTAGTTCTTTAAACAAGTATAAAGAAACCTTATTTAAAAGAAAATGATAATAATTAAAAGCGAGACTTAAGGACAATCCTGTATTACAATACTATGTTATTAAAGTGCTTACAAAATTTTTCTCCAAAAGGAAGTGGGGTTTTGTTTTTTAGACAGTGAAATGAACAACCAAATCAAATGAATTTATTTTTCATTTTAACATCTTTATTGGAGTATAATTGCTTTACAATGGTATTTTAGTTTCAGCTTTACAATAAAATGAATCAGTTATATATATTCATATGTTCCCATATCTCTTCCCGCTTGCGTCTCCCTCCCTCCCACCCTCCGTATCCCACCCCTCCAGGCGGTCACAAAGCACCGAGCTGATCTCCCTGTGCGATGTGGCTGCTTCCCACTAGCTATCTACCTTACGTTTGGTAGTGTATATATGTCCATGCCTCTCTCTCGCTTTGTCACAGTTTACCCTTCCCCGTCCCCATATCCTCAAGTCCATTCTCTAGTAAGTCTGTGTCTTTATTCCTGTTTCACCCCTAGGTTCTTCATGACATTTTTTTCCTTAAATTCCATAAATATGTGTTAGCATACGGTATTTGTCTCTCTCTTTCTGACTTACTTCACTCTGTATGACAGACTCTAGGTCTATCCACCTCATTACAAATAGCTCAATTTCGTTTCTTTTTATGGCTGAGCAATATTCCATTGTATATATGTGCCACATCTTCTTTATCCATTCATCCGACGGCGGGCACTTAGGTTGTTTCCATCTCCGGGCTATTGTAAATAGAGCTGCAATGAACATTTTGGTACATGACTCTTTCTGAATTCTGGTTTCCTCAGGGTATATACCTAGTAGTGGGATTGCTGGGTCATATGGTAGTTCTATTTGTAGTTTTTTAAGGAACCTCCATACTGTTCTCCATAGTGGCTGAACCAATTCACATTCCCACCAGCAGTGCAAGAGTGTTCCCTTTTCTCCACACCCTCTCCAGCATTTATTGTTTCTAGATTTTTTGATGATGGCCATTCTGACTGGTGTGAGATGATATCTCATTGTAGTTTTGATTTGCATTTCTCTAATGATTAATGATGTTGAGCATTCTTTCATGTGTTTGTTGGCAGTCTGTATATCTTCTTTGGAGAAATGTCTATTTAGGTCTTCTGCCCATTTTTGGATTGGGTTGTTTATTTTTTTGTTATTGAGCTGCATGAGCTGCCTGTAAATTTTAGAGATTAATCCTTTGTCAGTTGATTCATTTGCAAATATTTTCTCCCATTCTGAGGGTTGTCTTTTGGTCTTGTTTATGGTTTCCTTTGCTGTGCAAAAGCTTTGAAGTTTCATTAGGTCCCATTTGTTTATTTTTGTTTTTATTTCCAATTCCCTAGGAGGTGGGTCAAAAAGGACCTTGCTGTGATTTATGTCACAGCGTGTCCTGCCTATGTTTTCCTCTAAGAGTTCGATAGTTTCTGGCCTTACATTTAGGTCTTTAATCCATTTTGAGCTTATTTTTGTGTATGGTGTTAGGAAGGGATCTAATCTCATACTTTTACATGTAGCTGTCCAGTTTTCCCAGCACCACTTATTGAAGAGGCTGTCCCTTCTCCACTGTACATTCCTGCCTCCTTTATCAAAGATAAGGTGACCATATGTGCGTGGGTTTATCTCTGGGCTTTCTATCCTGTTCCATTGATCTGTATTTCTGTTTTTGTGCCAGTACCATACTGTCTTGATTACTGTAGCTTTGTAGTACAGTCTGAAGTCAGGAAGCCTGATTCCCCCAGCTCCGTTTTTCTTTCTCAAGATTGCTTTGGCTATTCGGGGTCTTTCGTGTTTCCATACAAATTGTGAAATTTTTGTTCTAGTTCTGTGAAAAATGCCAGTGGTAGTTTGATAGGGATTGCATTGAATCTGTAGATTGCTTTGGGTAGTAGAGTCATTTTCACAATCTTGATTCTTCCAATCCAAGAACATGGTATATCTCTCCATCTATTTGTATCATCTTTAATTTCTTTCATCAGTGTCTTATAATTTTCTGCATACAGGTCTTTTGTCTCCTTAGGTAGGTTTATTCCTAGATATTTTATTCTTTTTGTTGCGATGGTAAATGGGAGTGTTTTCTTGATTTCACTTTCAGGTTTTTCATCCTTAGTGTATAGGAGTGCCAGAGATTTCGGTGCATTAATTTTGTATCCTGCTACTTTACTAAATTCATTGATTAGCTCTAGTAGTTTTCTGGTAGCATCTTTAGGATTCTCTATGTATAGTATCATGTCATCTGCAAATAGTGACAGCTTTACTTCTTCTTTTCCTATTTGGATTCCTTTTATTTCCTTTTATTCTCTGATTGTTGTGGCTAAAACTTCCAAAACTATGTTGAATAAGAGTGGTGAGAGTGGGCAACCTTGTCTTGTTCCTGATCTTAGCAGAAATGCTTTCAGTTTTTCACCATTGAGGACAATGTTGGCTGTGGGTTTGTCATATATGGCCTTTATTATGTTGAGGAAAGTCCCCTCTATGCCTACTTTCTGCAGGGTTTTTATCATAAATGGGTGTTGAATTTTGTCAAAAGCTTTCTCTGCATCTATTGAGATGATCATATGGTTTTTCTCCTTCAACTTGTTAATATGGTGTATCACGTTGATTGATTTGCATATATTGAAGAATCCTTGCATTCCTGGAATAAACCCCACTTGGTCGTGGTGTATGATCCTTTTAATGTGCTGTTGGATTCTGTTTGCTAGTATTTTGTTGAGGATTTTTGCATCTATGTTCATCAGTGATATTGGCCTGTAGTTTTCTTTCTTCGTGACATCCTTGTCTGGTTTTGGAATCAGGGTGATGGCGGCCTCGTAGAATGAGTTGGGGAGTGTTCCTCTCTCTGCTATATTTTGGAAGAGTTTGAGAAGGATAGGTGTTAGCTCTTCTCTAAATGTTTGATAGAATTCGCCTGTGAAGCCATTTGGTCCTGGGCTTTTGTTAGTTGGAAGTTTTTTAATCACAGTTTCAATTTCAGTGCTTGTGATTGGCCTGTTCATATTTTCTATTTCTTCCTGATTCAGTCTTGGCAGGTTGTGCCTTTCTAAGAATTTGTCCATTTCTTCCAGGTTGTCCATTTTATTGGCATAGCGTTGCTTGTAGTAATCTCTCACGATCTTTTGTATTTCTGCAGTGTCAGTTGTTACTTCTCCTTTTTCGTTTCTGATTCTATTGATTTGAGTCTTCTCCCTTTTCTTCTTGATGAGTCTGGCTAATGGTTTATCAATTTTGTTTATCTTCTCAAAGAACCAGCTTTTAGTTTTATTGATCTTTGCTATCGTTTCCTTCATTTCTTTTTCATTTATTTCTGATCTGATTTTTATGATTTCTTTCCTTCTGCTAACTTTGGGGTTTTTTTTGTTCTTCTTTCTCTAATTGCTTTAGGTGCAAGGTTAGGTTGTGTATTCGAGATGTTTCCTGTTTCTTAAGGTAGGGTTGTATTGCTATAAACTTCCCTCTTAGAACTGCTTTTGCTGCATCCCATAGATTTTGAGTCGTCGTGTCTCCATTGTCATTTGTTTCTAGGTATTTTTTGATTTCCTCTTTGATTTCTTCAGTGTTCACTTCGTTATTACGTAGTGTATTGTTTAGCCTCCATGTGTTTGTATTTTTTACAGATCTTTTCCTGTAATTGATATCTAGTCTCATAGCATTGTGGTCGGAAAATATACTTGATACAATTTCAGTTTTCTTAAATTTACCAAGGCTTGATTTGTGACCCAAGATATGATCTATCCTAGAGAATGTTCCATGAGCACTAGAGAAAAATGTGTATTCTGTTGTTTTTGGATGGAATGTCCTATAAATATCAATTAAGTCCATCTTGTTTAATGTATCATTTAAAGCTTGGGTTTCCTTATTTATTTTCAAGTATAAAGAAACCTTATTTAAAAGAAAATGATAATAATTAAAATCAAGACTTAAGGACAATCCTGTATTACTACAATACTATATTATTAAAGTGCTTACAAAATTTTTCTCCAAAAGGAAGTGGCGTTTTGTTTTTTAGACAGTGAAATGAACAACCAAATCAAATGAATATTAAAACTAATGATACACCAAAAGCACATTTTGCAATCCTTTGTAAAGGTCAAGCTTTTTTTCTTATGTAAACTGGTACACTTCCATTAAAAAAAAATCACCATAGTAAGATCCAAATTTAAAGTCATGATAAATCAGTGGAAAGTCATTCATTTTACAAAAAGACTTAGCACTTTAAATAATTATTTCTTCTACATCATTTAAAAAATTATTTCTATTAGCTTCAAAGCATTCTAGGGAAAAAAAAAGCATTCTAGGAAGAAGATACAAGGAGTGGATGGGGGTAAAGATGAAACAAGATCAACCAAGAGTTGGTATTTGTTGAAACTGGATGATAGGTACATAGCAATTCATTATATTGTTCTCTACTTTTTATATATTTGAAAGATTATATAATAAAAGCTTTTTAAAATCCTGTACAAAAAGTCCATAGCACCACTTTTAAATAACATATCCATGTGCAAATTAAGATAAATCTGGGTTCACAATACAGTTTGGTTTAAGTAAGACTAATCAGAAGAGCAGTTCATAAATAATGTCTAGAATAGTGCTGTCCAATGGAAATCTAATGCAAGCCACACGTGTAATTTTTATTTTTCTAATAGCCATTTTTAAAAGTCAAAAGAAACAGGTAAAATTAATTTTAACAATATATATCATTCAATCCAGTATGTCCAAAATAGTATTCCAACATGTAGTCATCACAAAAGATTACTGAGATACGTTATTCTTTTGTTCATACCAAGCCTTGGAAACTCAGTGAGTATTTTACACTTACAGCACATCATAATTTGGATGAGCCACATTACAAGGGTCTATAGTCTCATATGCCTGGTGGTTACTGTATTGAACAATTCATCTCTAGAACATATAACCAAGCATTTTTCCAGTTCCTGCACTGCTCCAAATTGGAGGCAAAACAAAATTTGAAAGAACGGGGAAAAAAAAATTTGAAAGACGAGTAGAATGAATGAATTTTAAAAAGACCCTTTCTTTCCTTTGCATGTGTAGTGTGTGTGTGCAATTAGCTAAATTTTCAGAAGGATTTGTTAATAAAGGTCTTGAATACGCTGAATAAAATGGTAAACTAGCAATCTAACAAATAGAAAAATACTTCTTTAGCCTGTAAGCATCTGACAAAAAGAACAAAATAACGGTACTAGAACAATGAATATAGCAATGAGATCTGTCCAGAAAACCAACTATCCCCAGCTACAAAAAATAATGGTATAGGGGCTTCCCTGGTGGCGCAGTGGTTGAGACTCCGCCTGCCGATGCAGGGGACACGGGTTCGTGCCCCAGTCCGGGAGGATCCCACATGCCGCGGAGCGGCTAGGCCCGTGAGCCATGGCCGCTGAGCCTGCGCGTCCGGAGCCTGTGCTCCGCAACGGGAGAGGCCACAACAGTGAGAGGCCCGCGTACCGCAAAAATAAATAAATAAATAATGGTATAGCATATATCTACACATCAAGAGTAAAAGTGAAGCTACCAAGAAAGATCTCAGGGACATTAAAAAGGGAACATTACAAAAACTCTTTGCCAGTAAATTCAACTAGTTAGATGAAATGGAAAAATCCCTTTAAAAACATAAATATATGTATATGTATAGCTGATTCACTTTGCTATAAAGCAGAAACTAACACACCATTGTAAAGCAATTATGAAAGATGTTTTAAAAAAAAAACAAACATAACAAAACTGACTCAGAGAAAAATAAAACTCTGTATCTGTTTAAAATTTTGAATTCGTTATCAAAACACAAAGAAAACCCTAGGCCCAGATGATTTTACTGGTAAACTCTATCAAACATTCAAGGAAGAATTATAGCAATCTTACAAAAATTCTTTCAAAAAACAGAAGAAGAGGAAATTCTTCCCAACTCATGTTACAAGGCCAACATGACCCTAAATCCAAAACCTAACAAAGATATAACAAGAAAATAAAATTACAGATCAATATCTGTCATGAATATATATGTAAAAATCCTCAAGAAAAAATATTATCAAATTGAACCTAACAATACATAAAAAGAATAATATATCATGATCAAGTGGTTTTTATTTCAGAAAACAATGATGGTTCAACATGTGAAAACCAGTCAATGTAATTCACCACATTAACAGAAAAAAGGATAAACATCATATGACCACCTCAATGGATGAAGAAAAAACAAGTAAATACGCATTCGTGAAAAAAAAAAAATTCAGCAAACTGGAAGTAGAAATTTCTCAGCCTACCAGAGAGTATAAATGAAAAACCTACTGCTAGCATTATACTTAATAGTGAACTTTGGAACCCTTTCTACTATGATAAGGAACAAGACAAGGATGTCCACTTTTACTAACTCTATTCCATATTGTAATGAAAAGCCTAGTGCATTCAATAAGGCAAAAAAAGAAATGATTAAAAGGAAAGAATCCTAATAAGAATTCCCAACAAAACAGAATTTAAAGAGTGTATTTTAAAATATATTTATGCTTTCACTGAAAGTCAGAAGATCACTAATTTTACCTGAAGAGGATGTTAGGAAGATGCATGAATTTCACTAACAAAAGTAGAATGTCCTCTGAAGTGAACCCATGTTTCAAATTATAAAAAAGACCAATAGGAAAATATGTTATCCATTTGCAGGTTGTCATCAAAACTTATCTGAGTTCTTTCCTTTGAGATGTCCCCAAAGGCTTGGTCCTTATCAACAACTATTCCTAACGCAGAGCAATACCCACACATCTACATATAGCACAAGGGATTGTTCCTCTCCTGCTGGGCCTCCAGAAAAAGTTACCTTCAGACACACCCCAGGTGTGTCAATGAATATTTAGGTCCACAGCCACAGCTCATTCCCAGGCTCTGGAGCTAGGAGCTGATTTCAGACTAGCCCAAGGTCAAAGCAAAAATATTCAAAGCCATCATGTTCATCTGAAGGCAAGGGGGCTTGAATAAGTTCCTCCAAAAATGTCAGCAAGTTCACAGAACACAAAGGAACCATATATTTAAACAGAGAGTGGGGGCATCTTTGAAAATATGTGCTCTAAAAAACATTATGGTTCTAATTTGTACACTCACTGTTAAGAATATTTCTGGGCACAATTTATTACTAAAAGTATTATGACCTAATTAAAAATGTACGTGTGGCCAAACCCAGAAAAACACTTGTCAGAAAAAGGTCATGAACTCAATCAAACTGAAAGAATCATATGACCCACTGTAGACTTCTTTGGAAATCATTCCATTAGATATCACTAAAAAAGGAGCAACCAAAAACTTGCTGTTTGCAAATGAAAACCCCTTCACCTCAATATAATTGTATCCCAGTGGGATACAATGTTTACTTAAATAGAAAAAGTACCATGTACCGCTGCTATGGAAAACAGTACGGTGTCTCCTCAAAAAATTAAAAATAGGATTAACATAGGAACCAGCAATTCTACTTCTGAGTACATACCCAATAGAATTTAAAGCAGAGTCTCAAAGAGACATTTGTACACTCATGTTCATTGCAGCATAATTCAAAGAGCGAAAAGATAGAAGCAACCCAAATTCCATCAGCAGATGAATGGATAAACAAAATGTGGCATATACATACAATAGAATATTATTCAGGCTTAAAAAGGGAAGAAATTCTGACACATGTTATAACATGCATGAACCTTGAGGTCATAATACTAAGTGAAATAAGCCATACAGAAAGGAACAAATACTGTATGATTCCACTTCTATGAGGTACCTAGAGTAGTCAAACTCAAAGAGACAGAAAGTAGAGTACTTTCTGCCTCTTTGCTGGGAGGGAATGGGGAGTTAGTTTTTAATGAGTACAGAGTTTCAGTTTTACAAGATGAAAGAGTTCTGTGGATGGATGGTGGTGATGGTAGGTAACAAAACAGTGTGAGCATACTTAATGCCATTTAACTGAAAAATGGTTAATACCGTGTGTTTCATGTTGGGTATAATTTACCACAATTAAATTTCTTTTAATGTAAAAATATATATATACTTTGCCAAGTAAAGCATTATATATCATGTATTCTTCATTTAGAAAAAAATACGTCTCATAAACCAATCTGTCACTGAATCTGCTCACTCATGAACGTGATGAAGTATTAGTAGTTATCAGTCATCTATCCTACAGGGATGATGCAGTGACTATAAGATGGAAAGGCCCTGTGCAAACATAAGCCCAGAGAAAGACACTATAACTTTAAACATTCCTCCTGAAGTTATGACACATGACCACCTGCCGTCAGAAAAATTCATTCATTACAGCCTTATTATATATTATGAAGAAAATCTTCAGTAAATGTATGTTTTTAAAAATGATACACTCATACAGTACCATCTGGCCATGGATGAACCTGGAAAACATTATGCTAAGTGAAAGAAGCCAGTCACAAATGACCACATATTTTGTGATTCCATTTATATAAAATGTCCAGAATAGGTAAATCTATAGAGACAAAGTAGACTGTGGCTGCTCAGGGATGGAAGGGATGGAAGTCTGACAGCTAAATGGTATTTGGTTTCTTTCTGAGGTGATGAAAATGTTCTAAAAATAACTGTGGTGATAGTTACACATATATGTGAATATACTAAAAACCACTGACTTGTACACTTTAAAGAGATGAATTGTATGGTATGTGAATTATATCACAATAAAGCTGTTTTTAAAAACTACACAAAGATTACAAAAGGGATTGTGACAAATGACAGAACTAAACAATATACATCCAGCTCAACTTAAATTACTTCTAATTTTGTTTTTGATTGATTTAAAGCAAGCCTTCTTTCTAAATCAGAGTTGTTTCTTCCAAGAAAAAAACATAAGAATTATGAAGGCAAAACAAAATTATGAAATAAAAACTATGAATTAACTATAAGCTATAATTAAAGTAAAAACCTGTTACTGAAGGAGGTGGGAAAGTCACTTTGAGGAGATTAAGAGAAACAATCCACCGTTTTTTATAAGCAGCGGCCAACCCCAAGCAGGCACAGTGAACCTGAGACACAATAAATGTTTTCCTCACCCTGTTGTGACTCAGTCATCCCAAAGACCTTACTATTTTTCACACTGCTCCAATACTCTAGGGTTTAAATGAACAAACAAACAAAAAAAAACGGAAACAAAAGCAAAATCAGTGTTCTTACCATTCCAACCTGGTCAATGGTGTCTTGAACTCTATCCAGAAGGACAGAAATTATCTCAGGGTGAACAGCTGTGATGGCCCCTAAAAGCTCTCGACCAACCTTCGAAAAAGTTTCTCTGGTGGACAGGGTGACATAAGATACCTAAAGTGGGAAGGGGTGAAGATGGCATTTTTAATACCAATTTCTCAGTAAAAAACCTTTCCATACTTTATTTAGGAGGTTTTCAAGTAAAGTAGAAAGAATCTCAGATGAAGCCTTGGCTCACACCATGTAAAAAAAGATGTCAAAACTTCAGAGAGCACAACTTCAGAGAGCAGACTGTCTGGAAGGTGGGGGAAGAGGGCATGGAGGGGAAAAGCAACTGTTTAACAATGACTTTTAAGTGCTGGATTCAGAAAGCACTCCCAGAGTCCTCAGAGCAATTAAGTAATCCCTCTATATTAAAACTTTTCTAAATTTGAGGAAACCAATAACATGATGAAAATCAGAATGCATTTCATGGAAATATCTACTCTCTCCAAAAAAAAAAAAAACATGAGATCCTCAATTACAAGAGCTTCTAAAATATCAATGTTTACCAACTCTTCTTAAACAATGGGTTCGAAACTACAGGTTACAATCCAATCATGCCAATGGCCAGCAGTTTTTGGATTTTTTTAATACAATGGAAAGGAACAGAAAAATAAGAGAGTAGAATAAAATAGAACAGAAAAATATGAGAGTGCATCACAGTAAGATTAAGTATTGCTTCAATTTCAATATGTGTGTACATACACACACAGAGGATCAGAATGTAGTTTTTACTGTGAGGACTGGTCAAAACACTTGAAATATCATTCAAGAGCATAAATATTACTTTAGCAATGGATCTTGAGACCGCCATTCAACATACGTGAAAATATACATCCTCCTCTCAATTCTTACAGACAATGAACATAGTTTGGAATTCCAGATCCATCTAGGTCTTAATCTCATGCATGGTTACAAAGTACAAGAATAGGAACAGCTTAATAGGATTTTTGATCCTGGTAAAGAACTTCAGATTACCCAGTTCTGTCATTCTCAAACTGGAGTATTGAGGGGGATGATAATAAATCTTCAAACATAATTTTACTTAAATTTGGAGGAAATTTTTTTACGAAGATAAACAGATAAATGACAGCCTACAGTGAAAATGTGTATTTAAAAATATATATATATAAAACTCCAAATAATGTTTTGGTAACCATGTGAGTTATGTCCCTCAACTCAAGGGGTCCAAAGTTCACTCTCTTCCACCATTTGGGATGGCTCAGCGAAAAAGTGAAGAAAGCGAGGATCTCATCCCAGCCTATCATTTTACATATGAAGAAACTGAAGCCCAGAGAGGTAAGGTGTCTTTTATGATGCGAGATAGACAATGAGCAGCAGAGCTAAAACAAAGCCAGATCGTTTAACTCTAGGTTCAGTACTATTTCCACCATCACATTTAAATTGGCTAGGAAGCCAGGTTTCCACGTTCCTCGCAGGGGTCAGAGGAGTGGAAATGGGGTGGGGGGGGGG